TTAGCAACGAGTGATGAAGACTTAATCGATTTAGCCTGTTAACGTTGATCATGACGAAAACGTTTGGATGTGGAAAACAATTTTTGCAAGCGAGAGGGCATGGGTAACCAAATCTTCCTACCACTTAGAATGATCAGGATAAGACCACCCATTAAAATCCTCTTATTTTGAAATTGCATTTATAAGTCAAAATTGACAGCTTCGTTCAATCTGACGTGCGAAGTATATATAACATTCATAAGGCGATCGTGGTAACCTCCATTAATCATTTGAGTCTTAGGGAAACAAAATAGAACCGTTTTTTGACGTAAATTAAATAGTTACTACTTATGATCTTGCTCGTTAGAATCTCTGTCGACCTCAGTGTCACGAAGTGAAGTGGTTTCAGTGTTTGAGTCGATGTTAAAGAGACATTTATGAACATTTTTTCAATACAATCATGGTTGAAAATGTACAGGCTTCCAGTTTCCAATCCCCGCGAATGACGGCGGCAGTTTCTGCTCTGATGGGAAGTACCATAAATAATCAGCTTAAGAGTTGAAGCTCTAAAAAAAAATTGAGTTGCGCAATGGAATAATTTTGTTCTCGTGCGGTCCACAGTGACTCTTTGTTGCCTATCTCAACAATCCCTCTCTAACAGGCTGATGCGGTCCCCTATTCGCAAAATGGTCGATACAGCATGCGACCAAGCCCTTACTAATAACGTTGCAGGACGCGCGTCTCTCTGCCCGCCAGGATATTTGAGACGAGTCGAGGAGAAGTTTGTCGGGGGTCTGGCACTAACATTCAGTGCGAGACCCCTTTCAGTCTTCTCACCGGCTCCCACGAACGAGGTAGCACCGGTGCCAAAGCGCTTATAATGAAGGCGTGGTCGTTGGCTATGGTCGATAAAGCACAACTACTCTCCGATAAGTGAGGAACATTTTGCCGTGAAAACGTTAATTCGCGGTAATTCTTCGAACTGCCGCAAAAAAGGTACAATCCTATTAAACCAGAAATTGGGATGATGTGATGCAAGAGATAAAACTGCATCTGTAATATCCAGCTTGCATGATGCAACTGGATTATCTAGCACTGTTCCTTATTATCGCATTGTTTAGTTCTTTAATAGTTTGGTTGAAAGGTGACAAGAGTATTATCAGTTACACTGGTTAAATTGAATTTAAAGCAATGAGCCAGTACTGAATTGACTTGCGTGGCCTTGAAAATTAAGATGAAGCTACTTACAGTGAACATGAGAATGAAATCAAAGAGGACTAGGTAACAAGGGTAAAGATGGCTTGCTTTTTACTGGAGCGTTTATCTCTTCCCCAGCCTCTCGCTTCCCCGCATCAGCCTCTTCTAGACCTGCCACCTAAAATTTATAAGAACACGTCGTTGTCGAAGTTGGCGATTTGCGCATTTTGAAAAAAACATAGCCGCAAGTTGATATAATTGTCGCTGACAATTCGTTTCTTTTTTAATTTTTTCCTCAGGCAGTGATCTCGGATTTGATTTTTTTCTCAAGTAGATCAGCGGAGGAAAGAAATGGCTACAGTGAGATTTCAAATTGGTCCTTCCGACGTTCTATTCACTTTAATAACAATCGATTCTCTCTCTATTCTCGACTGAAATTATGTGGAGGCCGTCCCAAGGGCCAATTAATTATAAAGCACGAGAAGTGAAGACACGTGAGAGACGAGCCGGCAAGCGAACTCTTTTCTATAGTCAGATATTTCTTATTAAGGCCGAACAGTCATTCGTTTTTTATTAGCGATCATACTTCTTTGTTATCGAAAAAATGTAGCCTGTTATCATCAATTCGCCCGCATCTCATTAACTCTCGGAGAAATCAAATGTAAAAAAACCGTGAGGGCAAAAGAAGTGATCATTAATCAAGGAACTCCAGGAATTTTCCTTGTTAGTACCGAAGGAAATGCTAAGAGTAACGAGTGTGGAGAACATGAATAAAAGGTTCCAGCGCAAATAGAGGGCTCATATGGCTTGGATTCATCTCTTAACACTCGTCTTTTCGAGAAGAAAACCTGTTGATCGTGCTGCGCGATTGCCGAGTTTGACTAATGGTCGTGGGTCGTGGATATAAGTCGTGGGTCGTGGGTCGTGGGTCGTGGGTGTGGGTACAAGTCGTGTCGGTAATAGTTAATAATTAATGGTTAATAGTTCATATTTAATAAAAATAATATTAATAGTAATACCAGTGATAATTAATTATTTTCAAGTATTGATTTTTTGATATAAAATTAGTTGAAGGAATTATGTTTTACTTACATGTAAGTGAATCAATGAAATAGTAGTCTCACCGAGCTGATGCGATGATATTGGAATAAACAATAATATTTTACGGTTGACAAGAGCCTGTAACTGGCTCCTGACAGTTGGAGAAGGGTTGTTTAATTTGTAAACATTATGTCATGTTTACATTGTAGTTGAGGGTGATAAAGAGGGGGGGTCTTAGATCACTTTTTGCGAAAAATAAAACGGCCATTCACGTTTCACGCAATATGAAATGGCCATTTCACGAAACGAAGATAAAAGGTGTTAAATTACCAGTTGGAATAAAGAGTCCTGGGGCCCAGAATGATGATTAGCTAATCATAGTCATGTTTCTACACGTAGTCTTGTTTTGAGACGCTTACTGGACAGTTTTTTTAAAGGAAGAGAAAAAATAACGGTTCAAGTCACGTTTCGCGAAAAAAATAAACAAACAAAAAACAGTCGTTTCGTAATTTCCATAAAAAAAGGCAATTCACCGTTCACGGCTATGTAACCAAATCACGTTTAACGAAAAAAAAAACCGTTCCCCTCTATAATAATGACATTAATTAATTATTAGTAGAGGTACTGTTGATATTATTATTATTATTGGATACGAACTAGTAAAGCCTTTATACAGACCCAAGTGATACATGGGGCCGGTGCTTAACTCCGGTTTTCTTAGCATGAAGCGGCTGGGAATATTGCTACTCCCCCCTGGATGGGATGTTAGTCCATCGCAGGGTTCCCCAGCATATTTGCATTTGCATTTGAACACCTGGGTGAAGAGAAGCGCTGTGAGAGTAAAATTTCTTGCCTAAGAACACAACACAATGACCCCGGCCAGGGCTCGAACCCGGACCACCCGATCCGCCACCGCACCTCCCCTGATATGAACTGGATACGAACTATTAACTAATTAATTGTTAACTATTACCGACACGGCTTGTATCCACACCCACACCCACACCCACACCCACTGCCCACGACTTGTACCCACGACCAACGACCGTTATTCAAACTCACGATTGCCCTGGTGAGGACAGTTTGCAAAAGATTACTGTCGGAGACATTGACTGACGTTTCGACGACATGAGCGGAAGTCATTATAAGAGTGACTCCCTTGCTGACTTCCACTTCAGTTTGCTGTCATCGACAAATGTTCTTTACCAGACCTTCAACCAGCCGAACACACCTCATCCCAGTAGTTACTACGAGGCTTACAGAATTTACTTAATAAATTAAGGATAGCTTTATAATAAGAAGTGAGCTACTTAGGGGGAAGATGATCTGGCACTTTTGACTCTAAGGTTTTTAATATTGTACGAAACTAAGACCCCCCTCCATTCCGTGAGAGATGACATCGTCCACCCCTGGCGACGGAAGAATAGCCAGAGAATCAAATATTTTAAATAACACTTGTCATTATTAATTTTTACTCTCTAATGGTTTATTCTCTCGTCTTCCTCGATATTAGATACGGCCTTGCTATTGTGATTTTGGCTTTTTTCTCGAATTTAAGATAGTAGTTGTCATATAACTCAATACGTTTTTGTTAGTCCCTGAACCAAAATTCTAATGTCTTAATTATAACTCTCGCTTCTGGTTTCTAAAAATTTCCGTGTAAACGCTTTAATTAACTCCCATGAGTGACCAAGGAAAAATTTCTCCTTACAATATTATAAAAATACCAAGCAGGCAAGTGATGAGAATATAGAATAATATCAGTTAGGATAATATTACCAAACTCGAGCTCTTAATTAACATCATAAGAATTATATGGCAGACAGAATCGAAGAGAATATTTTGATATGACAAGCGAGGCCCACTGGCTGACAATATTGAATTTTTGATTCTTGTTACCTGTTTGCCAGGTGACGTAGTAAAATTGTAAGAGGAACTTTTATGTTTGTCACTTTTAGGAATTTAAGTGTTATATGAGACCGACTGAATATATTGTCCTTGTAATATTGTTTCCATCTCACGAATGAGAGCTATTTGTGAAAAGATGACCCCTATTTTAAAATAAACAATAAATGCAATTGAAATATTTCAGCCTTCGTCGTCTAATCAACACGGAATAAACAGCGTACAGATTCTAGAGAATCCTAGAAAAGGTCGTTTGAACAAAACTAGAGTTCGTGACACTGGATCCTTTTAAAAAGACATGTCTCTTCCTTAGAATTTTAGTCAAACCCTGGATGAGTAAATCTATTTTTTGACATATGTTTTACGCCCTCTTGTTTTTTACGAAAAGCAGTCGATTTGCTAGACTTCTTGGAGAAAGTAATTCTGACACTGCACTGAGGCAGATGGCGCGGTCACTAAGCATGTGCATGTGTTGTTCCCCGATCCTGCGCGCTGCACCGGTCAGGGAGAACGAACAATTTGTGAAAGGTAGAAAGTGGTTTTGACGGGAAAAAGACCTCCACACTTCCTTGGATGAGGGAGCCTTCATTTAACTGTGAATCACCACATCAAACGGCCTTATAATTGGCAGCGTTTGGCCGCTAGATTTTAACAAGGTAGGGGAGTTTCAATTTTATTCTTGAATTATTAAGTTGTATGGTAGTCGAGGCTCTGTTCATAATTTAAACACAACTGTACTTAGGAGAAGGGGAATTGAAAAGTACACGTAGAAAAAAAGGAGAAGGGAGCTTTACTTCCTAATCTCGATTTTCAGTCTTCATCTTCAGTTAGAGGCTCATTGTTTCCCTGACATGTGTTTTTTTCCATAAACTTCTCAGGGCCACAATGAAATTACCGAGTCGAAACTAAATCTCCATTGGTGCTCACTTTCTCAAGGCAAGTTATTACGTTTTGTCGAAATCTCGCATAACGTTTCATGTGGACGATGAGTTCTGGCGACGAAGAGAACGATGAAGGTATTGAACCTGGGCTTATTGACGAAACGGACCCCGTGTTCCGTTCTGTCGCCGAAGCGGACGTGAGCTTGGATGAAATGATGAGTTTGGCATGTCGGCAAGGCAAACTCGACATCGTGGAGTTGTTGTTGGAAAGCGGAGCCCACGTTGACTATCGAAACAAGGCGGGGAATACACCTTTGTTGGAGGCGTGCAGTCAGGGACACGTCGATGTGGCACGTTATTTGTTGGACCACAACGCCAACATTGATGCCCCCACGGAGACCACTTCTGACAGTGCCCTCACTTGGGCTTGCACCCTTGGCAACGAGGCCATCGTGGAGTTGCTGCTGGAAAGGACGTCTGATGTTGAACACCGAACTAAAGATGGTTGTACAGCTCTGATGTTTGCAGCTTTGGCTGGTCATGTGAAAGTGGCTGCCATGTTGCTTGATCATGGAGCCAAGATCAATGTTGAGTCAGATAGCAACAAGGATAGCCCCCTTACCTTTGCATGTTGGAAGGGGCACTGTGATGTTGTTGAGCTGCTTCTGGAGAGAAATGCCAACATTGAGCACCGTACCAAGGAAGGGTTCACTCCTCTTATGTTTGCTGCTCTTGGGGGACATACTGATGTTGCGCGCAAGTTACTTGAAAGGAAGGCAAAGGTCAATGTACCAAGTGGAAGTAATAATGATATTCCACTGACAAGTGCTTGTTGGAAGGGTCACCATGATGTAGTTAAACTTCTGCTGGAGTTTAATTCCAATATCGAGCATCGCACTAAGGATGGCTGTACCCCACTTATGCTGGCGGCACGGTATGCAACCCTTGATATTTGCCTCTATAACATAAGAAAATTAGTGTACAATGCCTCCATAATGTTCAGTGGAAAATGAGTGGTCTATGGTAAAGTTAAAGTGAGGTTACGGTTAAAGGCAAGGTAGAGTGAGGAGAGTTTTTGCGAGTAAATATGTCCCCACATGTATAAGTTTTAAATTTCCTCTTATATTTTCAAAACAGAATCATTGATATCATCTTCAATTTAACAAGTTGGCCACATTTCCCCATTGTCTATAGTCTAATCCAACATGATGACGTCAAACATCTTCAAGACTAAATTCAAACCCCTTACCTCTTGCCAGTGGCAAGCAAGTCCATATTCCTGATTGAGGATCTTTTAGCATTGTATTGTCAACCTTGATAATTCACGTCTGTTTGCTCATTGTGTTCCATTCAGTCAGCAAAAAGTGTTCGTAAGTTTTGCTAAGTTTCTAGTAGACAGGGCATAATAGCTTATGTCCAAAACTGATAGATGAATTTTGAATATTTCTCTGCACTCTATGTCAATAATGTGGAAAGCTATATTACAAAGGATGGAGATGCACAAAACGTGAAAAAAGAAAAGATTATGGAAAAGAGAAGTGATCGCTTGATAAATGTTCTTTTTCAATTTTGACAGCCAGGCTATTTTTCACTACTTCCTTGATTCTGTTATGATCAGAGCATTCAAATAATTTTTCAGTTGGAAAATGATGTGGATATATGAGATGAAGCTTTATTGAGGAATCCTTTCTTCAGAGATACATTTTGTCTACAGTTATAGTTCTAGAATGATTTTGTACTCAACTAAGTTCAAGGAAAAACCTTCACTGTTTTTTTACTTAATCGACGTCTGATCCAGAGATCAATTTCTGAAATGGTTTTCCTGTTATAATTTGTGAAGCTTTTATCAATGATGAGAGTGACAAAATTTTTGTTGGGAAGGTGTGCATTTCTTTGAATGAAAAAATAATTCCCAGTAATTTACTCATCGTTTTATAACACTAATGTTTGGCTTTTTCTATAGTTCAGCTGGTTTTAATTTCAATATTCCATTATTGGTGTTTTTTCTCTTAGTCTCCTTATTTTTGGGTTGGCAGGAAGTGTAGGATTCTGTCAGCACCTGTTTTCTTTGATGCTGAATTATACAGGTTACTTTTGGCTGTATGTCTTTATTCTGTCATTCAGACGGTGAATCTGTCAGAAAGCAGTCTGTTTTACACTTGTTTATAGTAATGCTTGTTTCGCATTGCTTTTCGTGTATCTCACAACTCAGTAATATCTTGTTTGTTTTTGATGTGTTAAATAGACACTTTCCCAAAATAGAAAGCACAAACTGACATCATTAAATCTCATATGTCGCTGGAAATTTATACCATTACATGAATTTTGCAGTATTTAGTGTCTGGTGTGAAGAATTTTTGTTTTACAGAAATTCATGATATATCACATAGAAAATCTTATACTAAATTGATCATTTTGGGTAAGGTTCACTAGAATAATTTTTTCTTATTTTTTTAAATCCACTGATGAGGATACATAGTATTGTTCGTGAACATCTTTTATGATTTTTTTTTTGTCATTTATTAGTGAACTGGACAAGATTGGCTCTCTAAGGTTTAACCATCTATTTAATAACTAAAACCATCAATTCTCTCTTGTAAATTCAAACAATGGAAGGTTTTATATTATTAAGTCAATATTTTTTTATGTGAATATCTCCCGTATTTAAAGCATTGATATCTCTTACTTTTGGTGCAGCCCATAAGCAATTTTTTTTGTGATTATTTAAAATGATCATTCTGATGAATTCCTTTTTAAATTTCAAGATTGAATTTAAAGGATGTGATTTTTTTATTAAAGAAATCAATCTTGTATTTTAAAGTCAACCAATAGTCGGTTTGCTTACCATGCATTGTTTGTTCAAATTTTGCAATTTTATGCTAAATCAAAACTTTAGATAGTTTCCTCATCATACTGGTATTCTGAGTGAAAATCTTTACTCATGAGCTTCACAATCAATTTGATTCCCTTAAAATTACAGGAGAACCTTTACTTAACAGAAATAATTACTATTAGTTGTGCCATTTTTGTAAAACTTGTATGTGTTGTTGCTTACCATAATTTAAGGTCAGAATTGAAAAAAAAAATTGTAAATTTTTGAGCAGTGACAGATAGAGTATTGCCACATATGATTTAACTAATTCTAAACAAATTTGAAAGGCTAATGCTGGAAATGTCAGTTTTACAACCTCTTTAAGGTGGCCAGTTTATATTATCAACTTAGCTGATAAAACTGAATTATCTTGTTATTTCCCTCACTGATGCTGCACTGCAGTTTCCTTCAAAACTTACCCACTTTATTCGTATCTGGTTTCAGACCAGTTTGCTTTGTGTTTTGGCTTGTTACAGATTCACTCCCTCTTTCTCAATAGACAAAAACTGCAAATGACTTGCTCAAGTTTTACAACATAGCTATGTTTAAGACATAATTTAAGTTGATTCAGTTGAGAGTGCTTTAAAAATCTCAAAGATTTCTTGCCAATTTTTTGATAGAATTGGCCCAATAACTGTTAAGTATACTGTACATGTCCTGTGCAGTTGAATGTGGAAACATAACAAAGTTCTGTGAATATACTAGGAAATGTTTCATAGCAGTGGAAAAAAATTTTGTTTGTAATGATTCTTTGAATCCTCTTTGGATCAAAAGTAAACACAGTAAAGATTATGCAGTTTTGCTTATTGGACTTTTGTGTTTATGAATTAGTAATGTACTCTTATTATCTACCATAGCAACAGTACTATTTTAATCCTTCTAAGAAAAATAATAAGTGAATCCAGTCTTACAACTTTGCATTTCCTATTGGTACTTGACATTGTTAGTACTTGAGTTTTCTGTGGTTGAAATTTTTTACTTAATGATTTGGAATTGGTGAATTTTCCAATCCCTATACTTCTGACCATTTGATCTTTGATTAAATTTCCTTATTGGTGGTTTTCAGCATTATTTTATTTCTGTAAACAATCATTGTTTCTTGCGTCACTAAGGTATAATGATTTGTTTATATATGTTTACCCTTAAGACATGCAATATCATTGAAATTTGCATGAGCTTTCCATGCATTAACATTTGTTTTATTACAACTAATGATACTCTTAAGCTTCTTTCTCAGTCAGATTCTTTTTAGTCAAGTTAGAACCATTTCAAAGCCTCTGAATTAAAATCATCTTTCTTCAGAGTATTGGACATCTTTTAAAGTGAACTTGGAAAGATCTGACTGTGACTTGTGTGTTTATATTGAAGAGTTTTGCAGCAAATTTAGAAGCTAAAAGGTTTTTTAATCATTTTAATCATTGAGGCAAAAAAAACTTGAAGGACTGTTTCTTGATAAAAGTTATGGTATAAAGGTAGCCTGGTATGGTCATTTTGACAAAAAGTTGCCAATTTTTAAATCAGTGAAAATGTTTGAGAGCAGACCAGCCACTACTACATGTAGACAAGTGCTTTTGCTAGAAAAATGCTCTCAGACAAATGTGGTATTTGTTAAAGAAAGTTGTTTCAAGTTAGATGTCAAACTACTGTATTTGGTTAAGGTAGTCTAAGCATTTGAGTTTCTCCCATTTTTTTTATCTCTGAAGCTCACTACAAAATTAAGTCATCATAAATTGAAGATCCTACTCTAAAATCCATAAGATCATGAATGCTGTTCCACTCAAGCACAACTTAATTAACTTAATAATAGACAAATTTTTTTCTGGGTCAGTTACTTGTTAATTTAATGGCATCGAAGAACAAGATGAAGAATTCAATTCCACACTCTTTGACAGTTACATTAAATGAATAATATATAGAAACAAGCATGTAGATTTGAACAGAAAAAACAATTTTTTAAAAGAAAAAGTAAAACAAAAACTTTTGTTCAGTCATCAGCTTAATTAACACTTTCTATGATATGAAGTGCCATTTAAATAAAATCTGTCAAATATCTCAGTAATAGCAACAGTAAGCTTTAGCAAAATTCAATAGGTCGTCATCAGTGAGAACTAAACATTCGAATATGCATTCTGCATTTTTCTACAGGGAGGGTCACTATTCAGTGGCCAAGTTGATTCTTGATAGCAATGCGGAAGTTAATGTCCCCTCTGGAAGTGAAAATAATATCCCACTTACATTGGCTTGCTGGAAAGGTAATGTTATTAGAAATGTTGGGAGTTCCCTAAATGATAAAAATGATGATGATGGTTAAGTCTGTACTTGAGCCAAGTAGCCCATTCAGCTAGAGCTTATCCCAGTTTCCATAGCATGAAGTGACAAGAAGGATTACTACTCCCCTCCTGGATGGATGCCAGTCCATCGCAAGGTTTACCCCTCAGTATTTCATCAGACTTCCCTGACTATTTACTGATACCCATTTATACTCCTGGGCAGAGAGACTCACTGTAAAAATGGAGTGTTTGTACAAGAACACAACACATTGACCAGGCCAGGTCTCGAACCTGGACCTCTCAACCTGGAGTCTAGTGCATGGACCACTAGGCTACCGAGTCTTCCATGGAGGAGGATGATGATGATGAATTGTACAGGCACATAAAATCACTTATTGCATTTCTGTTGTAAGAGTATTATTACTTTATCTTACAATGGAGAAGGGATGTGTGTCCACTTGAAGTAGTCTCCAACATATGGTGGGTACACTTTAAATCACTCCATGCTATGAAAATCATAGTAAAATTCTGGAGGCTGAGGGTAAACATGGCTTGTATAGGAACTGATGTAAGCTTTGAGTGTCTTAGTCTGAGGGAAACATCTTGAATTATTTGCTCTCATATTCATAGGTCATACTAATGTGGTGGAACTTCTTTTGGAACATAAGTCAAACATTGAGCATCGCAACAAGGCGGGTTGTACCCCTTTGATGCTAGCCTCAAGGTATTGTTATAAACACTGTTGTAAAGGATACATCTTTGAATGTATGAAACAAGTTCAATTAAGACTCCAAGTTGAACAAATAAAAACTTTTTTTTAATTCACAACCTTAATGTAATAAAATTCCCTTTTCCAGGGAGGGCCATGTAGAAACCACTCGTCTTTTGCTGAACAAAGGAGCGGAAATAAACACACCTTCAGGGAGCAATGATGATACACCTCTCACTCTGGCCTGCTGGAAAGGTATTCATGTCAGAAGAAGCTTGTTATAGTGTTTTTTGTGTGTGTTTATGGTAAGTTCCCAGCTGGCAAGTAATGTGAGATCTGAGAGATTTGAGTACAATTGAACAACCATGGCCTTCCTATTTTTTTTGGACAATCAGGACTATTGAAAAAGGGAAGGGAGAAGGGACATTGAATCCTGATCATTTTGGGATCAAGATGACCTCTATGCTATAATGTGTCTGACAATTACAAAAATTTCAATTTGGACTCAAGGGTCACACCTTGTACTTTAGTCACCATGTAGTTTTAGTCAGCAATTTGCACTGGGTTGAAATGTAATGTGGGAAGCCACGTTAAAATGTCTCTTATCAACAGAGAACAAAATTTATCCTTGGCTGGCCCAATGAGAACCTCAGGTCAATTTCTCCTCTAACCCAACATTAACCCTAACTTTTTATCAGTTGACTGTAGTTAGGGTTAAGGGAGGGGTAAGTGTGCAGTTACTCAAATACTGACATTGATGCAAAAGTTCCTGCGAAGAAAAGTAGACAGTGTGATAAAAATTCAGAGCCAAGTGAACAACAACAAAAATAGGGAACTAAAATATCACAAGTTTGTGATACATAATTTACCCCTGCAAGGAATCCTTTCAAACTTTGGAAATGCTTATGCCTTTGTTTGCCTTGCAGGTCATGTTGATGTTGTCAATCTACTTCTCAAACACAACTCCAAGGTTGATCATCAAACTAAAACTGGCTGTACACCTCTTATGGAGGCTACAAGGTTTGCTCATGCTTAAACCTTTCATTCCCAATGTCCAATAAGTGATTCTCCTTTTTAGCTACTCTATCTTTCCTTGCCTTGAAAATCAAGATTTGTTTTATTTCCATTGCTAAAAGCAAATCTCACATTCAGTACTGATATTGGGGTTAAATTCTCAGGGAGGGGCACGTCGCTGTGGCAGAACAGCTTCTTGCTCATGGTGCTGATGTAGAACTTCCAGACAACTATGGTCAAAGTCCTCTATTTATGGCCTGCTGGAAAGGTTTGTGCATTTACATGTAGCTTGTTAATTCAAACTGTCATTTTTGTAGCACCAAAGATTTTTTATTACTATGAGTTTGCAGAACTGATTGCATTTTTCAGGGATTAAGTATTTTAAAATTACAATTTTGACTTGATCCTAAAAAATGGGTACAGAAAATTTTTGATAATACATGAATTCCTTGAAAAACTGTACTGAGAGCTTCTGGTTGTTCAACATGGTGAAAACTTTTGCTTGTGAAGAGCATGGATTGTGTGATTGACAACAAGACTTACATGTACTGTAACTGTAATCTTGTAATCCAGTGAATGATGTAAAATTCTGGGTTGCACAAGAGTTCAAACTCAATGAACCTGTTGCACTAGATAGTATCTGACACTGGATTTAAGTGGAAATGCTACTATTATCTCAGTGGCAGAAGCAGTGAGCAATAAAATTTGAATTAGTTCCTCACCCCTACTGCTGAGATGTTTCAATTTTAATTCCCACCACCCCTGTGGAAATCCTAGTTGGTATTGATTTATATTTCTTTAAAATTATGGCCTATGTGACTCCCTCCTACTTGGGAATTTCATTGACCCCAGTCTGCGCAGGAACAGATAAATGCTATCAGTGTACAATTGCTGCAATGCTTACCTGTATCAAGCAAGGTTTTGTGCTTTCAATTCATTCTCTGTGAGGGGCTTGTAATTTAGCCCAAGGTATCACTGCTCACATGCACTAAAGACAGACTATTTGCATTCTATCATTTGCACTTAAGGGATCATTTTTATAAATGGTTTTTGTTTTGCTTCTCATTTTCCTTAGGTCACAGAGATGTTGCTGAACTTCTTCTTGAAAATGTTGCAAATAGAGACTGCCGAACAAAAACTGGTATCACCCCACTGTTCCAGGTAAGGCAGGATGTTTGAGATAAACAGTTCACAATGCATGCTATTGAAAAGAAAAAGGTTAACTTAACAACATTCTCTCTTTTTCTTTCTAGGCATGTCGTGAAAATCATGTAGATGTGGTAGAACTGTTGTTGGATTATGGAGCCAGTGTGAATGCACCATTCCCAAACAGCAGGTACAGTGTAGGTTTTAAAGATGCAGAAGCTGATTTGCAGGATTTGGAATCTGTCTGTTGTGTAGACAAGACACTCTACTCTCACATTACCCTCAAGTATGGATATTTTTAGTTGGTTATCAAAGGTGGAATGAGAAATCTCAGTTGAGTAGGCTGTAAGGACTAGACTATGACTGGTCCCTGCTTTTTGGCAAAGTGCATTGCAGGAGTAAAAAAAAATTATATTTGTGCTGGGATCAAGATGTTTTTTAAATGATTTTTTTGACTCATGTGACAGACCTTGCCTTTAAATAGGGACTACTCATAGTCAGGTGAGGACTTGCTGTCCCTTCCAGTTCAAAATGAGTACTGTCATATTACTTCACTCAAACTTCAGTGTCTAAATAACTGAAGTAGATAGCAAGAATTTCAATTTCTATTTACCGTGAATGCTATCTTTAAGCCCTCTATTGGAGTGAAGCCACTTCCTAGATTTTCCACAGTTGAAATTCAATTTTTCTTAAACTGTTACTAATTTACATTGCAATTTTTAATTGTTATTTATTTACCCACAGGGAAAACCCACTGACTCTTGCAGGGGAGAAAGGTCACGTTGAACTTGTCTCCCTGTTACTAAGCAGGTTAGTTAAGGTTGCAGTTGTTTTTAATCACATTGATTATTTCTGCTGAGAAATTTTCAGAGCTATTGGAAAACAGCTTTTCCTTTTTGTGAAAGCTGGGTCAAAGATGTAAAAATTTAGGAGGAGTCTGAAGGGAGTGAGCTGGATTATATGCAGGCAACTGATCTGTTATTCCAATAATATGATGTGGACTTCCAAAGAATCACAATTCTCTGCCCTATTTGTAAAACATGTGTAGAGAATACTTCCTCGCCTTTCTTGTGCTTTGTGAAGCATTAAAAAGATTTGTTGCAAACTTTAAGGTGTATGTGTAGTCTGGAAGTTCTTTAAATAGTGTCATTGTTAAAATTAAACATGATATCTTCAAATTCCTTGAAAGGTGCAGGAAGAAAATTGAAAATTTTCCACAAACACACTTCAGTGTTTCTGTCCATTGTGTTATATATTTTTAGCACCTATACATATGCCCTTGTAAAATGTGTATCAGTGGTCAATTTTGTGTCCAACAAATTAGTCCATGTTTGGTGAAATAATTTCAATCATTTTGAAATCCAGTGAATGATGTAAAATCCTGGGTTGCACAAGAGGTCAAACTCAATGAACCTGTTGCACTAGATAGTATCTGACACTGGATTCAAAATAAAATACTTCACTTGCAAGGGATTTTTTGTTCATTGTACACATTTTGCACTGAAGTTGAAATGCAGGTGACTATCATACGAGTAGTTTTGAGAGGTTTCTCCCAGAAATCTCAGCTTATTTTCTTGTCTTCTTTCCATCCCTTTAGGAATGCAAATGTTGAGTGTCACACCAAGAAAGGCTGTACTCCATTCCATCTGGCTTGTAAAGAAGGTCATTTAGAAATCGGTGTACAGCTTCTTGAGAAAGGAGCAGATACAGAGGTGACAAATTAAAACTTGAATAGAAGCATGTTAAGTCAATGTTTAACCCTTTAACTGTCATGATTGACCAAGAGAGAATTTCTTCTTACAGTGTCAATACAATATCAAGCAGGCAAGTGATGAGAATAAAGAAAATATCAGTTAGGGGATTATTAGTTGATCCAATACCGAATTCTCCTAACTAACATCATGAGAACTGTATGGCAGAAAGTAAGGAGTATTTCTAATGAGAACTTTGGAGTTTAAGGGTTAAGTCGATATTTAAATGAAGAAAGACACAGCAGCTTTGGGGTTAACAAACTGCACTCAAGATCGAAAAGTTTGAGAGCTATTGTGGGATTTTTTATTGTTCATATTGTTTAAATACCGTTCTGGATATCTCGCGCAGGAGAGGGATTATTTTACAAAATTGTCCAATAATGTTACAGTTACAAATCAACGGTTCATCTTAAATTGCAATATTAATCTTGTGCTTCCTTGGTTGCAGGCTACTGACTCCCGAAACAACACTCCTCTTGTTGCGTCCATGAAGAATGGACATGTGGAGGTTTGTTGTTATTATTATTATTATTATTTTTATTATTTATTTATATTTTCTTTATGGTGCCAGCGAGCACAATTTGTTCAAATTTCTATCACACGTTTTTTTGTCGCTGTGATTCCTTTAATACTCACCAAGTTAAGTAGGACCTTTTTTCTGTGTAGAGGAGTATAATCTCATTCGCCTCAAGAGCTTGAGCAAACAGAAGGTACACCGTAAATGTGGAAAAACGGAAAGAAGTCTCGCATTTTCCTACAAGCAACAAGCATTTGATTGAGGGGTGAAATAGTTACAAGCAATTTAAATTTCATACAAGCTTTCTGTTTGCGTTAAAGTGTATCGCAGAATTCTGAGAACTTTTGTTCACTTCTATCGATGAAATTGCACGCTCCTTTAAAACACGTCTCGGTTTTCACTGAACTTCTCCGTTCACTTCTTAAATATAAATACATTTAACACCGTTTTTCTCAAGTTTTCGGTCAAATGTTCTCAACTCTCGGTAACACGAACCTTTTTGAATTTCTGTTGAAGCTTTGTGCTTTTGGAAGTCGACATTTTGTTCAGTGTGAGTCTGGGAAAAGAAAACAATTGCATTGAATGAAAATTACCCTTTGCGTGCGTACACAAGAATCTGTTAGCCCTATGAAGGGCGGTTATCACTTGGTTTTGGATCCCGAAAGGACCAAGTTTAATATAAACCTAAAGTACCTTTCGACTTTTCACCTATAGGTTGTGGAGTGGTTACTGAATGTTGTCAATCATCTTCCGTCTGAAGATCAGTGCCAAAAGTGTCTCGTCGCACCTGTGGACGATAAAGAAAAACATGACGACATGATGCTTGGAAGAACAAAGTGCTACGACTTGGTCACCAAGGTCAGTTGCAAAGAGAGGGCAGTAACTCCTTTAGAGTCCACGTTAGTTAAATGTCAAAAGTAATCTTGGATTACAGTGGTTTTTCCTTCACCGCTTTTGGATCGTGCGGGAAGACTCGCTCCAAATTCTCAACAAATCAGATGCGAAATCGCAACTAATCGCGACTTGTCGTTGATCCTTGGAGCACTTGTCCTCTGAGTATCGTAAAACCAAAACCAAGCTTATTACAACAGCCAATTAGAAGAAAGGAAGATACCTATTAGGAGCCAATGAGAACTCGAAGTAAAATCCAAACTGTCTAAAGCGCGCGAAAACGCGAGCGACCACGGCGTGATTGGTCTTAGTCTTGACTCTTATTGGTTGAGATTGATGAGAGTTTTCTGAACCAATCACAGAGCGTAGCAACAAAGCAATCCCGGAGTACTTTCGACACTCAATCGAAAATTGCTCCCTCCCAGGCTCCTGGCGGTATGGTTGATTTTACTCTTTCTTTGACTTCTCGTTCGTTTTTTTTGTTTAACCTTTTTTTTTTTATCTTTGGTTATTTTGATTAATTGTTTTCTTTTACGACACTGCGACATGAAGCGTTGTGTTAACACTTCTTATAGTCACTGGTACAGGGTTTTTGATATTGTCTGGTTAATTTCTTTGTATAATTCCCGCTGTTTAGGCAAAGAAGGCAAGGGAACAGAAAGTACAGAGGAATACAGAGATCTTTTTGAGGGTTAGTGCTGTTTTTTTTCTCGTCATCTTTACTACTTACCATAGAGCTTTATACTTTGTTGTTTACTTGAGGTAATTTTCCTCAGCTCAAACAACCCAACATCTCTTTACAGAGCTCCTGTATCGACCATTTGTAGGTCTTATGCCGAGATTTTTAGCTGCAGCCCAATGTTTATAGATGGAGTCTTGTATTTTTTTTTTTAGGAACTCGAACACGAGAAAGAGAAAGAAGACATCAGGAAGAAGAAGGCAGCAGCAAAACGAAGAGACAAGAGGAAAAGAAAGAAAGCAGCCAAAGACAGCGAAACATTGTGTGGAGTACAAGTGGGCGAGGACTTACCGCTTGAGAACAGACCGCAAGAGATGGCGGATGACTTCGACCACGATCAAGAGGATAACGTGGGTGATGTTGTGGATACCACACGAGAGCCGTGCTCTGAAGAACTACTTACTGAAAATAACCACCAGGAAATGAAAACAGATGAGAAAGAATACCTCCTCGCACAAGACGCTTTGAAAAATAGACAGATTGCTGATGATGATAGAAATAAACTCAAGATTTGTCCCAGTAATAAGAGATCTACTCTTGATAGCGGGCATGCAAAGCCTAAAAGACCTCTCAGCAGCACAGGGGATGTGTCGACGCCGCAGAACTCTCTTTGCCCTCATCAAAAGGGCCGTGCTCGAAGTCAGAGTGCAGGGAAAGAAACAGAGTTGAAGAATAACACTTTGCCAGATAAAAATTCTAGAAAGAAAAGCGATGAACCTGCCAAGATCACTAAAAAGAAAATCATTCCTTCGAACAGCGACAAAGCGGACTCTGTAAAGACGCAGAAAATTGAGTTGAAGACTAAAACAACCAGCGAGGTAACACAGTCAGTGACGGTGAATTGTGTGAAACCAGACGTGAAACAGCAAACCAAGGCTGAAAAGCCGTCGTCGAAGAAAGAATCATCCGAAAAGGCGAATAGCTCTGCGAGCAGTCCTAAAAAGAACTCGTACAGCAGCAAGCAGCAAAATGTCGGAAATACATCTTCTGTGGGTGACAAATCGTCCAGTTCAAAGGATTCTAGCGTCAGTGGAGCGGCAACAACTAAAAAGTCTTTCGATGCAACTCAGCCATTTGTTCGAAAAGGGAAAGACACCACAAATGCTGTTGACAATAATACACCAACGACCTCCACAGTCACTGATAGTAGGACTTCTACAAAGGGTACACTCGCTGCAGGACATTTGTCAAGTGGTAGCAACAAGACAACACCTACTGAAGGAGAACGAGAACACAAACCAGGTGAGTCACTTCAATTCAGGTCGGTTCTTGTTTTTCTTCTACCAAGAGTCAAATTCCCCACACTTGGTCGCCAAAGTGCTGGGCACGATGAGGAAAATTGTCCTAGGGTGGGGAGGGTGAGGGGGACAAGCTACGATACAACCAGGTTGGAAAAGATTGAAGCGAGCCAAGACTTTTGCCTCTTAATGTTTTCTAAGCAAAAGTTAATTTTACTTCCTCGATTTCTTTTTCCTTTTCTTTTTAACAAGTGCACAATTGACAAGTTGTTGTTTTTTCTTCGCTCTCTCAGTACATTCACCAAGGTCAAAACAACAGCATTCCCAGCTAGGGAGAGGTGAGGATAATTGGAAAGAAGTCACAAGGAGTACAAACTCGAAGTAAGTTTTTAATATTTGTTGAGGACATTTCGAATTTAGCTGTGTCGGTAAAACAAACCATCAGTTATTGTGTTCGTGTTGTAGGTCATGTCGGTGTATCGTTAAAGACTTTGCTTAGATTTCACAAGTTCTCCTGAACTATTTGAGGTCCAACATTGTATATCATTCCCTCTTAGGTAATCTTTGAACCTCTCAGCCTCTCATCTACGGCTTCCGAAAATTTGACAATCGTTTTCTCTTTTGAAGCCAAAAGGAGGAGAAAGTTTTCACTGAAATTTTTATTGTTTTTTTTGTTGCTTCAATGTGGTTTTTTCTTTTCAATTACAGGACAGTAATGTATCAACTGACAGCTCCCAATGCAATATGTGGGCGTGTCATTGGTCGTGGAGGGAGCAAAATCAACTCCATAACAGTACGTATCCTGATCTGTCCGATATGGATCGTCATCCGTTATGCAATAGAAAGCAACAGAAAACTATTCTTTTTATTGCTAATTATCTTATCAATGATTTTCCTCGCGAATTGCTCCAATTAATCAGTTAAAAACAAAATTATTTAACGCTGTGAACCAACTAGAAGCCAGTCATTTTGAGATTTTTTAGTCATTTATTTATTGATTTGTGCCTTGATGTACTTATGTTTGTTTACTTTGTACCATTCCAGGAAGAATCGGGCGCGCAAATAACGATTGGAAAACCAGAACCAAAGAATCCAACGGACAGAGTTATCACCATCAAGGTATAGAAGGGATTGACATGCAGCTTCTCCTTACAATTTCAATACGTTACCTAGCAAACTGGTTGTAGGAATCTAAAAAAGTATCTGCTCGAAGCTGTAATGTTGATCGAACACAAAATTCCCTCAACCAATTATCTTCCAGTATAGCAACTAGAAGGGAGAGTTACAATTCAGATCTTACGAGTTTAAGGGTTAAGGATTAAAGTTATCTGTTGTTTTTCAGGGGTCCAATAAAGCTGTCCAAAGAGCGAAGTTCCTTGTCACACAAGCGTTAAACACGCCTAGTACAATTGGACAAACGACATCCTCTGTGTCTACGGCGACCACATCTAACGCAATGTCATCCTCAGACAGGACACAAACCAGCACTTCTCCAGCTCCTGTTCGAGGCAACTATGCTGCGATTCCTTCATCATCATCTTCATCTGAATGGCCTACCATTGAACAGGCTAACAACATGGCCGTACAGGCACCAGCAGCGAAGCCGACCGCTCCTAACAGGAACGACAAACCCAGCGAAGGAACGAAAAGTTCACCAGAGCTTAGCGACGGCAGTCAAGAAGTGTTTGAAGATGCAGTTGTAGCTTCAGCAGATGTGGTTGTGAGCGGCACAGAAACATCCAGTATCTTTGCAACTTCGACGCCTGTTGTTGCAGACTCTACACAAACCACTTCATCCGCTTGGAAACCGTACAGACAATCGTCGCCTCAAAGCATGGGCGCTTGTACCAGTGCGGTTACAACGAGCGGCAGTAGCAGTATGACGGTGGCTAGTTCGCAGGAACCAATTGGCAGGCTGATGATAGAAAAACACAATGGTGATGTGCCAGCGCCGCACAGACCTTTCCATTTGCAGGGCACATCCTGTGTGCAAGCTCAAGCTCAACTCAGAAATAACCGCTTAAGTGACATGCAGGGACTGGACCCTGTCACGTTACACGAAAGCTGGGAACAAAAGGTATCCTTTCTTTGAAGTGTGGCTCCTGTATGATTATACCAAGCTTGTGCTTCTTTGGTCGAGAAGGTGGCACGTGTTTTCTGAATCAATGGCCATTTTATCTGTAATCTTTGCTCTTATCGGCATTTTCAAACAGAGGCTTAGTGTATCTACTGAGTAATTGCTTTAAAATTGTACCTTTGGATTTTATATGATATCAAAACGCCAAAAGATAAGAAGAGGAAATAAGAAAGACGAGTAAGGTCTGAGTAGAATATCACAGGACTACTAATGACGAACTTGAAATTTTTATGGCTCAATTTTTTGAAGATGCACAGTCCCTGTCGGGGCTTTTACAAACTATAAGAGGGTTCGGGAAAAAGAGACTAACTTTACGTCTAAGATTTTATAGTTGTTTACCCGCAATTTTTATTAAGTTTCGAATGAAATCCGGGATTGCTTTGGTTTTGTGTGAGTTCGCTCTTCGATTGGTCAAGAAAATTTGCGCCTCTCTCTCAACCAATCCGAGGCAAAACTAAAGCAAACGCGACTTGGTCGTGAAGCTCGGGTAGCCCAGCCGCTGTAAGGGTGATGAGGCCGCGCTCCTCTCCAAAAGTGAGAAGTTCCTTGCTTTAGTTTGGTTCTACCATACTTAATCAAAAGCGCTCTAACAGCTTTTGTGTCGGTTGTTTGTCCCTCATTAAGGTCTCTTCGTCATCAACATCGACGTCAGTGGCAACAGTGTCAATCAGCACGAGTGCTGTCACGACTGCAAATCATCGAGATCATCACATTACACCCGAAAACCCATTTGGAGTCATCGGGGAAGTCTCTGTGGCCACCTCAGCTTATCAGAGTAATTATAATTACTATCATCATCATTTCTATTAATATATAGATTCAGCCAAGCCTAAAAGCGGAGCTCGCATTTTTTTCCCGCACGTCTCATCCTTGCCCCGGGACTAGAACCCGGGTCGTCCGACTCGGAGCCCAGTGCACTGACCACCTCTACTGGACAAAGCTTTGGCGTGCCCGAGGTAATTGACCACGCATAACTAGCACTTTGTATTATCATCATTTCCAAATTTTTTTCTTGATTATTATTTTGTATAATTATGGTAGTAGTGATAGTAGTTTTAGTATTAGTATTATTGATATTAATGGTAATATTATAATTTTTTTGTCATCTTCTGAGCCATCCCTTTGTGGTGTAAAACAGTTAATATCTTTCGAACACGAAGACTGCGAATCAAACCATTAAATTTTGTGTATTTTGGAGTTTTTTCCTATGCTGTTATTCTAACGTCAAGTCTGCTGGTGAAATCCTAGTGTGTGACCGTTCAAATGATTGCTATTGAGTGTTACCTCCACGGGGGTCTGCGCAAGTGGGTTCTAACTTGTTGTTGAATGCCTAGTGTTCACCATTCAAAGGACACTATCAATCAGTCATTTCGTGTATTTGTATTCCCATCTGTTTTGTTACACAAGGTGGTTCTAACTTTTGAAGTTGTTCTGTATAACCCGAGTGCATGATTACTGAATTGAGAGCTTTTCGGTACTGCTTTTACGAGAGAAGATTTTTCTTGCTGTAGAAGGCGTTTCTAACGTTTAAGACTGTCATTGAAACCTCGGTTAAGTTATGTGCGGTGATATGATTGAGTGAAGAATGAACTGAAGTCTATGTATTTTTTGTCGTATTGTTAAAATTTTTCTTCTCAATTTCAGCTGAAGCTGCTGTTCCCGACTTCAATTCTCAGCAGGAAAGCTTACTACAGAACAGGGTCTCTTCTTCGTCTGGGGATGCGACAACTTCCGGTTTATTACAGTCTCCTAGGGAGAGAAACAAGTCAAAGTTACCCAGTTACTTTAGTTCTTGGGCTTCACAACCGTCAGGTAGAGATCTTTTTCTTATCCCTGCGTTTCGTTGATGCGATTCGTCTCTGTTTTCCTCCTCTATGGTTTCTTAGTTTTAGAAGCTCTCGCTATTTTTTTATAGGTTTCTCCGACATAAGTTCAGACAGTATCACCTCTGGAAGAAAATTAGAGGTAATTTTTTACATTTTTTCTTATAAACCTTTTCAGAAGTGATTATTTTAAACTCAGTTCTGAGATTAATCAAGTTGTGTACGTTTATACCTGATTATTGTACCTTGCCTCCACAGGGTCCGCTTCCTGGAATGAATATTTTTACTAGCAGCCTTTTCAGCACTGGGTAGGTTGTTTTCTTTGTTTGTGTTTTTTTATTACTCGTATTTTTATAAAGTTGCTAAATTTCCTCGTGAATTTATTGACGCTACCTAATCAACCAATACAGAAAATCCTGTTTTACCCATGGCCTCCGTTTTCCCGCCCTTTTCTTTTATAGCGTGTACTTTGCTTTGAGTTCTGATTGGTTCTTGTTTTGTATGTCTGTTTTGATTGACCTCTTTCGTCGTTTGTAGGTCTCTGTCGTCATATCCTTGGTCTACTGGTGAAGATAGCCGTGAACACGAAGAGCGAGCTCGCAGTATCAGCTGGTCTGGACAGGTAGAATTACAATATCACCTTCGATCATGCAGTATGATCGTCTGGTCGAGAGAAGTCATTAATTCTTTACCCCCCTTAGAGTGACTGGTACCTAATTTCTCCTTTCAATATCACACCAGAATCACACATTGAAGCCATGAGAATAAAGGAGATGATAAAAAAACTAAAGAAGCTATGGAAAGTTTAGTGATTTATCGAATGAACGCTCTCCAGCTGATAAATTTGTCTTTTTCTTGAACTTGAGTTCACACTCGTTGATCGCTTCTGGTATTTATTTGCATCGGCGAGAAAGGCCATTTATTTTAAACGTATTGAGATTTACACTGTGAAGTACAATCGCTCGTGTCTCTGATTTGACGAACGATGTATTTTCCTAGTCTTTGAAATGTGTCGGTCAGTAAGAAAACATCTCAGTATGTATGAAATAAAAACGTCATACTACTGAAAGTGCTTGAACGATTTTTATTCACTCGTTGCAATGTATTAGAAAAAACTCATTCGTTCGCTGCGCTCACTCGTTGGTTTTTTTGTTTTTTTGTTTTTATGCCTTGCAACTTGTGAATAAAAATCGTTCGTGCGCACTTTCCATGGAATGATCCCTATTTTCTAAGTGATGTGCGTCCTGTATAACTCTAGGATTAGCAATATCGAAGGCGCTGTGCCTTGTGTGATGACACATCAGGAAAGATACTGATGTATTGGTTGTTGTTGAAAGAACGATTGTTAACATTTGTGTAGAGCGTTAAACAAAGAAAAGACTGAATTTTGCTTTTGATCTTCAGCAGCATGATTATCAAGGAGAACATCAATTCATTTCACCTGTGAAAGAAAAGTTTTCTCCTTCATCTCAGAAGTCAGGATCAGATGCGGCAACAGTCAACCTGAGGGCGTCTGACCTTCGTGGTGACTCTGGAACCTTCAAATCACTGTCCTCGGGCATCTGGGGACCTGTGTCGTCACAGCCTCCGCATTCCGCATCCTTGTCGGTTGTGTGCGATGACAGTACTCCTGATAAACAGGCTTGGAACAACTCGGACAGCACAAGTAGCAGTAGAAGTAGTAGCCGGCAGGAGCTTTCCTCCATCATGGACAGTGACTTACCCCCGAGTAACAACGTATGGAATTCGTCCGCGTTACTCGAGGACATGACACCCACCCCCCAGGAGGCTCAAGGAGGAATCAATACGGCGCTGTCAGATCAGGGTGTACCGACTGGCTCACAGTGGGTCCCAGGCAGAGGAGCTTACAGTGCCCCTTCGTCACCCTCCCTTCCACGTGCACACAATCTCCCCGAGTCTGCACCCCCTTCTATGGGAGGACGCCCCTCGGTTGACGACTTCGCTGTGCGGTCGTGGAATTCCAAGCGGAGGAGTCCACGGTCTTTAAGCAGTAGCGAGCCATCCACTGCCTGGAATGAGAACCTTCCTGCTCAACCGAGACGCTCAAGCGTGGATCTTTCGCAGCCGGGTGGTGGTGAGAATAGTATTCCTGCTCATCCCTGGCAACAGTATTCGCGTCTACCACAGGGATACCCTCCTGGCTTGACGATGAGGGAAAACTGGCGGGAACAGCAAGGTCCTGTGGGCAATTCAGAGATCAATCAACTACTGCAGCGGCTAAGTCTGGAAAAATATGTACCCTTGTTTGAAGTATGGCTTATTTACTTTTCTTTTCCATGTTATATTTTGTTTAATTTTTTTATTACTTTAATGATACCAATTTTCCCGTTTTTTTTTATCATTATTATCGACAGGAACATGGCATCGATGCAACACGGTTATCTCAGATGGTAGAGGAGGATTTGGAAAATCTCGGAATACCAAAGGTTTGCAACAACAAAGCTATATGAATGTCATTTGTGAGACTCCTTTGCATGAAGGGTGAGCGAAGGTGATCTCTGAGTAGTTCCATGTTAAGCTCTGATATTTGTTTGTTTTTATCTCTTTCCAGGGTCCACGTCTGAAGTTACTTCATGGTAAGGGACTGTTTGATTTTTACTGGGGAATTTATTTTTCCTTTTTTTTAACCCCTTACCTCCCATTAGTGACCAAGGGAGAATTTCTCCTTACAATATCAATACAATATCAAGCATGGAAGTGATTAGAATAGAATAAAATATCAACTAGGGGATTATTAGTTGATCCAATACCAAATTCTCCAAACTGACATCATAAGAATTATATTTCAGACAGTAAAGAGAATTATCAAACAGATCTCAGGAGTTAAAGGGTTCATTACACTTATAAGGCTAAGTTTAATACCCCAGAAAATCGAGAAGACCTGATGTTTCAAGCTTTTATTCTATGCTGAAGAAATTTTAACTTCAGTTAAAGAACAAACTGTGACTATTTGTCGCCAGCGTTACACAGCAGTCTCTTCGAGAACGAATTAATTTGCTCTCTTACCGGACTGGTGTAGCAAGGGTGCATTTGTCTATAATTATGTCAGAATGGTAGTTATTGACCGAGTTGTAGATTATTGTATAGATGTAAATTGTTGTTCCAAAGGCCGGGAAAACTTAATGCTGAATTGACAGTATTTATGCATGATATTCAGGTGCGAGGTGGTGCAGTGGAAACAACTTTCAAACCCCAGGAAATGGATTTGTGAAGACTGATCCTCCACCGGCCATAATAACTTCGAATAAGAAGCCCAGCAAAATGGAACCACAGCCGATGTTTAACAATCATAACCACATCCTTCCTCATCACAGTGATACTCATCTCTCGCCACTCGGACACAAAAAACAACAGCAATCCTTGAAACAAACCCTCCACCCCTCGGTACTTCAGACAGCGAGTAACCATGGAAACCAACATCTGCTGTCGCTCATGACGTCACCTGGTCGAGGGCTTAACCCCGCGCAGCACATTGGGATGGGAAGTCATAACCACGCGAGTGGTCACACTCATGCTGGTAGTCACGCAAGTAATCTCCCTCCGCGCCCACACTCGGCCTCCGGAAGTATGACCACCAGTCAGGGCTATGCACCGGTTGTTTCCCACGGGGATCAGGCTTTGCCGGGAGGTTACGTCCCGCAACAGGGGCAGTTTGTGAACCACATGCCGTACACACAGGCCCCGCAAGTATTTTACCCCGGCGGTTTCTACTACTTTTATCCACAGCAACAGTAGATTTTGTCTTCACGCTTAACTTATTGATTCAAATCATTATTATAGCTTCTACGTGGCACTTGTAATTTATGATGTGAACGCGATTAACAGTTGTCGGGGCTTGTGAAAAATAACAAGAAATGTTTAGATGTAGATTCAATATTTAGCGGATTGATGCAAGAAAGTTGGTTGATGTTCATGAAAGGAGATCTCATTAAAGTTCACTCATTGAATGTGCAAGTCATTTTTTACTGTACCTATACTCCTTTACTGTTTACCCCTCCTCGTTTGTCAAACTTTTAATTTGCAACTTGCGACATGATAAAAAAAGGCTGAGCGAGAAAAACTTTGTTTTCCCTTCAGCTTGGCAAGTCAATTTATTTTCTTGTACTTCGCCCCGAAAAAACTTGAGAAGGGATGCTGTACCGATATATTTGGAGAATAGATGAAACTCGAGAGTAAAATTGAGAGAATTACGCCTTTTTATACCATTCCTCGTTTTATTTGTTGCTTTCAATTCTACACAATCAAAACGAGTTAGTGCTGAACTTGTGTATCAATCAAACAGTGGATGTAGATGACTTATATCTTCATACTTTACTGCACCAGAATGTACCCCATGGTTTTGATCTGAACCTTAGCGTCATAGCCGTGCGAGTTGCCGCACGTGTTGGAGTTAAGGAATCTCCATTTTGGGCTCCCTGTGCCAAAACCTATCCTCGAGTCACAGCTCCAGCAGTTGTTTTCATTGTTACTAAGAATTCCGATCCTGGCCTTACTCGAGCCTGGTCCCGAGTCACTCATTACGTTGAACCCTTCTCTGTTGCAGTGTTCCTGTAACGATGCTCTCCGACCAATCAACGACTTCCACGTGTCTCTACCCTTGGATGTCTTTCGATATTTCCCATCAGCGATCAGCGAATGTAAAGAGTTGGCTCGCATGTGGACGACAAATGATCTCATCTCTGTACCGAGTTTCATAGCGAGGCAGATCTTGGAGAATGGTGTACTCCAGTAGGTAGGTAGCTTGGTCTGGCGATAATCGAACCCAGTTGCTCCTCCTTGAGGATTGAAGGAGGTCTTTTTGGTCCAATAACTAGAATCGTAATGGAATGTTTGCTAAAAAAGAAAGGGAAAAGTTATTGTCAATATTTAATCTGCTCTTCATATTACCTGTTTGCAAATATCCGTTGAAAAGATAAGTCTAATTCAGCGATTCTCCCGCCAGAGGTGTTTCTCTAAAATTAGGCATATGTTTGAAGGGTGAAATCGGAAAAGAAATTAGCGGCAAGCAAATCAGCGCGAACTGTCACAACAAAATAAAAGTAGAACTGACTGAAAAAACAAACTAAGAATATATGTGGTGAAGAGGAACCGAAATGTGTGGTTCTCAAACCCTCGCCGACTTTTTCTTTTTAAAAAGCGTTCCACTTTACCTTATGGCCATCAATTTTCATGACTAGCGTCCATCCCCCACCTCCACATTTTCCAATTCCATTTCTGGTCATGTGACAATAAACAGGGATTTTTCCACCGCGAGTTTTGAGCGAATAAGCTTTATTTCCTGCGGATCTGACGTGTACAGACAGCAAGTCAGTAAAATGTAAAAAAAAAAAAAATAGAAAATGTCTTTTCATCCACGTCATTTAGGAATCTTTTCAAAGAATAATGATGCTGGAAACTCAAAGTTTTTCATGGAATTTTATGTCAGTTTTTGGGTATTGGATTCCATTTAAAATCTTGTTGAAGTGGAAATGCCACTGCATGCAACGAAACTGACACCGAATTGCTGCTGTTCTCCGAGATGTTTAAGGGCCCTTGTCTTGGAATGAACTAAAACGTTCTCATACAGAAGCGTTCTCACCCAAAACTGAAGATAACAAAAACCTCCATTCTTCATAAACGAATTCTTGAAGTAATAATTCGTTAAAAAACCCGTGCTTCTCAAAGATCATACTTCAATTCAGATACGATACGATTCTTTTTTCAGGGAAAATTGCAAATCACTGATCAATGTGTGGAAACTATTATCAGTTACTTTTTCGAGGTTTGAAAAGTCTGCAATCAAAGAGTGTCTTCTGGTTTCTGATGGATTTCGGGCGCAAACCACAAGTTGAAAAGAAGGCAGCAAGGACTTCGAAGATCGATTTGACTTACTTGTGAAAATTGTGACTCAAGTAAATTTCCCGACAGGAGGCATACGTTTCTGTGAGAAAAATGAGATAAAATTGAAATAATTTCATCCAGGTCGGTTTTGAAAACTTCTCACCATCGACTGAAGTGTGATCATTTACCTTTTGGAGGCGGTCTACAACACTTGGATACTCCGTCCTCAAGCTTATCAAACCTTTTAAGCATCTTCCTCTCTAAGGCACGAAGAGCTTGAGCACAGGCGTCTGCCGCTTTAGTAGTCATATGACTACCATACAAACCGCAAGCGTAAAACAAGAACACAGTTGCACAAACTCTAACAAGCGAAGACATTGTAATAAAAAGTTGTAAACTCAGCACATCAAAGAAGAGAAAAGTCGAATTTAGGTTTTGGTTGGATATGAGCTCTGTCTAATCAATATAAGGAAGTAAGTAGATCTGTCAACAAAGACACAATTCGCGAAAATTTTCACGCCGCTCCCCTTGTCAATTAAAGTAATACCTGTTTTTTTACCTCTCATCCATAATATCGCTCGCTACATTTTCACGGACTTCGGTTGCTTTATTAAATCTATTCACTATTCAAACCTCTCGTTTCCGAACATAATTAAGGCTTTGAAACAAGTTTATTTCCGCTCCATGTTTAAAGATTAAATTTTTTCATGTGTGACGCGACGAATGAATCATTTACATAATTATGCAGAAGAAAACGCATGGTTTTTGAATTGTAAATTTTTCACTCGATAGTTATCCAACCAAGGGCTCTCTTCTACAATTACTTTGGTACTGTCGAGAAGAACTCGTTTAATTAACAAAGCTTCTGGGGTCGGCGACCATTTCCTTAGCCTACGTGTAGCCGTACCCTCCCCCCGCCAAGGTGAAACGGAGGCGAGGTAACCGTTTCACCTTGGGGGGTAGGGAGGGGTGCGGCTACACGTAGGCTATGATTTTCTTTATTCCCACAAACTTTACGAATGATTCAGAAACACTACTGTGAGGAGAAATTGGATGCTGGTCACTCTTAAGGGTGGTAAGGGTTAATGAAAGAAACATGTCTGACAAGACTTCACTAGTAGGGATTTCATCGGATAGATATTATTTCTCTATCAAGTTCTGGAACACATAACGCTTCTTTTTGTATCAAACATTGTTCTTCATATCACAATTTTTAATATTCAGCTTACTCACAATAATTGTATAATAATAAATATTTGAATAATGTGTACATCTTAGCGTTTTTGAGAGAGGAAAAACTTGCAACCTAAACCAACCTAAATACTTGAAAATAATATTGTTGGTACTAATTTGTCAACACATTTGTACATAAATTATGCGTGGAGAAATATTTATCACGAGGATGGATGTAAACAGGTTATTCTTCAGCTATCTTTTTTATACCACAAGAGAAAGGGAATCAAAGTTGATACAAAGCTTCTTTTAGAGCAATTTTCAATTTTAAAGGTGTCAAAAGTAATCCGGAATCACATTGGTTTTGCTGTGCCTCATTATGCAATTGGTCCAGAAAACTTGCATCACTTTCACAACCAATCACATGCAAAACTAAAACCAAACACGAACTGGTTGCATGCATCTTCCCGCACTTAAGTTCTCATCGGCTCTTAACCCTTCAACTCCCAGATCAGATTGTAATTCTCCTTACTGTCAGCCATACAATTCTTATCATGTTAGTTCAGAGAATTTAATATTGGATCAACTAATTATTACCAAATTGATACATTTTTAATTCTCATCACTTATCTGGTTGATATTGTATTGATATTGTAAGGAGAAATTCTGTCTTGGTCACTCATGGGAGTTCAAGGGTTAAAGGTATTTTCCTATGTTCTAATTGGCCGTTGTGATGACTTTTGTGGAGGTTTTTCAATTCTTAATTGAAAAGTGCTCTAACACTGACGTGGAAGTTAATAAGTTGATTTCCTTGCATATCAAAGAAATCCCAAAACAGGAAGACACATGGTGACATCCCACCATCTTGGAATTTGCACTTGCATGCATGTGTTAATAATGTACTGTTACTAAAAGAGAAAGGGATTCATGCCATGTATTATTGTGTGAAAGAGTTATGACCGGTTTCTTAATTAATCTTAATAAATAAATATGCACAGTTAAAAATATTCACCTTTTCAAAAATAAATTTTACAAAACAGTATTTGCCAATTTAAAAGCTGAATTAGATAACTATTTTACAGTGATTAGAGGTACATGCATATGGACTGAATATGTATTTTCTGGAGCAATAATGATTTGTCAACTGATCTTTGTAAGAAGAATAAATTTCCATTGAAATTACTAAAACTGGCAAAAATTGAAATTCAACCCTGTTGCACAGTTTGTGTTGATACAAGAATGGGGTTATTTCAAAATGGATAAAAAAATGTTTTGATAATGCAACCATATCCTGTGCCACATTCTCATCAGCCAATGACTAGGAAGTTCTCACTGGTGTTTAACCAATCACATTTCAAGGATGGCTAACGATGACAATGATAATTATGATAATGATGAGGATGACCTTGCAGTGATAATAATAATGAAGGTATATGTGGCTGGTCAAACTACGCTCAACTTTAAAGACTATGTCTATGGGGTGAAATACCAGGAAAAGCATTCCCCTTGCAAGCTTCAGCTCTATGTAAGATCATAATTGGTATTTTTCTTTAACTTCCATATCAATACATTATCCTGGAAAAATGTAATAAATATATACAAAATCATAAGCTTAAGGGTGTTATGTTGATGTAACACAAAAAATTTTTAGACTAATTTACATGAAATGTACTGCAGATGGGAGAAGAAAAAATGTTAAGTCACTTCCAGGGAGTTAAAATGGGCTGCCATATTCAAATGAGAGGGCATGTTTTTACACTCCACAAATGAAGCAAGAAAAACGCTCTCTGCTTTGTTCTTTCTGAAACCATGCCAGTTAGACATTATAGCGTTCTGATGCTGTTGACCGTTGCGGGCTGGGAGGAGAAGAACATGGACAGAACCAAATGAAAAATCCACCTGTGGTATAAATTAAAATAGACTTACTAAAAGTACTTCGCTCAGGTTTCAGTTGTTGTGGTATCACTAACAAGAACTGTTATAATCATAATTATAATAATGATAACAACAATAATAATAGTAATATCAGTAATAATAATAGTACTGATAATAACAATAATTATCAGAAGAAACATAATAGTACTGATAATAACAATACTTATAAGAAGAAACATAATAGTACTGATAATAACAATACTTATAAGAAGAAACATAAGTATCTACGTGTATATCTATTAAAATAGACAAGCACCTCTTCCAAACACTTCAGCTAAGAGAGCACTCCTTGGTTTGCGGTTTGTTCTGATTTGCCGCTGTACATGTTCCACAGCTGTGAGGTCACCTGTAATGGCTGAGAACTGAAGGGCAAGGACAGAAATTAAGAAAAATCTCAACTAATGCAGTACCTGGCTGAAATAAATAGTAAAAAAAATTACTTTGTGCATGGTCAGATCAAGGAAACCTATAAAAAACATAACAAGGATGTCTGTCTAGTTCCCTAACTAGTCATCCCTCCTGTGATAATGGTCAAATCTTATAGCAAATGTGCCACTGAGATTTAATCTTAAAGATTCATTGCACAATAAAATTCTTTTGGATGTCAGCCTGTTACATTATTTTATGACACTACATTGGACTATACTCCTCTCTATAGCAAAGGGCTTGGGAACCAGCAAAGTTTATTCAACAACAATGTTTGTAGCAATAACTGTTCATAATATGGTAGTGTACACGTACATACCTGGTCACATAACATGGCTAGGACAAATAAACCAAACAGAACACCTTCGATCATCAAAATTACAGTGTAAATTCTGAAAAAGAAACAAACAGTGTTACATTGGGTTATGTATTTTTTTCAGTGGATCTTCCTGTGACATTCAAAACTTAACCTTTATATTAAAGAGAATCTCAATTAATACTCTCATGAGACAGAAAATATGTAGTTATAATGAATATGGAAAGGAAAAACAACAATTTTTTTTGGAATGAAATCTCACAGAAGAGTTACGAGAAGGAGAGTTACAATTTATGAATTTGAAAAATTCAATTTGACTGAACCATTTTTTAAATTCATGTTAGGTGGAGGTCACATATTTCCTGTTGTCATGGAGATAATAATTATTGTTAAATCCTTTAACACCTTCAAGGGACTAAGAGGAAACTGACTAATTTCTCCTCACAGTATCACCCTTGAATGAAATGTAAAGGTCATGAGAATAAAAGAAAATAATCACCAATTTAAGAATCTCCTGATTGTTAAACAAATTCTCTTTGTCAGTTCCATAGGAAAAGTAAAGAGAACAGTGTGGAGAACATGACCACTGGTGTGATGGTGCAAAGGGTTAACCCTTTAACTCCCAAGATCTCATTAGTAATTCTCCTTACTGTCTGCCAAATGATTCTCATTATGTTAGTTTGGAGAATTTGGTATTGGATCACTCAGTAATCCCATAATTAATATTTTTCTTTATTCTCATCACTTGTTTACATGATATTGTATAGATATAGTAAGGAGAAATTATGTCTTGGTCACTCACAAATTCTAATGCTTTAATTGACTATAGCTAACTCTTCTTTGCAAGACAGACTCACAATCTCGTTCTTTTCTCATAGTCTTTGGTGCAGCCATTGCATTCCATTGTCCATGACACAGCTGTGAGAATTATACTGTACAGTGATGCTAGACCTAAAAGGCAATATGAAGCAAAAAAAATGTTGACAACAAACAATTGGCCATACAATGGTGAGTCATATCTTCCAACCGCCTCTAGTAAGCTTATGCTGGCACTGGTGAGTCCAAATTAAAGTAAAAAGGATTATTTCCCTGACACTAAGCATCCTTGTCATTTTGTCTTTAAGTCTTCCATTTGATATCAATATCTGTAATTAATGTTTCTTAGAAAATAGAAGACTTTTTCTGTGTTTACATAGCATCATCTGAACATTTAGGAGAGTTGTGCATGGCTGAGAAACTCTAGAGGGTTTGGACAAAACAAACACTCATCAAAGCACAGCCATAAACTACTAAGAGTGCAAGCACCATCACCGTTTTCTTTAATAAAGTAATCTATATTGAATGTTCTGAGAAAGAAAGACTTAAATGGCAAAAGACCTGATTAATGTGCTTACAATTCAAAAATATCTTACCTGTGTAAAACAGGAATAAAATAAAATACTTCTGGTTAGCTTCTCCAACACAATTATTGATCCTATAAGAGAAAACTGCTCAATGCTTTCATGCCATAAAAATGTATTTTTATCCTATTTCCTTTTTGGTAACTTGAATGCACAGTGGGATTCAGATTTATTTTTAGCTTCCAGGTGTAAAAGAAAACATGGTTTCCTATAGATGGATAAAAAATGAAGGCAAAATAGTGATAATTTTCTAAAGAAAGGTACCCTTATCACATTAGGCTTGAAGTGAATTTTATTTAACCCTTTAACTCTCATGGGTGACCAAGACAGAATTTATCCTTAAAATATCATTACAATATCAACCAGATGAAGAGATGAGAATAGAAAAAATACCAATTTGGGGATAAATAGCTGATCCAATACTGAATTCTCTGAACTAACATTATGATAATTGTATCTTTGGCAGTAAGGGGAATTACAAATGAAAGGGTTAATGTGTCAAGTACAGTTTACTTACCAGGGACAGTGATGATCCATTTTTCTTATACACCTTCCACATGTCCTGAAACAGAGATAACAAATTCTGTTGTCAATACCTTTTGATTTCATTGCACTGTAAATTAAACTTGTTTTACCCATTTAACTCCCACCAGCGATTAAAAAAATTTAATTCTCCCTAAAATATCAATACATTTGTTGCACAGAAAGATGATGAGAGATAAGAATAATATCAACTAGGGAATATATTTGCTGATGCAACAATAAATTCTCAGATTTGAAATGACAAGAAATGTAACAAGAACAGTGTGCAGAATTAATATCTGGATCTTGAGTTTGAAAGGGTTAATTTAGGCTGGTTTTATGGCTATGGAATTTCCCTTGTGTAACATCTGGTATATGTACCTGCAATGATGTGCCCTCGGTGGACGATAAGCTTCGCATTTTGCACAGACAGTCCATTCATTTTCACTCTGAAACCATCAGCAGATATTTATTAACCTTTTAACTACCAGAGGTGATTAACATGGAAATTCTCCCTATAATATCCATACATTATCCTGCCACCAGGTATTGAGAAAACTCCAACTTATCAGGTAAGAGTTGTTATCTTGATCTTACACTGAATTCTCATAACTGATTTACAAGGGAATGCACAGCAGCCAGAGAGGAGAATTAACAATCAGATCTTGGGAGTTAAAGGGTTGAGTTAATCATCTCTTTTTCTTGGTATTTTTCTGTCTTCTCAAAAGGTTTAAGTTATAGCATGTACTTGTAAGGTTTATGAATCAATGTTCAACATGTGCAGAAATCAAAGTAAAGAAATGCCTGACCATGTCAAGTAATCCTCTTAGTTGGAAACATTTAAATGCAAATTTATTAAATTCTTTCAAGGAAAAATTGAAATATTTTAACAGGTGAGGTCTTTTTCTAAGTTCTCTAAGTTTTTACTTCTCTGTTTACTCACCTCTGTTTGCTTAGTTTTTGCTTTATTTATTTCTGAGAAATCAAGACTTGATGAGGGTCTAGCTACCACCCCTAAAAAGAGATGTAAACAGAATTAAACATGAAAGCAAAAACTAAATTTTACAACCATTTACAAAGAGAAAACATGCAGTGGTTTCTGTACATTTAGCTAACTAGTACATTCATGCAGGCACTCCTTCCAAAAAGCATGGACTGCCTACGCAAATGGTTCTCTTCAAAATGTTACTGATCTCGATACTGTTCTGCTCTGGGCAAACCTCTGAAGTTAATATTCTGCAAGATATGGGGATATTTATTATATAATTTTGCTTTTAATTGCCCCATTTCATAACTTTCTCCTTCAGAGCTTGAAAATTGAAACCAGCTTTCTCTTTCCTTAAGGATTAGTTTTTTCTTTATCAGGGCTTACAAAAGCAAATATGTACTTCCTTTTAGCTTATAGCCATCAAGATAAATCGAAGACAAAAAACAAAACTACAAAACAAAAAGAAAAAACAAAGAAAGATGCTGAGTGCCATACTGAAGAGCCCATCTTACCTGGATCAGAAAATGATGCTCTGACATGGGATATTGTCAACAGTAGAACAATGATATTAAATATACAAACATGTAAGCTGCCCCAGATGCTAAAAACAAATAAAAGCCAAATGGAGATTAATAAGTTTTGGGAAAGAAAATTCAGATGTCTATTCACTATAGCTTTCAAGACTGTTAAATTCATCACTTCACAATATTTTTGTTCTAGAATAACCAACATTGGAATTACCAACATTGATTAATGGTTGCTTTGGTTTCTGCAATTTCTCCAGTCTAACCTTCAGAAAAACATTGGGATTTGTTCCTAAATGGAAGGATGCTGGCCATGGAACCAATATCTCCACAATAATTATTGGTCTTAGCAACTTTTCCTAATAAAATAAACACTTGAGCTTGGTTACTAAAATATTTCCCCTTATCATTTTGGTAACCAAGCTTTAAGACTCATCATGAAGGGTAGCCAGGCTGAAATCTCAGCCCAACAAACCAGATGGAAATTTGCCCCCATGGACAGAAGACAAGACTCATGTCATTGACAAGTTGAGACCAAAGACTGAAGAGGCCCTGAACTATACCTCTTATAAGTTATTTTAATAATTCAAGACCCTCAAAACACTTCTGTTTTCAGCATAGCCTAAGAGTTGATGGAATATTGAATATGAAAGTGATCTTAACAATAATGAACACTACTTTTAGGCTTTATTTTAACACTACTTTTAGATCAATTTCATTTTTTCTAAATCCATAGTTCACAAATTGATTTTCATTTCACTGTCAAGATTCATTTCTTCATATTTATTATTTTAACTAAATCCATAGTTTCTCCTTACAATATCAATAAACCAGATAAGTATGATTTTCATCCCATATTCAACATTATCACTGATTCATCACTTCACAAATTTGATCTGGGAGTTTATTAACAACCAACATAGTAACCAGCTATCAGTTGGCTTGTTAGCTCAGTTGGTAGAGTACTGCATCGGAGTTGCAGAAGTCATGGGTTCAAATCCCCATACAGGTGTTATTTCAACTACTGCTTAAGTAGAGTTCATCATTGCAAAGTTCTATTTCATGTTCATTTCTTAACCATAATCCTCAGTCCATATACATAATTTTCATATAGTCACAGACATTGACGGAACATTGTTATATTGCATGCTGAATGTAACATACAATATAATACCACAAGACAACTCTTATGAAATCACGATAAACTCTAGTTGTTAATTACTGAAACAGACGCGTCAGCATTCCACATCGAAATTGATGTTTTCGTTGAAATGACTGTGATCGAATTTGGCTAAAGGTGGCTGAAAGATTTGATTCCGTCGTATAACTTAAAATTTTTCTCAGTCTATCAGAGAATTACATTTTTAGTCTTAATACTGAAAAAGAAAAGTGATTGACATTCAAATTAAAATGATTAAATACGTTCCTACAATCAATTTATGATGATCGATTCGGCTACCTCTTAAAAAATAGCGAGAAAATTATTGAGACGTAGAGAAATAAAATAGAAGAAATTTACCTTTCTGTTAGAGTGGGACGAACAACATGTTGAACTATACAATAGTCTGCATAAAACACAGCGGAATAAGTTATGAAAAGACAAATAAGTCCACAAGGATCTTTATGAAACACCGCCATACTTAAATCAGCTTCATCAGCTGGTACCCAGTCCTGTAAATATTTGTCAAGAAACACGGCCCACCCTTCAGTGACGTCATTCACATATTTATTGCTCTCTTCCTTGTTGCTATTTCTCAGATTTTTGGCTCTGTCGTTACTTTCTCGTGAGAAATTTTAGTCTTAGATGTGAATTTATCGCATGATGTGGGTAAATTTTCATGTTCCCAAATTTTAGTGTACAAATCCTACCTTGAGTTGCGTTACTGTTTGTTTGATCTGTTGTGTGACCTGGTCAGGCGAAAGGGACTGGTGCGGTCTTAGTTACAAAATGGCCGCAGTAAATGATGCATTCCTGTGAACCGCGTCTTGTTTCGCTTGTTGCCTGGAGGCTTTGATCGGGAGGTAGTCTGTCCTAAATTGCGAACCAGGCTCACGAATGAATTCCAAATAGAGGGTTATTGTAATTTATCAGAAAATTTGTCTCGTAAGTTTGTTGCAAATCAAGCAAAGCAAGCACCCATGGTTCGAAGCTGAGTAGCGACGTGGGTAAGCTCTGTAGAATTCATTACAATGTGATCATGTTCATTAATCTTTAGCACCATCGTCCCTTGCTGTGATCTGTGGAGGCTTCGCTTCTAATATGAATTGTTTTTTTTTCAGAAAAATACAGTTCTGCTCTTAATTTGAAAGATGTTTTATTTTATTTGTGACAAGTAGTAATGACTAACAAATAAAATAAGAAGGAAGTGTAAACAGTTCTCGAACTAATTATCATAAGATCGAGCAGCTGTCATTGGGACACTCAGTTGCCTATACTTTCTTTCACTGTTTGCATTCTAAGAGAGGTAGCTGTACTGTGGAGAAGTAACGCAAGAAGAAGACACGTGAAAGTAGCTTTTTAACTTTTTAAAGTTGACGAACCTGAGAACAACAAACTTGCGAGGGCCAGTTCCGACCATGAGCTTGAAGTATTTTTTTTTTTATTTTTACTACTTACTCTCTTCCTCATAGAAACTTTCATGTCTTCTCTGGAGAAATATCAGATGTCTGTTAACTATAACTCTCAAGTATTTAAACGGCGTTGCTTTGTAATGTTTTATTTTGTTTTTTGATACTCTACCCAATAGCTAACAACGAGGAAATGTGGCCAGCTGTCGTTGTTTTCCTTATTTTAATGAACATACCATTATGTGCAGGTGAGTCGTAGCATGTATCACTAGTGAGCATGGTACCCTTTGATATTATAATCAAACAAAAAATAGGCTTGTCTTGATGAATGCAAAATTCTTTCTTTCTCTCTACTGTACCATTTATGCATCTCCTTGGTAAATAAATTTCACTTGTAAATTCCTTCATTCAGGTGGGGGAAACTTAGGTTAGACTTCTTAAAAGGACCTCATCCATGTTGCACCCTCCCCCCCCTTCCCCCCCTTCCCACCCCCTGCATTTAGAAGACCATGAAAACAGCAGGTGGATAGGTTTGGGACATTTGTTGAGTATAAACCCAGTCTTAAACCCCCATGATTGACCAAAATAGAATTTCTCCTTACAATATCAAACAGACAAGTTACTGGTCAGGAATACAGAAAAATATAAATTAGGGGAAAGTTAGCTGATCTGAAACCAAATTCTCACAAAGACATCATAATAATTGTGAGGAAAACAATAAGGAGAATTACTAAATGAGATCTTGGGAGTGAAAAGGTTTATCATTTCCCTGAGCCACAAGATATCAATTTATGGAGAGAAATTGGTTTTGTGTATTCAGTGTACTTTATAATAATCAGTAAAGGAAATATATGGAAGATAATTATTTTAAATACAGGTACTCTGGCGTTTTGAAAATAGGAATAGTGAAGTGGCTTCTCATGCTTACCAGTACTCCAAGGTCACCAGATCTACTACAAGTCATTTCAAAGGCTATTCTTTGAAAACATAATTATTTCTAGAATTAAGTTATTTAAAAATTTTTCAAGAAAGTAACTTTGTTAAACTTTATTAATACAGATGCTGTGCCCAACTTCTTGAAGGAACCTACTTCCAAATCAGTCCTCAAAGGGAGCGCAGTCAATTTTGAATGCCAAATAAATGTTGCACAACCCATTTATAACTGGCTGAAAGATGGCAGTAACATCAGTAAAGGCAACATCTTCCCTTCTGGCTTAGCAACATTGAAGATTGATAACCTAGAGTTTTCTGATTCTGGGAATTATTCCTGTGTAGCTACTGATAAACAGTCAGGAGAGACAGTAACAAAATCAGCGACCTTAACTGTGCAAGGTATAGCACATTTTTGTTATGAAATCCTCAGCTCTTAAAACCCCTTAACTCCGATGAGTGACCAAGACAGAATTTCTCCTCAGAATATCAAAACAATATCAACCAGATAGGTGATGAGAATAAAGAAAAATATCAATTTGGGGATAATTAGTTGATCTAAGACTAAATTCTCTGAACTAACATAATAAGAATTGTATGGTCAACAGTAAGGAGAATGACAAATTTGATCTAGGAGTTAAAGAGTTTATATCTAGATTGTAATTCTCCCTTCCAGCTTTTATACATGTCTTTGCTACTTGCAAAGGAGAAGATTGTGTTATATCAAGAATAACACTTTCTTCCTGATAGTTTTGTGTATTCTCATTACTTGTTTGCTGGAGAATGTCCTGATTTTGCAAGTAGAAGATGCATTTTAATCACCTCTGGTAGTTAAATGGTCAATTAAGAGAATTAGATTTAGTTTAATTATTACTTCTGTTTTGGTCTTTTGACACCAATAATCATAAAGTTCTCTAAACCTCGTCTAAAAATTGTGACTGACTATTTCTTGATTACTGTTCTAGGTGTCCCAGCAGTAAGTATTTCTAAAACACCTTCATCATCAGCAACGTATGTTGGGCAATCTGCCTTGTTTCACTGTGAAGTTGTTGGATATCCAAAACCTGTTTTAAATTGGAAAAATAGTAGTGATGCCATCATTTCTAGCGGTGGACGACTTGAGGTTTTCAGCAATGGATCATTGAGGATAAATAATTTAGTCAAGAGTGATGATGGTAGCTTGTTCAGCTGTAAAGCTCACAACTCGTTTGGCTCAACATCTGCAAGTACAACCCTGATTGTAAATGGTATGTAATCTTACATAATTAAGCAAACTGAAACACACAATGATCTCCCTATTTTCAGGGTACAAAATTACATTCTATATCTCTTTTATGTACATAAGAATATTTCTGTGTTGATATATCAGTCAAATGATATCCAAATGGTTCAGCTTCTTCTTGGTAATGTCTTTTTTAAACATATATCTTTTGGAAAACAAAAAGTTTGAAATTCCCTCCATAAGTAATTAGTCAGATGTCTACAAGTCCTTTTAATTACTGATGTTCTTACATTTTGACCAATAATTGGCCAGAAAATCTTTCACTCTAAAGTAATAAAGGTTGGACTGCTAAATGCATTCTATGGTATTATCTAACTGTTATAATTAAGCATCTCTTTAGCTTATCACATGAATATTTTTGGACTTAATTTGTTTTTTAAGACCTGCCCATCCCTCCATCATTTACAACAAGACCAGGCAACAAAACTGCTAGTGAAGGAGACAGAGTCACATTTTACTGTAGTGCCAATGGTATTCCTCCTCCAAGTATCACATGGAGCAAATTATATGGGAACATTACAGCTGATCGGAGGCAAGAACCCTCTCCTGGTGCCTTAAGGATTGTCAATCTTCAGCATGTGGATGATGGTGTCTATGTCTGTACAGCAAAGAATTCTGAAGGGAATGTCACAGCCTTGGCATTTCTACGTATCCGAGGTAATTATTTAATGTATGTATATAAGAGATTACATTGAAAATTATTCTTCATGTTCTAACTGCAACATTTCATTCACTTAACTCATCGCCCATACTTTTCTTCTTCTAAGGTTATCCTCGTATAACAAGGACACCTTCAAACAAAGTGGTTGAAGAACACTCACCTGTCCAATTTATCTGTTTAATTGAGGGAAACCCAACCCCTCATGTGGAATGGACCACACCCAATGGCTCCATATTTACTCTGCAGTCTCCGCACTTGGGTACCATAAAAGTCCTTTCAAACAATTCTCTTAGTATCTCCATGGTAACAGAATCTGATGGTGGGACATATACTTGCAAGGCTGTGAATGATGTTGGAGAAAGGTCTGCCTCTGCAACCTTAAAAGTTTTGAGTGAGTCAAGCAAGTTATTTAATACTTTTGTATAATTATAATTAATTTTTGTAAGGTTGGAGTTAAAAAGAAATCAATCGTTATCAGTTGTAATGAGGTTACTGAAAGGTCAATCAGTTGCAGTAATCATACGATATTTGATTAGATTCTTGTGTAGCCTGTGCAGCCCCCTTCCCCTTCCCAACTTTTTAGAGGGGAGAGGCAGCTGTACCCTTTTTTTGTTTTCGGGCTATGAGTCCTTTTCAATCTAAACAGTGTAGCAAAGAGCCTGCAGGACAACCCCCTAGGGCTAGTGCACCCCCTAGGGCTAGTGCACCCCCTAGGCAGTCCAGTACCTGCAAAACTCCAGCTGTTAGTACATCCTCTTGGGGGAGGTGTAGCAATGCACCTGGTATTTTTGCGCTTTAGAAACTTTGGTAAACTTAAGCAACAATGAACCATGCGGTGTAGGCCCACAAGAATGAATGTACTGTTAGTAATCCCATTATTCATTTGTCACATTTTGTTATATGTGTCAGCTCCTCCAAGATTTCTTGTGTCCATGGCAAACAGGACACAGAATATTAACACTCAACTTGTGGTGGAATGTGGAGCTTATGCCATGCCCACTCCTGAGTATCAGTGGATATTTAATGGCACAATTATCACAGCAAATCGCCACCTGAATTTGAGTTCTTTGTCTCTTGGTGATCAAGGATTCTACACTTGTGTTGCAAACAACTCATTTGGATCAGTTTCTGGTAAATTCTACCTAGCAATTCAAGGTAAATCATTCAGTGAGAGATTATTTCTTTTTATGTTAATAAGTAAGGACAATTTTCATAACATACTACTATGTATAAACTTCTTATCTTATTCATCAAGTCTGCTTGTAATGTTTTTCATCTTTAGCAATTAATGTGTTATGATTTTTGTTTTTCTCTCTATTGTAACTGTATATTAGAAGGTAATTGTTTATATCATATTATATCTATATTAAACCATACAATTTCTAGTTTTAGTTTTTCTTGCGGTAAATTGTTTTGCTGATTAGTCATTATTTCATATGTATTTGTACTGCTGTGAAGGCTGTAAGTTAGATAACTCATTGGGTAAATAACGTTACCTTAGTAAAATAAAGAATATTGTATTGTATGTGTATGTTCAGTTTCCTATTGAGGAAATTAAATTTTAAGACACCAATTTTTTTAAGAAGGGTCAATTCTGCAACTCATTTCATCTGTTCTTCATCTGCAGTGCCACCAAACTTTGTAATGTCTCCAATAAATCAAACCATTCCTAAAGGAAAAACAGCCATATTTTCGTGCCAGGCTACAGGAATTCCTGTTCCTTCCATCAAATGGTACAAGTCACAAAACCTTATCACCAATGATGTGCGCTTCACTGTTTTATCAAATGGAACACTTGTGGTCAAAAGTGTATCTGAACAAGACAGTGGTTGGTTCACCTGCCATGCAACAAATGACGCAGGAACAAGTGAAAAAAGAGTATACTTTTTAGTGGCTGGTATTAAAAAACTGCATTTAGTGGTTACATTATTGTTTAAATAGCTGATAGTGTTTTTAAATGCAATGAGAGTCAAGCAATGAACTGTAAGGTTTGAGTCATTGTACATTTCCCTGTAAATTAGTTAACTCTTCACTCTCAAGATTTCATTAGTAATTCTCCTTACTGTCTGCCATACAATTCTTATGATTTAAATATGGAGAATTTGGTATCAGATCACCTAATAATCCCCTAATTGATATTTATCTTTATTATCATCACTTGTCTGCTTGATATTGTATCGGAATTGTAAGGAAAAATTATTTCTTTGTCAGTTATAGAAGTTAAAAGGTTGACAAAATTTGGCACGTATTTCAAGATAGCTTGGCAGCAGGCCTCCCTAATAGCGCTGCAGGGTGCATGTTTCTCTGTCTGCAAGAAGATTTGAGACAAGGTGGAGAGAGAGTTTTGCTGGGGGTCTGGCACTTTAATCCTTTAACTCCCAAGATCTCATTAGTGATTCTCCTTACTGTCTGCTAAACGGTTCTCATTATGTTAGTTTGGAGAATTTGGTATCAGATCAATTAGTAATCCCTTAATTGACATTTTTCTTCATTCTCATCACTTGTCTGCACGATATTGTATAGATATAGTAAGGAGAAATTCTGTCTTGGTCACTCACAGGAGTTGAAGGGTTCAGTGCTAGACTCCTTGCTCCCCACTGGATCGCCTTGCTCAAGGCTTCATACTTTCGTGTGGGCAAATAATCACTGGTGCCAATAGATAGAGAGAAAACAATAGAGTATATTTTTAAGTGATGTTTCATGTAACCACATTTTGTTCCCCAACTCATCACCCCTATTTCAGTCTAAAAATCTAAAACCAGCCCTGATATTGTTCTAAATGGCAGACAAGAGAAAGCAAAGATAGATCTGTGATTCTCTCTCCTTCATGTCTCAGACTCTCCTGTGTTCACCATCGCTCCGAGTAATGTCACAGTCGATGAACGGAGCAGTGCAACTATGTCATGCCGCGCCCGTGGCCCTGATGAGCCTGTTGTTACCTGGATGCTTGAGAAAACCGGTGGAATCATAACAAATATTGTTCCCAGTGCCACTGTACAGATTCATTCCAATGGAGATCTAACATATTTCAGCGTCGCATTCCAGAATGGAGGCCTGCACATTTGCAAAGCTTGCAACACTGCTGGGTGTGCGAGTGCCAAGGCCTACTTAGATGTCTTATGTAAGTCAACTCAAGTAGTTTATTTGTAGAAAGATATTGATATTTTTACCCGCGGGAACTTCACCTCTGGGTTATGCGGTCCTGTGCTCAACTCCCCCACTTGCGGGGGAGGGGAATTCTGGGTAACAGGCTCATGGGGATGTGCTTCTAGATGAGATCGCATTTTCACCACTGGATTGACTTTAATGGACTTGCATTTTCTATGGAATTACCAGAATGGGGTCGTTCGTTTTCGGGATTTTAAAGATAAGAAAATTCTGTTAAGTTGGGATTTATAAAATTGGAAGATTCGCGGTTAAAAAGTTGTTAATGTGTCCGCAAAAATGACCAAGACAGGGATCTGTAATTGGCCAAAGAATCGACTATACTGGGGTAGGGGTTTTAAGAGGCCAGTAGCCCTACTCAGCAAAAAATTGACCCAAGCACCCCCTCTCCCGGGGGGGGGTTCTCGCTGGTGAACTAGGTCATGTAGTAGTTACTCCAGGCCCGGACTGAAGTGACTTTGTGGTTTGGTTTAGGACAAGACGTGTTCCTCTTCATTAGAAGTACAAGTAGGTGCAACCTTCACCGGCTTGTCACTGATATCTCCAATTTCCATTTTATTTTTCTTACAAATCTAGTTGCCCCACGATTCATTGTCCCACCCAACACAGTGTATGCTCTTAAAGGCCAAACTGCCATTTTGGAATGCAAGCCGGAATCCAATCCCCCAGCAACCATAACCTGGCTTCGAAATGGCGAAAGCCTTGCTGGGACTGGAAACCAGTACCGTGTTAAAAATGTAGAGCCAGAGGATGAAGGGTCATACACTTGCAAGGCAAGGAACAGCAGAGGCTCAACACAGCAAGTAGTTGACGTGAAGATCGGAGGTAAACTAGGTTTCGATATTTATTGTATGCTCGAATATTTGGGAATGAAAAGGCCAAAAGGGAATTATGTACACTGATTGCAACTCGATTAAGGCATTCTGAGTACTCATCACTGAAATATACTCATCAGGCCCTAGTGGTTCTAAGAGCGGATAGCGCTATACAACGGATAAATTGCTATCTAGCGGACAAGTGGTAATCAAAAGTACTGCGCTATCCCGGATAGAGATTTATCCAATGAATAGTGATAACATGCACGTAATCTGTGACTGCCGTAAAACTTACATGTAGATCTCAGTGATTACAACGGCCGTGAAAATAAAGGAAATCAGACGTGTGACAAGGAGCCAACAGCGGTTCAAAATGGAACTAGCAAGCAATGTTGGGAAACGCAGCAAAGTGTCGCATCTGATTGGTCGAGAGAGTGGCGTGATGGTTTCTTTACACTAATCCAATCACATGAGCAATTCTGCCGCGGATTGCTATTGAGTTTCCTTTGAAAATTGCTTAAGAGCGCTTTCAGATCGAGGTTCGTAAAACTAAACCGGGAAAAATGACTTTGGCCAATCATACCAAGGAAAAAAGTCACTTTGAGCCGATGAGAAATCGATGTGAATGTAACAAAGCAGACTTCTACTCAAGAAGAGCATGCACTCATGACCATGTCGTGGTTGATTCTAGTTTTGCTCCTGATTGGTTAAATAGGGGCTGGCGCGAGTAAATCCAATGATGTCCAAAAAGATTACTTTCGATGCTCATTGAAATTGCCTTAAAATTCACAGCCAAAGCCGAGATTATAGACTTCCAAAAGACTCCATCACAGAACAGCAAAACGATCATGAAGTGTGAAGTGGAAGGAAGCCCTCGTCCTCAGGTGACCTGGTACCTACAGGGTTCTAAGTTACCAGATTTGCAAAAGTTCCCGGATTACACCGTCGATGCTAATGATGAGTTGATCACTCCTGATGTATCTCTTGTCAATAACTCCTTTTTGTGTAACTGCACTAATCCTCTGGATACAGTGGCGAGGTTTGCAATAGGTAAGCTTTCACGAACTTTTCAACATATTGAGAATTAATGAATAGCACTCTCTCGGGAAAGTTTCATTTTAGAATTTATGTGGATCAGTGCAGACCTAGGCGCGATTTCCACCATTTTCTCGAGTCCAGTCTCTGATCCTCCCAAGAATGAACTTCATGGAGTGAGCGCAGGCTCGTGCTCCGAACAGCGGCTGTTCGAGCTTGGTGCAGACCGGAAGTTCCAGAAACGACAGGAATACGATGATTTAGACGGAGCCCTTATTTGCATGTGCTTTTCGTTTCAGTCCCCAGACCTCCTTTTCAACCTTCAGTCACAAGTATCATGGAGACATCCTTAGAAATGACTTGGACCCAGTCTGACCCTTTGGATCTCGTTCTTCAGTATATGGTGCAGATGAAGACTGTAGTAGGAGACTGGGAACAAGTAAACGACACGATAAAAGGAAGTTCGGTTCCTGTGAACAACTTACAAGCGTTTACAGTTTACAGTTTTAGATTGAAGGCAAAGAATGGACTGGGTAGTAGTCAATACAGCCAGTCATCGCAAAATGTGACAACTCTGGAGGGAGGTATGAGGAGGAGTTTACCTGACATAATTTGTCCCTCATTAAACACTGAGAAATAAGGGGTCGAAAACGCGAGAATTCGACACCAAGAAATCTCTCTAAAAAACCTTCTTAAGGGTAACACTAGATATAATTTGCATTGATTTCCACTTCAGGGACCAAGCATTTGAACTTTCGTTGTTTATAACCGTTGTTATATGTATGCTCTTGATTTGGGGGAGAAGAGGGCTGTTTTGATATAGCACCGTTGGATTGAAGTCTTTCCCAGTCCCTTCGGTTTCCTTTCTTGGCAACTTCAGGACCTTCTCTTTCTCTTCAAACAACTTTACCGATTTCAATCACCTATGACTGGGATAAATTAGTGATAATACAAACTTTTTTGCCGCAAAATACGAAACGGAGAAATAGCTGAAGGATCTTTACAAAGCCAAAATCTCCATGTGCAGTTATAAAAGGTCAATGCACAGAGACTTGTGCGGAAAATGGTCATTCTGACTTGAAAAAAATTACTTTCGTTTTGCTTTCAGCTCCATCAACCCCGAAGGATTTGAAAATGACTGTCGAAAACGCGACTGTTGTTTATGTTTCGTGGGTAAAACCTGAAAATTTAAATGGATATCTTAGCACCATTTTGTACAGAATCAACTACGGACCTCAGAATGGGAACAGTTCTCAGGATGTTTTCGTCCAACACAATATTGTAAGGAGCCCACAAAATTTCACGTTGCGAGAGCTGGCTGCCGATACCGTTTACATGGTCAGGGTATACGCTGGAAGAAGAAGGAAAGATGGAATTGAAAGGTGGAGTAGAGCTGTATCAAAACAAATAACAACCATGCAGCTAGGTAAGAACTTTAGTTTTACAGTAAATGGTTACAATTATAAAGAAGGAATTCCCAATAGATATTTTTATATCTAATACATATAATTTTCCGAATTACGAGAAGTGCTAACTCTTAGGAGCATTTTTTATATTTGAATTCTGGGTCTCCTTAATAACAAGAGACTCTTTTGATAACAAGATGTTTTCTGTTCCGTTTTCAGTTCCCCTTACACCCCCTGTGGATTTAATTGTACAGTCAAATGGAGCTTATCAGCTTATGGTTAAATGGAAGGTGCAAGAGAGAATTATTTTAGCTTCTGGTTACACAGTGTTTTGTAGCTTGCAACACTATCTCGTGCCATCACTTGCAATGTTAGTCATATTGCTCCTGACTGCTGATCAATTGATCGGCTTTGACCTTAGTTATGGTGCTTTTTCACACTTTTAAACTTAGAATTTACTATGAATGCGTGAGTAACTTTTTGTTAAGCATGAATGCAGTATCCTTGATAGAATTAGAGAAACGTAGAGTCAGAAATTGTACATTATTTTGTAATTGTCTCCTAAGTAAACCTATACCTTTTTCTCACATGTTTTTTTGTTTATTTCCAGCTTCCTTCATATTCAATATCTGGTTACCGTATATGGTATAAAAAGTTAGAGGGTGCGGTGTTTGATGGGAAAGTAGTTATTCCCCGGATGTCGGACACTGTTTACCTTATAACAGGTCTGGTACCAGACACCATATATGAAGTGAAGGCCCGGATGTACAGTAACGCAGGGAATGGTCCTTTCTCGGAACTGTTCGTCGTCAAGACTGATACTGGTGAGTTAAAGACACCTTTCATCGTGCGATAGTTTAGGTGACGATTTTTTTTTTCAGATTTCGTCATTGTTATTAGCATTATCACTGTTGTTATCATTATCATTACTATTATTATTTATGTTATTTTTATTCAGATAAGTTTGCTGTGACGTCAAGACAAAGTGATGGGACCCAGTCCTCTGGATTAAAAGTCGCAGTCGTCTGTCTCGTGCTCGGTGTTCTCCTTTTGCTCATCATCATCGCTTTTGTTTGTCTCAAGCGAAGACAAACCAAGCGCTCTCGTAAGTAACACCACTCAGGAAGTTCTTCTTAATTTTAAAAACCCACGTGTTATTTGTCCCAAGTCTGTAATCGTCGCAGTCAAATCTTCTTGGTAGCCTGGAGACCAGTGTTGTGGACGAGTGAAGACTAATGCTAAGTTCCCAGCGTCCAACTCGACTTGTGCATACTGTTTTTATGTAAATATGTATCTACAAGAGCTTGCATAGTTTCCACTGAATGATTGATGGTGATCTTTTCTTTCCAGGGCAAAGTTTTCACATCAGTAATCGTGAAGACCCTTCTCTCAAGTACATTTTCCAGTAAGTGTCGAGAGTTTACTAACGGTTTGTTTTTCTATATATTTCCCATCCCAAAATATTTAATTTATTTGAAAGTTTTTCCCTGTTTTCTTTCAGTATTTCTTTCTTTCTGTTTTTCTGTATTTCTGCCTTTCTTTCCTTTTTTTCTTTCCTTCCTTGTTTGTTTGTTTGTTTGTTTGTTTGTTTCTTTTTGTCGTTTTTTTTCCTTCCGTCTGTCTTCCTAGCTTTTTTTTTTTCAGTAGCGTAGGGGGGGGGCAATCTAACAGCAGAATCTTTTGTAGCATTCTTTGGCAGGCCAGGTTGATTTATTGTCACATGTACCTGGACCTTCGTCGGCCACGCCCTTCCTCATATTCTTTGGGTTTTCTTCTTAGCAATCGGAGGACAGGGAGCGCCTCACAAGTGTCCTCAAGTGGCGACAGCGAGGGAAGTGTGGAAGGTCAGTACAACTTTGCGCCTGCAGATGACGAAATCGACGTTTAAAAACGCACGTGTTATTTGTCCCAAGTCTGTAATCGTCGCAGTCAAATCTTCTTGGTAGCCTGGAGACCAGTGTTGTGGACGAGTGAAGACTAATGCTAAGTTCCCAGCGTCCAACTTGACTTGTGCATACTGTTTTTATGTAAATATGTATCTACAAGAGCTTGCATAGTTTCCTCTGAATGATTGATGGTGATCTTTTCTTTCCAGGGCAAAGTTTTCACATCAGTAATCGTGAAGACCCTTCCCTTAGGTACATTGTCCAGTAAGTGTCGAGAGTTTACTAACGGTTTGTTTTTCTATATATTTCCCATCCCAAAATATTTACTTTATTTGAAAGTTTTTCCCTGTTTTCTTTCAGTATTTCTTTCTTTCTGTTTTTCTGTATTTCTGCCTTTCTTTCCTTTTTTTCTTTCCTTCCTTGTTTCTTTCTTTCTTTCTTTTTGTCGTTTTTTTTCTTTTCGTCTGTCTTCCTTTTTTTTCAGTAGCGGGGGGTGGCAATCTAACAGCAGAATCTTAGTAGCATTCGTTGGCAGGCCAGGTTGATTTATTGTCACATGTACCTGGACCTTCGTCGGCCACACCCTTCCTCACATTCTTTGGGTTTTCTTCTTAGCAATCGGAGGACAAGGAGCGCCTCACAAGTGTCCTCAAGTGGCGATAGTGAGGGAAGTGTGGAAGGTCAGTACAACTTTGCGCCTGCAGATGACGAAATCGACGTTGGAATGTTCGAAGGTGATAGAAATTCTACGAGTTTTGGTCAAGACCTTGAATTGCGATACCTCGATTCAGCGACTTCGACCTCGTACTCAGAGAGAAACGTGGATGACGTTGTACGCCTCGAGGAATACAAGCCGAGGCGTAGTCCCATTGTCTCTCGTGGAAACTCGGTATATGACGAGGTAATACCAAGTGACAGTAAAGGAAAAGACGATAGATACCTTAAACCGAATAATACGACGAAAAGTGAAGGCCTTGTCGATTCTGCCGGGGTAGATAATAGTGCCTTCCCACTCTCTGACTTTGCTGAAAATGAAGCTCCTCCTAACTGGAGACCTGTACCTCCGCCTATCGATAGAAACCAGTCGCCGGTTTATGCGCAGGTGATTAAAGGCCGAAAGACTAATCCGGAAAATTCCGTTCAGGGCCCAGACGAGTCGGCTAAGAATGAGCCCATGGTGAGTAGTCCTAACGACCAGGCTACCTTTACAAAGAACTCTGCTAAAAGTCTTGAAAACAGACCTGTGAATAACAAGTCTGATTCGGAGATTTTATCTGATGACGATGATGAACTGGATAGGCCTCCGCCACCTCCTCGCCCGAGCCAAGTGGATGATGAGTGGGTGCGACCTCTTCCTCCTGAGATTACGGCGCTCCCTGGGAGAAGGAATCGTTTTGCATCCTGGGCGTGCGAGGACGCTGATGGTGCAAAAAAGACTAATCCGGAAAAGTCCGTTCAGGGCCCAGACGAGTCGGCTAAGAATGAGCCCATGGTGAGTAGTCCTAACGACCAGGCTACCTTTACAAAGGACTCTGCTGAAAGTCTTGAAAACAGACCTGTGAATAACAAGTCTGATTCGGAGGTTTTATCTGATGACGATGATGAACTGGATAGGCTTCCGCCACCTCCTCGCCCGAGCCAAGTGGAAGATGAGTGGGTGCGACCTCTTCCTTCTGAGATTATGGCGCTCCCTGGGAGAAGGAATCGTTTTGCATCCTGGGCGTGCGAGGACGCCGATGGTGCAAAAAAGACTAATCCGGAAAATTCCGTTCAGGGCCCAGACGAGTCGGCTAAGAATGAGCCCATGGCGAGTAGTCCTAACGACCAGGCTACCTTTACAAAGGACTCTGCTGAAAGTCTTGAAAACAGACCTCTGAATAACAAGTCTGATTCGGAGGTTTTATCTGATGACGATGATGAACTGGATAGGCTTCCGCCACCTCCTCGCCCGAGCCAAGTGGACGATGAGTTGGTGCCACCTCTTCCTCCTGAGATTATGGCGCTCCCTGGGAGAAGGAATCGTTTTGCATCCTGGGCGTGCGAGGACGCTGATGGTGCAAGTGATTTTGACGATTTGACGAAAATATGAATACCAACTTATGATCAAAAACATAAATCATACAAATATGAGATTTTTTCCTTGGGAAGCATTCGATTTCATTTCAAATTCATCGCGCAAACTAAGTGGGCGGCTGTGTGAGAAAAAAAATGGTCAGACGTTCGGACACTTGTCGCATCATTTGTATGTTTTTCTTTTTTACCTCTTGACCTTTAACTATCTAAATAGTGCACATAAAACAGAAAATACTTTTTATTTTGTAAAGTGTTTTTTTAAAACTTCCTCAAAAAATTCACGAGGTAACCATAAGAGTTTATCTTTCGTGGTTAGAAATGTTTCGTTTGTCATTTTCTCATAGCAAGTCACCTGAATCTTCCGTGTAGTGAAACATAGAAATTAAACAAACAAACAAAAACACTAACGTAAGCTCGCTAGGAAGCATGGTGTTCTGGACGTAAGTGTTGTCTTCAAAAACCCGCCTCGGAAATTCCAAGAAGGCCATGCTTAATATTCAGCGCTATCCGGAATGCGTGTATAGTTATTTTGTTCCCAAATTTTCAAAGTTTATTTATGTCAGCAACATTTTTTTATTCGGTGTCACTTTTTTTACTGTCATTGTGCATGTACACATATCGAAACGTAACGTCTGGTCGACATTCTGCTAGAATTAGTGGCATTTCATTTGTGACATATTTTATGGAGGTAAGGTACAAAAAATCAAATGTGGAATGCTACAAAAGGTTAACTAATCTTGGATGGCTGACGCAGCCTTATATTCCAATTAATCCTTTAACCTCTAAGGGGACTGGTATCTAATTTCTCGTTTCAAGATCCCCCCCCCTGAATAAAACATTAAGGTCATGAGAATAAGGGAAATGATCAATAACTAAAGAAGCTCTTGATTGTTCAACAAATTCTCCTTTTCAGAAACTAAAGAGATGTACAGAGATAGTATGGAGAGTATGCATACTGATGTTAGGGTGTAAAGGGTTTACAGATGGATTCCATGTTGCCGTGCGTCTGTTTAGTAACAGATCACAGATGACGTTAACCCTGTAACTCCCACGAGTGACTAAGACAGAACTTCTCCTCACAGTATCCATACAATATCAAGCAGAAAAGTGATGAGAATAGAGAGAAATATCAATTGGGGATTATAAGTTGATCCAATAACAAATTCTCAGAACCAAAATCATAGGAGTTGTATGGAAGTTATTTAGGAGAATTACTAGAGAGATCTTGGGAGTGAAAGGGTTAAAATGTGGTAAGAACATGGCAACGTAAAGGAGGAGCAGTCGAGTATGTCACTGATGTTATGATGTTAGTATGCCACATTTTGGCGTCTTTGTGATCTATTGCTGAACACACCCACGGCAACATGGAGCCTATTTGTGTTATCTGATAAAAAAGCAAAATTTTGTTAATGGTGAAGTGATCTATGTGTCTGTCTCCAATAGATCATTATTTAGAACCAGTTAAGACCCTTGTAGGATTCAGCTTATCATATAAAATAATATAGTTTACATAACAATAAATTCAATTTAAATTCAATCAGAAAAAATTGATATTTTGACTTAAGTTAATAATTTAAATCAAGCGTTCGTCGAACAATTGGGGAGAGGTGTGTTTCCCTTGTTGTAATCAGGAAGACTGTAATTTATTTTAGCTCACTTAATTTTACAATTAAAGTAAAGTCAAAGTATATGCTTTGAAGTCCATCTCAGTTGTATTCATAATGGTGGAAAATGCTATGATTTTGCAACACTTTTCGATTCTATGTCGTAGAGTTAATACCAAAGTCTGAAGTGCAGATCAAAGTGAACACGAAGTAAACACGTGCAAACGTCCTAAAGCGCGGGAAAATGAGAGTCCAAGTCATTATTGCTTTCAGATTTGCATCTTGACTGGTTGAGCGGACGGCGCGAGTTTTCTTATCCGCCATTGAGGAAGATAGGAAAAGGAAAACCAGTAGGAATTTCCAAGAATACTGTGCTTTTGTTCTTGTTGGTAGCGGAACAAAGATGTCATTTCAACTTTCCTGAGCAAAGTTGATGTTTCCCATTTCGAAATTCTCCGCTTTCGTTTCTTTCGTTGTATCTCTCCTACTGGACAGATAGCTGTTGAAGTCTTGAGAGTCTTTTCGCGCCAGCGGACATAGCACACGTTTCATTCCTTTGCAAAACCTCTTGTCTCGAATAGCGTAGATCACTGGGTTCACACAACCATTTAGGAGCGTAATGGTGAGCACTGCGTTCAGAATACTGCTCGAGAATTCCCAAGATCCTTTGGAAATCATCTTGGCCATCGACAATACTGTGTATGGAAGCCAGGAAACGACAAAGGCTCCAAGAACAATTAGCAGCGTCTTCATAGCCTTGGTTTCCATGGCTCTTTGGCCAATCGTGTTGGAGCCTGGCGTATTCACTGAGTTCTTTTTAATCTCTCTCACGTGGTACCTAGCCACAAAGAAGATTCTACAGTAACAGTATATCATGCAGATCACTGGAGCACCAAATGGCAACAATGCCAGACCGAGAGTATACACCCTATTCGCCAGTCCCTTTGCGCCCCAGTTTGGACGGCAGGTGGAGGTCTTGGGCTGATAAACAACCTCGCCCCAACCGAACTGCGGTGCAAATGCCCAGAAAATGGAATGGACCCAACCCAAAAGAAGCAGCACGACTGAGCGGATCGTGGTTAGAATAGTCTGGTACCTAGAAGGTAAAATGATCGCAATCAAGTTATGGCAATGCTTTAACCCTTCAACCCCCAAGATTTATTAGTATCTTATTTCTCCCTGAAAAATCACCCTGAATTAAAGCTTAAGGTTACGAGAATAAGGGAAGTGGTCACGAATTAAAGAAGCCCTTGGTTGTTACACACTTTCTCTATGTCAGCACCTCAGGAGATGAACAGAAAACAGAGTGAAGAATATGCCTACTGATGTTAGGGCGTAGAGGGATAATATGTATTCTGAAAAGTGACTCTTTTTTTACTGAAAGCCCATAGTTAGTAAAAGTTTAACATTCACAGGCACAGGCACAGGTTAATTCACCAAAATGTAACCATTTCACTCGCGTGTTAATTTAATTACAAACGGCAACCAACCAGAAGGTTTCTAGTTACAGCTTTTCAAGGCTATAAACTTACGAAAAAATATGTAGAGAGAAGTGTGCCGTAAAAACACTAAATATATTACCCTGTAATCACAAGTTGATCTGCGATATCGTTTTCTTTTGTCTTGCAAATTTAAGGGAGGGTTTCAGAGTATAATTAATTTGATACAACTAGTCTTTCAGAGAAACACCTGATTTCCTACTAAACATTGTCGTCAGAGACCATATTTTATTTGGAATTCTGTATGCATCAACCATTTCCACCACGCTTCTCTCGTGTCACGACAAACGTTCTTTTAAAAATAGTCTTAAAAGTATCGTAATTAATATTCTTGCCGTTCACTACATCAGTTAGCGAACAGTGTTCAGTTGCTGTAGGAAATAAATCAGGACAATCAACAATATTACTTGATCACGAATAGAACCGCAAAAAAGTAACTTCCTGTTGCAGCACATACATATACCTATCAGGTACCTATTTCTCAGCGGAGATGTGATGTTCATTTTGTGGTTTGTCTGTCTTGCCATCACCTTAAAAAAAGACACCAACCTAAAAATATTTTCCAAAACCTAAAAAAAACTGTTTCCACTTCAGTTCATAACTGCCTTCGAGTGATAATTTCAAGGCTTTTAAGCGTATGTTTCCTTTTTTTGTTAACTCTTCAGTGCGAGCCTCGTTCTTTGGTTGTGGTGGTTGTTTCATCTCCCCGTTGATCTTCTGGGTTTACGATACTTTTTCTTAAACGAAATACACTGAAGCTCCTTTTCACGTCCACAGTATCCTTAAAACATTTTGCTAGAAGCAACTCCCTAAAAGCAAATCGAAACTCTCTCTTTCGTACTGTATAAATAACAGGGTTGACCAGCGAGTTGGTAAACGACAGCAACATGCTAGCCTGACGAAAGAATGTTTTTGTATCGCTCGAAAAATGCCTGCTCAAAACGTTCCATGTTATGGTCCTGACAGCAACTGGCAAAACGCAACAAAGAAATATTGCGACGAAAATGATCGATGTTACTTTGAGGGCTTTCTTCTCCCCTTGAAATTTGGTCCTGGCTTCTATCGTAACTTGTTCCAACGAAATTTTTTCCTCATGCCGTTTGGCTTCTTCGTAAACAAGTCTGTGGAGTAAAATCGTCGTGAAAATGATAGATGCTACCAGAATGTAAAAACACTTTGCTGATTGTGTGAAAGTGTAAAAGAGAAGTGCTGAGGTAATCCACGGCACAGCACACGCTACCAATAGACGACCTTTGGTGATGAAGCGGTAATAACAAAAAGTGTATTTCATGGCGAGGTAACGCTCTCCGCTGATTAAAAACAAATGTACCACCGAAGTCCAGAATGTAAGGAAATAGGAAATGCTAAAAGCCAAATTAATGTCACAAATTCCGCCAAAAGTTTTTTCTTTCACAAGGTAAATAGTCACGGTTATGTAAAAGGGTTGGGTGATGAGACCAGAAATAAGATCCGATCTGAGATCTGTCAGCGCCATACCTGCCAACAAGATGTTTGGGAGAGTTTGTAGTCGTTTCTTGGTTTTCACGGCCACCATTACTATGGCGTTCAACAGAACGGTGAAAGGACTGGCCACTAAATTGATAACGACTGCTGCGATAATGAAGCTTCTGTAAGAACAAGGTACAGATAGCTGTACAGATGACTTAAAGAAAATGTGTTTGCATTCAATTGCATTTTCAATCCTCGGAGAGTTCGAATGATTCATTTTCTGCTGTTGTACAGTTAATCAGATGAGGGCTTCTTTGAACTCGTAGTTTCGTTCTGAAAACACCTTCTATTTGCAGGCTATATGAATGATTTTATTTGACAACCGCAAAACAATCGATTTTAGGGCCAACTCTAGTCCACTTGAAGTAATACAATAAGTCAATGAGCCTCTCAGCTTTCTTTCAATTTCCTTCCGATACAACCATTGTTAAATTCGCTCATCATAAGACACTGACCAATGCAAATTAACAAGCAGATGTAAGATAGCTGTCAAAGAAAACGTCTTTCCCTGTTGATCTAAACACGAAAGAAGTCCAAAGCAGACATGGAGTTATCTCCACAGTCAGCATGACCAAGTGACAATTAGAGGAGGGTAAGTTTCTAAAGAAACTGTTGTGCTGCGTCGGTGAGGGAGTACAACAGATTAACATAGTATTATCAACGCAAATTGGCCACCGAGTTTAAAAGAGTTTAAAAGCTGACATTTCGAGCGTTAGCCCTTCGTCAGAGCTAATGACAAAGGGCTAAAGTTCGAAATGTCAGCTTTTAAACAACTTTTCATTAACTGTTTCCGGCATACTGAATGTAATAATGCGTCATACGAATTTGCCCATTAAGAGAACTTGAGGTCTAATATGACGCAAACATTATGATGTGAATTTCTACCAGATGAAATTTGATAAGTCAAATTTACTCTAAATTTTACCATCAGGAAAACTAATATTCCTTGCCGCAGAATTTGTCTATGGCAATTCGTTTTAAACACCGTGTTTTAAAATACGCCGATTTTATATTCAAGTTTTCGAAGGGCTTTAAAACTGATTATATCGTTTTGAAAGGTTGGAGTGCTCTTGAAACAGAATTTGATTTGGGTAGCCGGCTTAGGAATATACAAGTTAGTCAAGCGGACCTACGCGCAAGGCAAACACGAAAACATATTCTCGCGTGAGAGGGAGCGCGAAAAGGAACGCGACTCTCGCCCTTCACGTTCGCCTCGCGCTTGCGTCCGCTTGCCTTTAAACGAAAAAACATGATGCCTGTTCAGTAGGGTGGGAAAACCCCATCTGTTTTTAGGAACCATTTTGATGGAGCATAGTTCTCTTTTGAGATATTGCTTTAAATTATGTGAATTTGAAAACAATTGCAACTCTGTATGTAGCTGCCTGATTGTGTTTCCTAAACATTGCATTGTGGAAAAAGGAGAACAGATTCCATCTGGCGGATTATGAAATAATTAGACTCATACTGATATACCCTAGTTATCAGCCTAGAAACCAGGCCAATAAATGAATGTAAATACGTTCTATGCAGTGGTTGGAAATGTTGTTAACGGGATGTGGTTTTTCATCAATTCTGTAGATTCATTTTGTCGCAGATGTTTTCATTAACCTACCTCTTATATAACGAGGGAAAAATCTTTCAAAACTCAATATCATTAGATGTAATCGAAGGTAAACTCTGCGGTATCGAATTAAATTAAGTTAGAAGTTTTTAGTTTCTCCTGCTCTGTAAATCATCAAAACAGTTGCTTTTGTCTCAAGGGATCGCTAATTGTATCTTTTTTTAATGTTCATTACGACATGTAAATTAACGATCTTCAGAAAGAAAGCTTTGAAAATTCAAGCGATTTTAATTATTCAAAGAAGTCTACATCTCTTAATTTGGTAGGACTGACAAATTCATTTCCGTTTTTAATGAAAAGGTTGTCAATTTTAGGCTTACGTTCGTCATTTTCATATATCTCTTAAAAAAACCCTTGATATTGAATCTAATATGGAACTGTAAAATTTCATTTAAAATTTTTTTGCGAGTTTATTTATTTAGTCTTTCCTAGTCTTTTCTTTAGTTACTTTTCTAGTCTTGCTATTAACTTTTTTAATTGTTTTTTGTAAACCATTTTCAACTATGGCTTAATCAAACATGCACCATCTTTGTTATCAAAGCCTTTTTCCGCCTTGCAAATGTTTTTTTCGTGTCTAAATCCCATACACTAGTATCCAGATTGATTCAGTCGTAATCTGGTGAAGACCCATAAAATTTTGCTTTTAAAATATCGCTTATGAAAAACCCTGTGCAGAGCAGAATAATTTACAAAGATTCTTCATTCATAATTACATGTTAGCTTTTTTTGGTCCGCATCTTGAATTAACGATAGTTTACTGATCAAATCTCAAGGTGTACCAGGGGCACAAAGGTCCAGGAAATGAACTCTTCTTTCTTGTTCGTATTGTAACTCAATGGCGCCTTCTAATCTGATGCGGAGGTTAAAATGAGCTGCTTTGACTTGCTGAATACTCGTTTTCCTGCTTTTGGAATTCATCAACATGTAATTTTATTCAAACATAATTTGGATATTGTCGGCCGCTCTTTGCCAGTATCAACAACTATACATAACACTTGGTGAATGGGTTTTGTAAATAAAACCGAGGTGCTCAGGAACTTGAACTAAGAGAATATAAACAAGACGCCATTGCTTAGTCAAGTGCTAACCGTGTTGTAAACCATTGTTGAAATTTTGATTGCGAGTTTTGAATAGAGAGTACGGGAGAGGTCGAGGTTAATTAAGGGTTTTTTTTTTCCCGGTTTTGTATATATCTTTGCAGTTGTTTCTTACCTTAAAGGATCGGTTATGGCGAGATAGCGATCCACGCTGACCAAAGACAACGTAACCAAAGAGGCGTTGATACTCACTGAAATGAAAGTTGCATGCCATTTGCACCAAGTGAGGGAAATATACCAATTCTGAGCGAGCGATGCCATGATGTAAAATGGGATGTAAATCGCTCCGACAAGGAAATCTGCGGACGCCAAACTACTGATGAAATAATACGTGGGCTTGTGGAGTTTGTGATCGAAGATCACAATTCCTATAACGAAGACGTTCCCAAACACGCTGCCGATGCAAATAATGACCAGCACAACGACTTGTACGTAAACTTCAACGTCGTTCCTCATCATTGGAGATGGTGATGGAGTAGCATTCAGCTGGCCTATATGAGTCACGTTCATCCTTTTTCTGTCCACAGGGGTGCGTGCTCTCTTGTTAAACTGGCGACTGTGAACAACTAAGATCCGTCAAACCAGAGGATCACTGAAATAGGGCTGACGGCTGAATAAGCAGTTCAGTGACGCCAGTCTTCTGTAAAAAAGGAAAATTGGCGTTAATGTTTCCAATTAGCATAAGACAAGATATTTCACTCCCCATAGAGGTGTAAATAAATTACAAACACAGGATAGAAACTGTTTACTTGGGGAAAGAGTGCAAAGAAAAAGTGCCCCCCATAATGGACACACAAGTGTGGTACTGTTCTTCTCGTTCAGGAAAAGGTCACCTTTGTTTGAACAGGATCGACATTGACTCATCATTAGAACACAACTGCCACGCGATAAAAAAAATTGTTGATAAAAGAGAGTGCGTAAGTTTTGAATTCATTATCAAGTCTCAAATTAAAGCTCTTTTATTGTGTCTTCAACGGTAAAGTTTCGTTAAATCTAAATGGTTGGGATTTTCTTGTTTGTGGTTTCAAATTGGAATCCAAGGTTGTTAAAAGGGAGCCCATGAAATTGTTGTGATAAATAAACGAGACTACAGCACCGTATGGACAAACTCAGCCAATGAATAAGAATTAAAGTCATGTATTAAACATATTTTTACTAATCAGAACATACAAAAATTAAACAAGATGATTGATGAAGAAAAAATTGGTTTTAAAAAATAATGTGAGGCAATGGACCGGAAGACCCGGTGCATGAATCGTTTTACAAACCACACAAGAGAAGGAAAATATTCCGCGACATGTTCCTCGACATGTTGCTTTGGTAATGAAATTGGTGATTGACGCTGTCTGTGAAGGCGACATCCAAAGAAAATTAGTGCTAGACGTTATTACAAGGTGCTTTATGACATGCGATGGGATACAAAATTTATCTTTATTTCATACCGGTAACTTTTGTTAACGATCACTGACGATAAAATTCGCATCTCCCAACGGTCATGCAATGTCCAGTTTATTAGACAGTTATCGATAAAATATGCCAGCTAAACACACCATTTAAAGTAGACCAAATACATTCATCCTTTGTAAAGGATGCGTTTCCGAAAAGTTATTTCCTGCACATTCAGACAAAGCACATTCCCTTTAGAGAAAAAAATTTTCTGTCAAAAATAACGAATTTATTTTGGGTGATATTTGTAAAATCAAATAGCTCTCCCTAAAAACACAGTCACTTATCCCCATGGTGACATTGATATCTCCTCATGTGGAGATAAATATGATATTCTCACCACACAAAATGACGATATCATATTCTGAAGACTGGTAGAGTAATCCTGGTTATTTCCCCGATACAATTCTTTCGCATGCGAAATTTTCATGGTACATTTTCGATGTAGGATCATTACTTTATTCCCTCTTATTTAAGTACCTGATCGATTGAATGTGCTTGTTGATCACGTGAGATTGCAAGTCTCCAGCTCAACCCCGAAAATACTGATTATTGACTTTGCAGTAAAAAACACCGATGAATACCGTTTTTCTCATGAAATTTTACATTTTCACGCTTGTCTTTATACTAAATTATTAAGGGTACCTTATCGTGCGAATTGCTAAGTGACGATTAGTTTGCCCTCACGTAATGTATGCCTTGGTAACTTAAATGATAACTTACACTGCTAAGCTTTATCATTTGCGTGTCATTTTCCCCCAATAGATTGTATGTACTGTCACATTTTTAATAATAATACGCAGGATATTATTTCACGTTTGTAAAGTCAAAATTTTGTCGATTGGATAAAAACAGGAACTAAAAATTTTTCCGTGTGAATCAAATGTTTTCACGACAAAAAAAAAGGAAACAGTGTGTTTCAACTCCACTCAATGGAGTAATTACAGGTGAAATATGAGGTCGCTTAGGCAGTTAGCACCCATGCAGTTTTTTTAATTTCGTGCGCTTGCAACTTTTTGTTTGGTTATTAAAATCGAGACTGAACAGAAATAGTATTTGCTCCAGATGTCCCGTATGGAATTACTTCCTTTCGCCTGCATGATGTAGACTGATTAATGCTACAGCATTCAAACGTGGACTTTAAAGGATCGATTTCTGATCGACTGTACTTTTTCAAGCCGTGTAGCCACGTCGCTTTTTAGGAAAGGCAAAAAAATTCCTTGGTTGGTACCGTGGCAACTTCAAAACATTAGTTTCTCGCTGTCGTAAAGAAACCGGATCGAAAATCACGTTAAATTATTCTTTCTTACAAAAGGAGAAAACAGAAACATAAAGAATGGCAACCTTTATTCGGAAACTGCATTTCTGTTGATTTTTAAAAGTTGGAAATATGACAAATTTTTATTTAACATTTCAACTGACTTTCCTCTTTGAGTGGCATTCGCTGTCGGCTGGTGACTTCAGCAGGTTGATTAAAATAAAGGTTTCCGACTATTTCTGAAGAACCTTTTCACAGCGAAAGCAGTTTTCCTGAATTTTTTTCATATCTTTTCCTATGCTTTGGTTTTTGTCAGCAGGCCTCTCTAATTTTACCTAAAGAGCTTGTTCACCAAAATGTTCATCAAATAAAAAAGAAAAGGAAACGACCTCACACTCTTTAAAATAAAAATTTCAATAAACGGTTGACTCTGAGTTCCCGAAATCAATGTAGTAACTGATAAACATGACTACGTCTCTCCGCTTGCCTTCACTTTTCTTGCCCTATTGCAATTTTTGTGATGTATCGGCCTGCTATAGGCTATAGGCTATATAGGCTAAAGATCTGTAACTGGAAGAATAGCTCTCTGTCACCTCAAAGTGTAATTTCGTCATTTTAAACAAATTTTCTGAAATATTTCAGCACATTTTAATGAGATGGGTTACCTACCTTTCTTTAACATCCTTCAGCCCCTCAAAAAAACTGGTGTCAGATCTCACCCCTTGCGTTTTCAGCGCATTATTGAGGAAAAACTGAAAGTGACCGAGTTACCGAATACTGGCGCTTGTAGTTAATAACTGAGAAATATTTGCTTAAGCAAAGCACCTGTATTTTGTTAGACCCATAATTCATTCATTCCTTGCGCGATATATTACAATAGACGAAGTAAGTGAAAACCGACTTCTGAGTGGTTAATACTGCCCGAATTTTGTCGCTTTATTGATTGGCGAATTGGAAACAGATAATACAAACAGGAAAACTACGGTAACACTTAAAGCATCAGGCGAGATATGGAATGATTATAGAGAATAAAAAGTAGATTTTGAACTGGTTAGCTTACTGATGCATAAGTATTTTCCGAAATAAAATTTGATATTTTGTTCAGCGGGATAAATAGTGCAAATTACCCCTTCTAACAACAAAGATACAACACGTTTGTATACTCTCTTTAATGGTTTGAGTGAGGTCTCAACATTTATGAGCCATCAACATCTGTTACTTTCTCATTGTGTTGTCGGTAATTTTTTAATTTTCAAGAGCTTTTTTAATTTATAATTGGACCCCGACTATTTACCAATCTTTTTCGGTGCAATATCAAGGGGTTTTTATTGTAATTGTGTATAATTCCTTTTTCTCCATTTCATGCTTTCCAACTCAAGTTCTTCCGTGCCGCTTGAGGATCTGTTGATCTTTTGTGATTAGAAAAAAAATCCGACTTCGGCAGTTTAAACTCGAGGACTTAAGCGACTGTGTATTAATAAGATTCGAAAACATCCGGTACTGTATCCAAGAATCAGAAGTGATTTCAATCCAAAATATGAAAACGTTTTCTTTCAAATGAAATCCAGTTTCTAACGCCATAGTGTCTTCTCAGGTAGATATTTTTCTTCGGTGTATTCGACTCGTTAAATAGACCTGTTTTCAGAAGAATTTTAAAATACATTATTACGTGACTTAAGAGTTGTCGAAAATGTTCTCCTCTAAGAGAATGATTCAAGGATTGTTATGAAAATTGGACCCTAAAATTTTTCACGTGAGGGCATGTTTCCTAGAGTTTTGTCAATATTTAGTCTTATTGGAGATGTGATCACTGAAATAAACAGATCATATCATGAATATCCTCTTAACTTTTGGATCACCACCATTTCCGTTCATTTGCTTCGTTTATTGCAAAAATACATTTTGACTGATAAAAAAGATACCACAATATTAAAGCTTTGCGACAAAAGGCGCCCAGTAATCTTGTCCTTTTTGAACACCAATTATTTGATGGACTGATTCATTTTTAAGTTTGTTTCTTTGAAATGGCATCGAAAAAAGTCAAAACATTTCCTCAACAATTGTAATCATTCTTTGTGACATTTAAGGGTAACATTGAAATATTACAACCTCGTCGAAACAGCCTTAATTAATGCTTTAATTGCCTGTCTCGTAGCAAAAAATAACTTTTTTGTCCCCCGTTTCTACCGCTGAATTGTCGTCAACATGTCAAGATTCATCTTTTGTAGATCTCTAAAAAAGACCCCCAAAAAAGACCCCCTGTACTTCAAGTTCAGAGCCACCTTAAATTTTCGAAAGGGTGAGATAGCTCTGAACCTGTAGTACAGAATAGGAGAAAATTGAAAAAAGACGACTATTTACCTGCTGAACCCAATTTAATTACAAAAAACAGGCTTATAATACTCGTTTTTGAGTTATAGCGCTTAAAGATAAAATTGAGGATGTTTCTGAGGTGTTAAAGTATTGTTATTTAACCTTAATACAAAAAGAAAAAAAAAACAGCTTCTCGAAAAATGATCGAGAATTTCTTGATGATTTTTCAAGGACGCAGGTGAAAAATTTCTGTAGTATCGATTCATCCAAGAAACGGTATTTTAAAGTAACAAAACTGTACGAGTGCTGTTAATCCGATTTATTGGCTAATTTTGTTCGTTTCTGTTTTTCAACCAAAACAAATCATTTATTCTAGACCAGCTATCGAGAACCCGATCGTAGATTAATATAACTTTAAAATGAAGTTTTTATGTGTCATATTTTCCGAGATGCACGCAAGTTATCCCCCAGCAGTTCTGCGATGGGAAACGAATTACTCTCTGAAACCCTATTAACGGTATGGTAAGATTGCGTTATTTTACGCTCGCGTTACAAGTCACTAACCGTGACATGTTGAGACCGGGTATGAACTTCGATATTAGATAATTTTGCCAATGAATAAATCTATATACGTATATTATTTTTAATCGGAACTCTATTTCTTTAAAACTTTTCGGATATCCAGCACTGTAGGATACAATCAAGGTTTTCAAACGCGATTTGAGTCTTGTGCATTAAACTTGCACCGAGTCCTTGCAGGAGTAACGCCTGACTGTTAACTGCACAACTTGGCATTATTTCGTCTGTCCGTGATCCTTATTAAATGTTATCAAAACTACGGTCCCATTTCAGCCGTTATGGTACCAGGGATGGTGTGAAATCCTTACCGAAAAACTGATCGTGACTTAAATTCTTCTTATCAAAGTCTGGTTTCCAAGCACCGGAACGAAAACGTACGTCAGATGTTGTGGCAGACAATCGCCAGAAAATGGCAAGCGTGGACGTTCTTCTGTTTATTTCCTGTTTATTTCAGCTCATTATCTCAAACAAGGCTAAACGAGCACAGCCTGGAGTTACACTGGATATTCCATCAGACTTTCATGAACGAATGAAGGTGTACTATGATTTTGTGGAGATAATTGCCGCGCCTTCCCATGCAGAAGCAGAGTTTGACATTGTTCTCCTTTACAGGACCAAAGAAGCAAGGCTTTTGTCTGTAGAAATCATATCAATCGGAATAGAGGGCAAAGAGCGTAATGAGTTCAAATACACGCTTATGGTACTGCATCGTTCAGAAAAAACGCAAAAATTACGAGTGCGGGTTACACTCCGAGATTCATTGATGTATTTTGAAAACAGAGCTCTGAATATATTTCCAGATCTTTACGTTGAGCAGATTCATGTGACAATAACTTTGCTTGATCTTCTACCTGGTGGGTTAGATTCAAAGCCCGTGTTAGCTGGGGATTTTCTAGTATTGCCTCTAACCTCTCCGTGGAGAAGACCTCAAAAACCAGGCTTCAGTTTTTCATGGCCTTGGGAACATTTGATGAGACACAAGCAGTGGAAGATTGAGAAATGTATGCATCTTAAAGGTACGTGTCCTATTGCCTTTAAATTTCAACCCCCCTTTTCTCTTTCCATATCATCATTGATTGCAATATATACTTAAGTTTATTTTTATCTCATAATGGTTTTACAGATATTGTTGACTTGTTAACTTTTCCCGTTGCACTAACTGGCAAAGAGACAGGAGTTAAAAGGTATATCCTTGCTAATTTTCAACTTGCAAATTGGGAAAAGAATGTCACTTAATTTATGATTATCATCATCATTATCATCATGCCTACCATGCCTTTGTGGAGGCACGGTGGCCTTATGGTGCGCTCGACTCTGGATCGAGTGGTCTAGGTTCGAGCCCTGGCTGGGGTCATTGTGTGTGTTCTTAGGCAAGACACTTTACTCTCACAGTGCTTCTCTTCACCCAGGTGTACAAATGGGTACTAGCAAATGTGCTGGGGGTAACCCTGCGATGGACTAGCATCCCATCCAGGGGGGAGTAGCAATACTCCTAGTCACTTCATGCTTAGGAAACCAGAGTTAAGTGCTGGCCCCATGGGCCTCTTGGGCCTGTATAAAGGCTTTACTTTTTTTTCTTACCATGCCTAACTTTGCTTTGTCCTAGAATTCTTCCACCGCTTGCATGGCCTAGGGAAGAACTGGCTGAGGCACACAGCAGAACAAAACCAAGGTGATACTAGTGTATGTTATTTAATTATCATTTTTATCATATGAATAGTGCCACTTCATGCATTTTTATTAAAAAACATCATTTCCTGTGAGAATTCTTCCAAATGCAAGAGGAAGAGTAGAAAGGGAGAGAATGCTGGCAATGTGATAAGATGCTTGATGAATAAAGGGGGTAAGTTTCTAAATAAACTGTGGTGCTGCATTGGTGGGAGAGTGTAGCAAGTAATTAAGTGTTAACAACTAGGTTCATCATCATCATCATGCCCTTTACGCCTAACAGGCATGTAGGGCAGCAACGTGTTCCCAGATGTGGCGATCCCAGATGTGGAGGGAACACGTTGCTGCCCTATAGCATAACATTAACATAAATTGGCCACCGTAAAGAGTAAAAAAGCTGACGTTTCAAGCATTAGCCCTTTGTCAGACTTTTTACTCTTTCTGGTAGCCAATTTACATTTTCAACCTAGTTTTTAACACTAAATTACCTGATAAGATGCTTATTGACTTAAAGTTAGTCAGGCTGGATGGGAAAATGTTTGGCTCTTGGGAAGGGACCCCACTGCACTTGTTTCATGTAGTATGACAAGGCGCCAAATATTTCCCCATCTGGTCCTCTTACTTAGTCTATAACTAATTTGTCTTGTTGAAAGTTTGTCATGTGTGATCCAGATTTACAAGACATTGATTTCCTTCATAGATTTACCATTTCAACATGGATTTTCATATTTGAGCCTTGTCTTGATGGTCTTTGTGGAATTTTAAATCACAGAAGTACATCTCTTTTGACTCCATTACTGAGTATAACGTCAAGTGGTTAGTGACTTATATGTAGGATGATTTTATTGTTTGTGTTAGTTATGGGTCTTTAAATCCTAAGAATATTAGAAAGGGGGGGGGGAGATGCTGGTGCATGCCCTGACTTAGTGGTTTATGTGCTTGAAAGCTGATGTGGTTGCTGTTACGTGTTCTTTGGCAAGACGCTTCACTTCCATGGAGCCTCTTTCCACTCAGAAATATATAAACAGGTGGCGCAAGCCTGTTGATTGAAAATAACCTGAAAAAATGAGGATGACCTTGGATTGGACTGGTGTCCTGTCCAGGAGGACAGTGTGGTCAAAAATCTGTATATGTGCAAACATTATAGTGGCTAGGTGGCTTGCTTTCAGGTTGTCTTATATAAATTTTAGTCACCCTTGTAAGTCATGGTGTTTTAAAAGCTCTTGCAGGATGGGCCATCTGGCCTGTAAGCTGAGGTAATCATTTTCCTTTTTCCTTACAGGACTTCATATTCAGGTACAATACACACCTGATCTTGGTTATGCATTTGTCATCAACAGTCGGTTGCCTCTTAAGAAGTGGGTTCAGATTGTGATGTCAGTTGATGATAAAACTATATATGTGTCAACCAGACACTACAATGGTCATGTGTTAGAAAAAGAGGAGAATGCTATCCACAAAGAGTGAGTTATAGAGAGAAAATTAAGTTTTTATTTGCAATTAATTCACTGTTTCCTTTTTGAAATAGAAATCTTGACTTCACTCTTGAATTGATGCTGTAACACTATCAAATTAGATGTTATAATATTTTATTGATACTCTGTAATTGACCCTTTAATCCTTGAGAGTGATCAGCATCTAATTTCTCCCTACAGTATCACTCCTGAATCACACATTAAGGTCATGAGAATAAAGGAAATGGTCACCAGAGAAGGAAACTTTTGATTGGCAAACAAATTCTCCTTGTCAGCACCTTAGGAAATGTATGAAGAGCAGTGTGGAGAATATGCATACTGATGTTAGGGTGTAAATGGTTAATAATGTAATGCAACATATTATTACCTAGGTTTCCTTATGGGTCATTTAATTACAAAGACACTGAAGGATTTTGGGTGCTTGGTGGCACTGATGGATCCCAAACCTTCCAAGGAATCATTGGACACACACGTATATATAGGCGTCACCTCCTATTTCCAAACCAGGTAATAATATATCACTTTTTATAGATATTGAAATTCAGCCAATGCAAATATCTTGTATAACTGATGAGGAGTGAAGGAATTTGATAAACTTAGCCAGTAATTGATTTATGACAGTTATCCTGGAGAAAGTTCTTTTTTTAAATTTCTTGTTTCAGGTCTTCTCTCCCCCTAAGGATCATATCATGTTCCGCATGGGTAAACTGAATTTTCCATTACTACTTTGTGAATCTTAACTTTTCATCATTTTCATTGCCTTTAGTCACTTGCACTCCTCATTTACACCAACAAAGGAAGTAGAGAAAAAATTGATTTAAATTATGATTCAAATTTCAGCCCTTACAGATCACTCAGTTGCATGTGGTGAAAGGATTGTCAACTTACATGAATCTGTATTAGAGGACATTGAGAAAGAATCAGTAGAAAATGGTAAGCTGATGTTGACTTTGATGATAATTTGAAGTTAGAGACCCCATGTTCTAAATATTTACTTTTGCTAGTACTATTGTTGGAATGATGATTTGAATAAAGCTAGACCCAGTTAATCTTGATCTTACTTTTACATAATCCTGCAAGATTCTTCACAGTACCCAGTGGTCTTACCTATGTAAATTTAACATGTAATGAAGAGTGGAAAACTGTAGAGCAATTAGAACAGAGTAAAAAAGATTAGGATACATGTGGCTGTGGGAGCCTATCCTAATATCTGTAGCATGAGGTAACAACAAGTAATTCTTTGCCTCTCAGACAATGTACATGTAAGTCACATGTTACTTTCCAGCAATTTTTAAAGATTACTGATACCCATTTACTCTCCCGTTTTGAGTCAACACAGAGATCAAATGTAGGACATATGCAATGGGATCAATTTTCCCAGCTGCTGAAACAGCTGCTGTCACACTAAATAAACCAAGAAGAACTGAACTGTTTACATAAATTTGTAAAAGGGCAACATGAATAGGGAAAGGAAAAATCAAGATGTTTTGTACACAAAGCTTATTTAATTGTTGCAGATTTCACGTTGGTTTACCACTTTTTTTAACCTTAAAAAAAGTTCTTCTGTTTTTAAACGTTGCAATTTACTTGCTCGCATGATTGTCTATAACTCAACACTTTTAAGACAACTTGGTTCTGACATCCTGAAAGAGTGTCACCCAGTCATCAAAAACAGTGCACATTTGCAGATGTTTGACCTCAGTGTTTGCCGTGAGAGAAAAATCTGGCTAAGGAATTTATCAAAGTAACCAGCCTTGAACCTGTGTCTATCAATAACAAAATCAGGATACCAACCACTGATCCACTTTTTATGTACTCTCACTATGAATAAAATAGTTTTTTTGTATTTGTCCAGAAAACTGTGCTGCCAAACGTAGATCCCTGATGGATCTTATGCCAATCTCAAACAGAAACATCCAAAGCAAAGTTCCTTTATCAGGGGAGACCCCAGAGGTGGATGCCATTATTCGGGAAGCCATGAGACACCATCACAATGACTTGATATCTATGGCAGAATTCCTATATCAGCTGGCAAATGAAAAACTGGTAGGTTGTTTTCAACTCTTTGCCTTCCCTTGGAAAATTGGTGAAAAATGCTATTTGGCAATTCTAACAAGATCTGACCTGACCCACTAACATTTGGCTCGGTGTAAACCTCTGTTTTGAAATTCAGTTATAGTTGGTGACTACATGCTTTCTTTCAATCTTCAGGTTGATGATGTAACAAAAGCAAATGAGGCATTGGCCATTTTCAGAGTGTCAAGCTGTATGGGACACATCAAGTCACAGTACATGATGGGAATAATGAATTTGGTTGGGCTAGGTGTACCTCAACATGAAATCGAGGTATGAATACCACAAGAGAATGGATTATAACATTAAGGTGTTGTTTTCATGGCCTGTCACATGTTACTTTTCTATGTACTTAGACTAAACGTTGTTTGTGTATACTTAGCCTATGTTATGGTGTCATCTCAGTGAAATGGGTCTGGTACCAACATTTTGCACTGTACCTCTTCATTCTTTCAACTATTGCATATCCCACATGTTAGGCTTTCTCTCTTACCTCGTTGTCATTGTGAGGCCTGGGAAATGGTGGCTTTGCGACGTCACAGTTCGAGATAGGGCACAGGATTGACCGAGCGCAAAGGGCCTGGGAATAACAACAAATTAATAAGAGATGAAAACAGAACAAAGCGTTTTCAAACCTGATGAGGGGGAGTAGGAATGGCGCGATGAAAAGCGCCAGGGTTTGAATCAAACGGGTCGTATGGAATTAACTCTATAGATATTCGCATTACAAAGAGTAACTGGAGTAAATTTCTAAAGAAACTGTGTTGCTGTGTCATTGGGGTAGTATGACAATATGATTGGTTTTATCAACTGAGTTGATAATATAAATTTGCCGCCGTAAAGAGTTTCTTAAGCTGACGTTTCGAGCGTTTGCCCTTCGTCAGAGCGAATCGTTTATTGCAACGAAGCTATTACACTATCATCCATCTTTTTTCATTTTGCACAGCTTAGCCATTCGCTCTGATGAAGGGCTAATGCTCGAAATGTCACATGGAGTAAGATTGGTTAGTTATTTCAATTACTGCAGGGATGGAAGTATTTGATGCTTGGAGCGGCTAAAGACCACGCCCTTAGTCAAATGGCTTTAGCTTACAGACACTTTATAGGAGCCGATGGATTACACCGAGACTGTGATATAGCTATAGGTATGACAATGTGGAACAAAACCATTGTTCAATAAACAGAATTATATCAAGGAAAAAAGGTGTCTGTGCCTTCTTAGATGTCCTTTAAACGTACTAGTTCATTCCCAATTAGAGCGCACTGTGGTCGAGTTTCATGTTTTTTTAATCCAGAACAAAAGTAACTTGAGCTGTAAATAACAAAAAGATGGCAGAAAGGAGATGAGAACTCAGATTGAATACATGTAAATGGCTCTAAGCGAGGAAAACGCGAGTTAGTGTCGAAGTAGTCATTAGTTTTTGTTTTGTATCTGATCGGTTAAGAACATGGCGCGAGTTTCTTGACCAATCACGAGGCGAAGTAAGTCAAAACCATAATATTCGACAAGCATTTTGGTTCACGATAAGTATGGATAATTTTTTCAGAACTACCAAGTTGTTACTTTCTTGGACATGACCTGATTTGAGGTGTGATTTCCTTTCAGGATACTACAAGGCAGCAGCTATGACCACAGACAAACTCTTGCAGGAACATCAGGAAATAAATGTGAGTTAAATGCAACGAAGCTTAGCTCGCGAGGAGGCCCTCCTACAAGACGCGCGTTTCTCCGTCTGCGGCAAGATTTCAGACGAGTCGGGGAGAGGTTTGCTGTGGGTCTGGCACTAACGTGATTATCTGTCCTAGACCCCTTGCAGACCTCTCGCATAAGGTTTCATACTTTCCCGCGGGCGACGAAACGCTTATGCCAAAGCGCTAATGAAGATGGCGTGCACGCAGACGAAATAAAGTTATTACACCATCGTCCATATTTCTTCGTTTTACCCAGACTTGGCCAATTCATCAATCAGTGACGATTAGAATTGCACGATGACTTCACAGGTCATGTTGTTGACTTGTTTTTATTCCCAGACCCACTCGGAAGCAGTCCGCCTGGATGATTATGACGAATTAGCCAATCACAAAGGCAATGAATCTGACATGTTCCAGTGGCTTACCCATCAGGCTTTGCACGGTTTGACAGATGCTCAGGTGCGTTTCTTAATAATAAACAAATGAACATGTTATTTTTTTGTCCATTGGAGAATGTTGGCAGAGATTTATAAAGGTTAATTCCCTGAAACAGAACTCCCCTTTCCTCTCGTTGTCTTTAAAGCTTTCCATGTTATTTGTTTTCCCTGAAAATATGAGGTAATAATGTTAGTTTGGTGCATTAGAACTTGGTGTGAATGCATTACGCATTATCTTCTTCAACGATATACTCGACGAAATATCTCGTTCTTGATTGGTCAATGACGAATGTATAAGTAGGTTCCAGAGTGCTCTACGGGACTTCCTTTTTTTAAAACTCCCACAGAAATTTTGCATTTATTCGTTCACGCGAGCGGCAAGCTTCAATTACGGACGCTTTTCATGTCTGCTTCCCGAGTGTCCGCTTGCCAGCACTTTTACTTCGTTTATTCAAGACGAATTTGCCATGTCCGTCCAACATCTCCAAGGTTATGCCAATACCTCTTGTGGAAAATCGTCTTGAAAAAGACCCCATTATTATTTGCGAGTAATCCCGATTGTACATGTAGGTTTCGATACATTACCTCTGACAAAAAAACCGTTGCAACGGTGTTAAAAATCTACTTATCATTTTAGAACGTGCTTGCGGAGATGTATTATTATGGTAAACGTGGTTTGCAGAGAGATTTGAACCGAGCAGTGAAGTATTATCAGATGGGAGCCGATAAAGGAGACCCTGAGGGACTTTATAACTTGGGTGTGTCCCTATTAAGGGTAAGAAATAAACAAACTAAGACCAGATTCTCAGTTTTAATCTCAAAGATTGATTGCGAGCAAATGTCATGAAGTCATGAAGGAAAACCAATGTAATGTTGAGTTTGTTTCAACACGTTATCGTAAGTTTCTCTTTTGTAACCGAGTATTTCTTTAAATCTAAGGCGTTAAAGCGCAGTGAGTTGATTTTTGTACTTCTTTTTAAAGGGCCATGGTGTGGAACAGAACAAAACTGAAGCCATCAAGCTGTTTCAAATGTCTGCAGAACAGGTACAAACGCATTTTTGACTCTTGGTTTACTAGCCCATGTGGTGTCTGCTAACAGTGGTGCGTTACCACTAGGAAATCATGCTAAGTCGGTCGTCCAGTTAGAAAAATGTTTCCAATTTCCACACCTCCTTGTTAGGTTTTACGTCACAGCTTTGTGATTCACACGACGTTATGCTGCGCAACATCGTTTCTGTCCAATTCACCAGCCCATAATATTTTTTCAACCACATTCTTACTGGAAATATATTATTTTGTCGGAAAACGAAATTATTTTTTATTTGGTTTGGAGTAGGACTTTCCACCTGCTTTAAACGCCTTGGGTTTTTACGAGGTGAACACGCGTCAGAACTACAGCGGAGCAGCGGATTACTTTAGAAGAGCAGCTGCAAAGGGAGACAGAGATGGGCTAACCAACTTAGCTGTGTCATATGACAACGGCTGGGTGGAAGGACATCCTCCTGATAAGGTATGGAGAACGGAAGGGAGAGCTGGGCACGAGGATTCTTCCACTCTCAAGATCCAATCCGTAGTCCTCCCCCCCTCCAACTTTTACTTTTTCTTCATTAGTTTAGAGAATTTGGTTTTGTTTCCAAGAGGCAACCTCTGGGTTTGTCTTCTCCCGTCAAATATTTTTCGGATAATGTATTGATATCGTTCTTTCCAGGGGGGGATACTTGGATTGATTTTTTTTTTCAGATAAGTGCCGCTGGCCTCTCAGAACCTTTATTCCATCAAAGTGTATTCTGTGGCCAATTATAGACACCATCTTAAATACTTTTAGTTAAACGTAATATTCGCGATCCTAACTTAATCACATCCCGTTTTGCGTATACCTTATAAAGCCTTTTAAGCATGTCATCCGAAAATGAACAGACACATTTAAGCCCAAAAATCAGGAAAATGTGCGACCCCATTCTAGTAAGTAGATTGGAAATGCAACCCCATCATAGTCGATCCAGCAGTGAAAATGCCAGCCCATCTGGTGGCAGATCCCCACGCCCCTATTTCTAAGAGGTGCACCTCCCCAGCGCTCTTTAGTTCAAGCTGGCGTATCAACAAAGATGTCGAGATATGTAATGTAGTCTCACTCTGGTTTCTTTTTTCTTTTTTCTTTTTTCATTTTCTTTGGCAGAAAGAGGCATTCAAGTATTGGTTTGAGGCCGCTACTAAGGGTCACCCAGGGTCGTGTCTTACTGTGGGGGAAGGGGTCAGTAGTGGCCTGTATGTTGAACGGAACTGTCCAATGGGAGTTGTGTAAGTAGCTTAGTAGAGTGGCACATGTTTCAGTTAACGCAATTTTTTTTTGATATTCATTCCGTTTATTACTGCTTCTCCTTTTGCAGTTATCTTCGATTTGTAGCCGAACAGAATCCTGAGCTTGGACGGTTAATGAGGCGGGGCTTAGAAGCATATTACCAGGGGAACATGTACGGCGAGTTATAATAAAATTTTTTAAATCTTTTTTTCAACTTTGCCGTTTGATTAGTCTTAAAACCCTCTCCAGCTGAAAGGCAGCTTGGACGAATTGTGAGTGCGTGATCCAGAGGTCCTAGGTTCGAGTCCCGTTCCACAAGTTCTGCTAGTTGGGCTTTTACTCACGTGATGTTTGATGTGGATTCTTTGTTTGTTGGAGCAGCTAAGCACAATTTTCTTTTCCAAAGTAAAATTTTACAGCATTTTTACGCATTTATCTCCTAACCGACAAGGTGAAAACTTAAAACTTACTGCCCTCGGCACGTACTTAATTCGATCCCTCATTGGCTCCTTTCGACATTTTCCTTTGTTACGATTGGCTGTTGTGAAAACTTTGGTTGTATGATGATCTGTCAGACTTTTGGGAAATTTTGATAAAAGTGTTGATTAAACAAATGTTTGTCTCGTACCCAGACCTGCCACGGCTAAGCAGTGGCAAGGGATCTCAGTTACGCGGGGGATCTGGGTACGAGATGAAAGAAATGGTTTATTGATTAAATATTGGCCTTTTGATTTCGGTGTTCTAGGTACCAGTCGCTCGTTTACTTTATTTTAGCCGCCGAGGTTGGAATGGAAGTACCTCTCTACAATGCTGCTATGTTATGTGAAGAAAATCAGGATGAGCTGAACGGTGCGACCGCGGTGGACTGCACATGGCGTTACTATAACCGGTCAGCGGCTATGGGCTGGGTGTTTGGTGAGGAACGATTATTTTTTGATCATTTGCTAGAACTTTCTCCTCACTCCATATTTTATATTGACAAAGTAAAACTTAGAAATGATGCAATGAGCTTTGATAAAATGCAATTTTTTTTAAATTGTTTCCTTAAAGCTATGATTAAAGTGGGAGATAATCATTGGTATGGCAAAACTGTTCCTCAAAATATCACATTTGCTGCTGAAATGTATGCAGAGGCGGCGTCGAAAAACGATCTGCCACAGGTAAACTTCATCCATTCTCGCACCGAGGACTTTTAAGGTTTTAATTGTTCACTCTTGTTGTTTATCGTTCGTCCTCAGTTTACACCCGAAGACGCTCTCTTTTCTTTTTTTTTTTTTAACCAATTTTCGTCAGCGCACTGTAACCTGTGACGTCATTTTGGGTCTCTTGAAAGCGCAAAAATAACGGCGATATTGGTTTTGGTAGTTGTGGTGTATTACGTAAGGAGTCACGTTTGTCAGTCTTGTATTCTTGTAACACATGTGTCGTTTGGGATCGTTTGACTACACGGCTGAGTTGACATATATTGTCGGTAAATAAATCTTTATTGAGTTTTTTTTTTTACGTCCCACTCATATTTTGGACACGGAATGGTGCCATACGCTGCTTTAAAACACGACGTAAGCCCGATTCTTCCTATGGCTTTTGGTAAGGCAAAAAACGGAAGAAGGTACTGATCCGAACGTGGCGTAGTAGTGCGATAGTAGATAGGAAAAAAGGAGCACGATAACGAAGTATGTTAATATATAGCAATTTTCGATTAAGAATTTTCGTTGTTTGTCTTAAATTACAGGCGGTTTACAACTTAGCTTATATGGTTGAATATAACTATTCTTTGAATGGAATCCACTGGAATGATGTCAATGAAGAGGATATCCTACAGGGAAACCTTACCTTTGCTGCGGCACTTTACGAAAAGTGAGTCTCTTAACTTTAAAACGGAATCGTGTCAGAGCAAATTTAATCTCTTTTTCGTTATGGCTGTTTGTCTGTTCAGCGTATTTAAAAACTTGAGCTACCTTCTCAAACAATCGTTCTTAAAACTGCAAGTAATGACTAAATCTCACTCTTTCCTCGCGCTCAGAGACTGTGCTTTTTTTTTCCGCACTTGGCTCTTGTGTTATGTTATTCTGCTTTTGACGCTCGTGCGCCGTTTTTCCGTGCTTGGGGCTCGTGCTGTGTTTCCCCGCACTTGGCGCTCGACTGTGTTTCCCGTGCTTGGCGCCCATGCTGTGTTTTTTGCGCTTGGCGCTCGTGCTATGTTTTCCCACGCTTGGCGCTCGAGCTTTGTTTCCTGTACGTGGCGCGCTGCTGAGTTTTCCTGCGCTTGGCGCCCGTGTTGTGCTCTAACGCACCTGACGTCCACGCTTTGCACCTGTTCTTACTGCGTGCACCATAAAATGTAGTAGAACATAACGCGCAATAACTTCAATTCTCTGGTAGTAAAATTTCGCTTACATTTCAGATGCCGAGATGCTCCGGAAAACAATAATGAATCTTTCTTACCGTGTGCATTTGGGATTGTGAGAATCCAACTAAAGATGTTTTGGAAAAATCACACAGTAATAGCTCAGGTGGGTTCAGGTCACCTCATGCCGCTCGATGATGTCGCGTTTGGAGAAAAAAAGAAGATAAAAAGCTGACAATTGTTTCTCTTTCCGATTGTTTTTAGGTGACTGCCGTAACTGTTACGTTTCTTGTTGGAGTGTGTACTGTTTGGAGTTTTTTCTCCGAAGGAAACGGACTCTGATTAAACGACGAAGATAAAACAAATTTATTTATATTATAGGTTAAAGTGTTGGAAATTCAAATTTCCACCTCTGTTTTCATTTGATTGTACCCTTTTGGCTACGATTTTTAGAGAATAAATCTAAGATGTATTCTGTGTCGTTCAAATATTATATATATGCACTTTTAACTTAAAGGGCGTGGACAGGAGTTTTACATCAGAGGGCAGTGACAATTGCCTATGGAACTCCCCCTCCCTGTCCTTGTACTTTGAAGACGGTAAAAGATGGTTGAATTCTTTAGCTTGGTTCAGAAATTACTGGATGGGAGTCATTATCAAACCAATATGAAAAGAAGCTTCTCATCTTAATGTACAAAGTAAATAGGAATATTACCCCAGATAAAATAGCAAACCTCTTTAGTATTGCCAATCCACACTGTAACTTCAGACCGGAAATCGGTACCGGTATCGAAGAGGTCATGGGTTCAAATCCCGTATGGGCCTGAATTTTTTTTCTATTCACAACTACTCGTTTCAGTAGTGTTCTTAGCTGCGAGGATCTCTTAATTTCATCTCTCCACCGCAGTGCAAATATATGAATTTTCATATATCTAAAATCAGTAATCACTTTGTTCTACCCAAATACAACCTGGACATTGGCAGAAGTTCCTTAAGATACAGAGGCCCAGTAGCTTGGCAACTTACCCTTACCTCTCGCAAACGTTCCCACTCCCTTAAATATTTTTAGTATTGTAATTTTAATCCCACAAGAATCAAGATTGTAAATATCTTCAGTATTGTTATTTTGAACAAATTTTATAATAGAACACCTGGATAGCTTTAGCTGAATAGTCCGAAGTTTAGTCCGTAGGCCTTTAAGAATCAAGATTTTTAATATTTTTAGTATGTAATGTTGATCCGATTTAATAATAGTACACTTAGGTAGTTTTAGCTGAATTCCGTAGACATTAGGTCCACATCAGCCCCTGGCTGCCTTTACCTACTATACCAAGTAAAGTAATGTACACACGTACGTATGCTAGGCTTCTGCCCAGATTTTTTTTCGATTTTGATTGGACTTTTCTTCACATTCTGACACCCTGAATCAGCGCAAGTGGTGGAAAAGATGCAAAATCGACGCCAATTTTGTCAAAAAAATTTGTTTATTCTGTTTTGACCCATAATTGTGTGCGGTCGTGGCAGCACAAGTGAGACGCACAAAGAGGTTCGTTTTTTAAATGGGTCAGAAGCAAGCGGTAAACTGCGGTATCGCGACTCGCAGCGACCTATGCGTGGGAAGGCTCACGCTGGGAAAACTTCATACGCGTACTCATGTGCGTACATGCGCACATGTGCACATGGGTACATGCCACGTGCGTACGTACATGCGGCAAACAACGGTACTGCGACGCGTGACGGTATCGCAGCGACTCGTAAAGACCTCTGCGTGTGAAGGCTCACGTGGGAAAACATCATATGCGTACTCATATGCGTACATGCGCACGTGCGTATATGCGTACGTACGTACGCACGCACGCACGTACGCACGTACGCATGTGCACATGTATTGCACATATGAGTGCGCGTATGATTTTTTCCCAGCGTGAGCCTTTCCACGCATAGGTCTACGAGTCGCGATACCGTCGCGAGTCGCATGAGTCGCGGTACCACAGTTTACCGCTTGCTTCCGATCCACCGCTTGCTTCTGATCCTTTTTGTGCGCATGAGTGTGCGTCTCACTTGTGCTGTCACGCATGTACGCACATATGAGTATGCGTATTGGGCTTTCCCAGCGTGAACCTTCCCATGCATAGGTCTCTTTTTAGTCTTCTTTGGCTCCCTTGTTAACTCCTCGTGTCACTGCTTTACTGCAAAGTAAGTAACCGGCGTCAAATAAGTCAAGAATAAGTAAACTAAGTAAAGCATAAGTAACAACAGATCTCTAAAAACAACGCATGTACGTACGTGCATACGTACGCACGTACGTACGCACCCATAATTCGTCGTACAATTGAGCGAATGTTACCGAAGAAATTATCGATGATCTTCGGTTCGCATTTCAAAGTCGGAAATTTCATTTAAATTACAAATGATCTTGGATATCAATATTCACATGCTCCATCAGTTTTGCACGTGGAAAGAGCTTACGAACTGCAGGAAATTTAAGAATCTTATTCAGCAACTCTGGGATCAGGAAACGCGTCATTTCAACCCCATTATTTCAGGTATCATCCATTCTTCGAAAATTGACGCGTGTTTCTTCGAGGTTGCTTGAAGGAGTGGTTCAAATTCGTCGTCGAGGATTGATGTGATCGATGAATGCCGTCATTTTGTTTCTTTGTCTCTAATTTTCTCAAGGTAAATAACTTAACAATTAATTTTTTTTTGCGGAGAAACAGCGTTTCTAGTTTTTGCCCTTGAGAACCAAATAAACCAACGGAGCAACTTCAGAATACCTCGCAACTCATTTACATGTCATTGAATAAGAATAGCGTCTATTGTGTTATGCCTCGATCTTCAAAGCCTCCCGACAGGCGGACCAAAGTTGCGGGGTATTCTGAAGTTTAGCCAAACCAACGTTAAAAGTGGAAGCAATTTTACGTTAGATAACACACAGTAAGACAAATGTTTAATAGCAGCCGCCATAACAGTTCATTTTGAGCCACGTGACTTTAGGGATAGCAGCGAAAATTCGTACTTTACTCTTGATACATTGGTCGCTTATTTATTTATTTATCTCTTCGTTTCTGATCTAAACTTGTCACCATATGCAGATATTTATGTCAGGTTTATAATCTTGCTGGTTCAGCAACCCTCAAATCTCGCCCAACAAATAGAAGGTGATCTTCAGACGTTCTTTGAGTTTAAAAACTTTTCCTGCATACCACAGATTTTTTTTTATAAAATGTAGAAGCTTACTATTGAATTTTTCGATCCGGATTGATAATCATAATGCACAAATAACTATACTAGAAATTTCATCACATTATATTTATCTTTTTCCGTCCTTTACAGTAGCGTCAAGTATATGGTAAGCTCATCTCAACATCAAGAAACCCAAGGGAAGAGAAAACTGAAAAAAAACTCCTAACTAGGTTAGTTTCCTAATTTTTCATAAAAAATCAACTCTACACTTGTAATTATGATTTGCATTTAAAACTGAAACCTGGATTTTGTTGGTGAAAACAAACTGAGACGTAGAAAGTGAAGGAAAACTGGGTAAAATTTCCGCACAGCTCCACACTATTGTAAAACAAATCTGTTCTCCCACGGGCAAGGTAATGTTTTTGTCATTGTTTTCTCTATCTAAGAACTGAATGCACAATCTGGTATGGGACTGTGCGGAAATTTTACCGAAAACTGCAGCAAAGAATTAAATCTATTCGTTTGTTAAATTTCTTTGATTTCTTTCTAATTGAGGTAGTTATCAGTAGTTTACAGTACTGTTACTTTGATGAATCAAACTCTCTATGTTTAAAACATTGCTGTTAAGTAAATATCTAGTCATAACCGCTTAGGCTGCGATCATGACATAACAACAGTTTAACTTGTCTTACACTCCTATGAATATACATGTCAGTGCTTTATAGTTAGAATGAATTCGGCAGTGCCATTTTTAGAGATGTTCTATTACACGCTGGCGTTACAAAATCGGATGCAAATTGTCATGGCATTATTCTAGTATTCCCAATTGCGACACCTCCAAAACATCTGCTGTAACCGTAAGACATGGTCTGAAGGTAGAAACTTTTTTGCATGATGTTGTATTTTATTTTGTTGATCTTTATTCAAAATGGAGGTGAAGGAAAAGGAAAAAATTAGGTCATTTGATTGTCAGATAATATTCAAAGATATAGAAAGGCGTTTATTCTATAGCAAGTTTCTATCGTCAGCCGACAAAGGACGGTCGGTTTTACCGAACTAAGTAAAAAAAAAAAAAATTAGAAAAATCTGGACCCTAATTGTTTCTCAATTCAATTTTAAACTCTAGTACTTTTAAGGGCTTGGTAATTCACATTTTTCTTGCGTCAAAAATTCTTATCCTTTTTTTCCATCATTTTCTGTTAGGTCTCATGATCTAAAGATCATTTTGAAAATAGAAACTTTTTTGATAAATTGTAAACACGCTGCCTGCTTGTTATATGAAATTCTTCTTAAGATCATTTAATGAGTTTAATACTCCCTGACCAATTTTATTTTTTACAAAATTTCAACTTTTTATCTAATTCGACAAAAAAACTTAGCTTAATTAAAAAGTGACTCAGCTCTGGAGACTGAAAAAATTGAAATAACACGGGCACAAATTAGTGTGGCAATTCATTTTCATTCGTGGGTAGTTTTATTGTGCGCTTTTCCATTTATTTTCCGTGTTACTGATTTGGAACTTTTTTGTGGTATAAACAGTATTTTGCTAATGATAAAAAGTAATGAAAAAGGCTCTTATAACAACTGAAGGTGTTTGTACTTTGTAATAAAATATGTGCTTATTGTTCATCGTGGTGTAAGATAGGAGATGAACTTTGTTCGTTTGTCTCGCGATAGAGTCACTTTTGATATAGATCGTGACGTTTCGACTACTATCAGGCGATGAGGTCGATTGTTTAGGTGTCGCTATTTGTAGCACGTTGGAATGCTGTTATTGGTTCATTTCGATCCTCATTATTATTCCGGTTGTTAGATGGTGTTCCCTCATACGTCCTCGTGTTTGTACTTGTTCCAAGTAATTTTTCGTAGTGTGACGGAGAGAGAGTGCATGTATATTTTACATTAGACCAATTAAACTTATGTAAAGTCTTGGGTGTTGTGACATTCAGGAAAGTTGTAAAGAATAGTATTATATTTCGTTTGAACGCTTTGTTAATGATTAGAGATGGGCACATCACTCCCGTCGAAGTGAGAGTCGACGCGGAGCAACGAAGTATCTTCGAAGGGAACGAAAGTAATGTTCAGAAACTGAAACTCTGCTTGCTTTTCTTGCTTGTATTTATTTATTTATTTATTTCTATCCAACTTATAATAAACATGCTATCAAGGAAATCCTAACTGTAATTAAGTTGAGAGAAGGATTATCATTCAATCCATTTGTCGTATTTGTCTGTTCGTCTTTTCAGGTATTTTGATATAAATTTTGTGCTATTCGTCTCTCCAGCTAAAACCATTTGCTTAAGTGCCCGCGCTTCATACAACCCTTCCCAGAAGTTCACACTCTTATTAACCCTCTCTGTAGTTGCTATGGAAATCGTTGGCTCGGGACACTCGAGGTGTTCCTTATTAGCAAACCGAGGGGGAGGCGGTGGATTTCGGTTTGGATCTTTTTGATGAGCGCGCAGTGCCTCTTGCCGTTCAATAACACGGTCGCACACGTGACATTCAAACCCAGCGTACATACGATGACCGAAGTTTACTTTGTCCCATTCCCCCAACACACGCCACGGTCTTTCTCTCAAGGACTTGTGTAGAAACTCGTTTGTGATTCGCTTTGGATCCTTGTACTCTAAGAACTTCGCGTACTCAGCATCGTTCGAATTAAGATGTTTTAAGAACTCTGCAAGTTCTTTTGGATCACTAAAGTCGCTCACAAAAATCCCCGATCGCTCGTTTGGCATCCAATCTTTTGCCACAGGCGATCCCATGACTATGGGCACCGCGCCAACTTGAAACGGTCGGAACAGCTTCTCTGTCATATAATCGTTGCAAATTGCATTCTCGAACGCGACGTTGAATTTATACTGAGCAAGAAACTCGTAATAAGCTGGATCCTGAAGCTTCAAGAAGCCGTCAATCTCCGCGGGCATTTTACGGTTATTCAGGCAACGGCCGTAGGAGTCAATATCAATATACTTCATCAGTTCTTTAATGTATCTCTCGCGGTCTGACGGTGTGTGGCAGTCACTTTGCACGTAGACAATAGGCGCAAGACCCTTCTCTTTTTGTAACCTAGGAAAGAGAGAGAGAGATAAGGTTTTCTGAAATACGTATCAAAAAACGATGGTTTAATGTTAATGAATCTAGTCACCGAAGGCATAACAACCACAACTTATTACGGTTATGTAGCGTAAACTGACTATCAATGTCGTTACCCCTACTAACTAAGGACAGCAACCTGAATTTTTACTTCTCGGCAATCTCAAGTGAAAAATAAATATGAGAAAAGAGATTGGGGTAGAAGTATAAGAAAATTACTGACCTGTTTTTCTCTTGGATGGGTACCGCGGGCGTATCCGTCCAGTCATTCAGATCTTTGATGTAGTGAGTGGAAAGTGGATAATCAGACTCACGGCGAAATGTTGCAGTGTGATTAAAAAGACTAAAAATATCAAACAGAAGTCACAATGAGCAGGCGCGTGCAGTTCTAAAATAAATCTCAGACACTAGAGTTAGCCACTCACTACACGCTGGAAAGAGCTATAGACTTCAAACAATTTTTCCTCGACTTTGTTTGTATTTTCGAAAGTTCTCCGGGTCTTAAACAGTGGTGGACAAATCTCTGTAAATTTTCAAGATTTCAGCCCTCTACAAGAACACTGATAACAATTCCATTCCCACCATACTTACACTAGGGCGTCCTCGTATGTCAACATCCAGTTATTTTTTGGTGACTCCTCGTGGAAAATCGCCCACTCGTCCCAAGGCCTGCGCGGGAGTGGCAAGTCGTCCGCGCGGAGGTCTGTGCCGTAAAAGATAAACCCGCGCGTGGCGGGGTCGTTTTGGAGGCCGCGGTCAATCGAGGTGATGCATGAGCCTTTCTCGCAGACAATATGGTGATTCTTTTGTCGGCGGTCATGCGGAAAGAGATCATTTGTCCACCATATCAAAATGGGCTCCTTGCCTTCGGGTATTAAAGGAGACGAGTCTCTGAGGTAACGCGACGTCTGCTCGTATTCAGCTGATGCTTCATGAAGATGGGCTGAAGACAATAATAGACAAAAAATGTTGAAAACATCTTCTCCGCAACTTCTCGCGGGCGACGCTCGTGAAAGGAGTTTTAACATCTATCGTGGCCAGTTTTGCAATTGAAGTAGGGCTTGTGGTGCGTTTACCATGGTCGGCAATTTGGTGTCAACATAAAAAAAAACTGCATTCATCGCTCTAAAGTACTTGCTACAATGATGTAAGCGACAAAAGTACACGAGGCAGTTGATTCTAACGAGATTATCATTTTAAAAATCTTTCATTCTTGTTTTTCTGATTTGATTGAAATTCCTAAGCTATACACTTTCTCCTATCAACGTTATATACGAAGAATTATTTGGCGAGGGCGGAGCGGAACCAAATGAATGAAGGGTGCAATTTGTTCGAAATTCATAAAAATTGATATCGGTCTCCGCCCCTTTGATGTACGTCATTTGGGTCAGACGTGCTAACAAGTAACGAAAATCGCCTATTTTTGGTCTAAAAGGGATCACAGCGCGACATAGCTTTTCCATTGCGAGCTTATGTTAACTCACCATCTTCGTCCGGGGTACACTTTCCTTCAGCGGAACAATGTGATTGGCCGTTGTCATCACTTGTCGCCGTCGTTCCAAAATTTGCCAATAGGAGCACTGCTGGTAAGACATGATAAATGCATCAAACTTTGATTACAGGTAGGAAAACACAGGAAAACATGCAACTAGCGCATAACACAGGAAAACCTCTGCAAACTGAACTACTGTAAAATTGGCCCTGTCAGTTTAATGTCCTAAGATATGCAGGATTCAACTTACCATTAACGAAAGCAAAGATTAAGATTTTTCTCATGGTCTTCATTTTCAATTGATCAAATCTAGATAGAAAGGAGAACATGTCATAAATAAGCGTTACGGGCGCCTTTCTACTGTGTTTCGGTAAACCAAACCAATAACAACAGTCAATCGCAAGAAAATAAAATATCACTGACATGATGCCAATGAGAGCTCAAAGTAACAACGACCATACTGATTGAAACGTGGGAAAACATGAGAGATCAGGTCGCGATAGTTTTAAGTTTTGTGTATGATTGGTTAGGGAAGGAGCAAGTTTTCTCGACCAATCACAGCGAAGTAAGGCAAAGCTAATGCAATCCCGGATTACGATAGTCAATCTGTCTTTTACGATCTGCTTTTTTTTCAGTCCATTTCAGATGGGGTAATCAGAGTTTTACACTTTTTTCTTTTCTTTTTTTTTTTCTGTAAGAAATATGATGGGAAACGCAGAAGTATTTCAGGTTGCTACCTCACAGTGGATTTATCAGTTACTCGTTCGCCATGACGCCATGAAAATTATCAGATTAAAAGGCGTTACCAAATATTCTGCGCAGATTGCATGCTAACATTTCTCAGATATTATCAAAGCCATAAAACAAAATGACGATGTTAAAGATGAGATTCCATTTTTGGTCAGAGAGAGAAAAGTTTTTGCTTAAATATTTCAATAAACTTTATTTTAATGCTCTCGGAAAAGATCTGGATTACCGGATTAATAGGAAAAGCTCTTAGCAGATAATTAAAACAATGTGTTCCTTTGATGAAATATCAGACAATTATGGTCGGAATGCCACAAAGATATCCATTTTCTTCCATGTGTGGTTAGTGATCGATGACCTTCGATTTGAACGGACGAAATTAAGATTATTTTTTTCGATTTGACCAAAGGGTTTTGTACTGAAAGGAACACAAGTCAATAATATGCGACTAATTGGCAACTTTGAACCAATTTCGGATCTATTTGAAGTTAAAAAGACGATTTTGTGGATTGAGCGAGAAAGTAATTAACCTCTTGGTCTTTAAATTGACTAAAACGAAGTGTAAATTGATTCCACTTCAAAGCAAAACTCATACGTTTGAAGACACTGCAGAAGAAACTTGGCGCTGTTTACGTCAGTTGCTGAAAGATTTCGGTCTTTAATTCTCGTCCCCTACAAACTGAAGGCTCACAAACGCAAAGGTGCCCAGACGGTGTTGTCTCGTCTGTTTACATTCAAATGCCTTTTTGACAAAAAATGTCTCGAAGACAGACCAAGAGGCTCTTAAAAAAAGCCTGCATATTTGCAGTTGTTGGGGTGGTAATATTATCATCTTTTCTCATTTTGCCCGGCAGCTTTGGCCCACAGATGGTAAGCACAAAAATACAAGGACTACAAGAAAAAACACAACTCAAGATGGAAACCACACAATCTTCTTTCATAAAAGAATCTTATTCAGCAGAGGAAAAGGACTTTATGGGAGTTTCAGCGGCTGATAACTTTTTTCCTCTTCAAAAATCGCGTCCCGAGCGGTGCTCAAGAATTCGTGAGGAAAAGCTACAGTTTTACGAGATTGTTCAAGGATCTGTAATTTACTCGGCTTTTCTTGACTACAGATTTAAAGATCAGACATTCATTCGAATGATTTCAATTTTTCCGTCGTACAGTGAGTCTCCTCAAATGTACTGCCACTTTCTGGACTTGAGAACAGAAGAGTATTTTACCAGTGTAGTCGAAATTGAGGAACTCGGCACGAACGATGGATTTACTTTTCAAGGGTATCTGTCATCATGTGATCTGCCGGACGAAATAGATAGCTACACATTGTGTTCGGTGAATGTTTCCATGGAACCCGAGTCCTTCCGTCAAACAGACGAGAACACCAAACAAATTCCCTTACATGTCTCCGAAGATCAACCAGTAGATACGGAAACTTACGGACTTTGTATTCCGCCAATAAGCGGTGAAATATCCGCTGGAAGACTTGTTGAATTTCTTGAACTCTCAGAGATATTAGGAGTGTCACATTTCGTGTTTTATGATGCGAACCTTTCTGATAAAACCCTCCGAGTTCTCCAATATTACCAAGAAATAGGGGCTGTAACTCTGAACCCGTGGGCCCTGCCACAGAACATTGCTTCGAATATTCAAGATGATGGACAAACCGTTGCTCTGAATGACTGTCTGTATAGAAACATTGACCGGTTTAAATATGTGGCCTTTAACAAACTGGAGGAATTTATCGTTCCGCTTCAAAGTAAAAGGACTCTTGAAATCTTTGAAACTGAAAGTGACGAAGACACCGCTGGACTCTGCTTTCAAGGATTCACTTTCGATACATCAAAATTTGAGGAGAAAAGACCGCACATTCTTCTCTACACGCAGCGTTATGCCGCTAGGACTAAAGTCCCGACGGAGGAATCAGCAAGATGTATTGTATCCCCTAAAAATGTTTTTTCTTTAGAATTAAATGCAATTTCTAACCCGTCAGAAACGTTTTACATTACCCGCAACGTGGAAACAAGGGTTGGTCACGTGTTCCGTTACGGAGAATGTAATTATGACGAGTGTAATAGTTCTTTCCAGGACCTCACCATGGCAAAATACCGTGAAGAGTTGGAAAAGAGATTTAATCTAACAATGATTTATTTACAGCAATATCGTGTAGTATGAGAAATTCAAGAAGGAAAACGTTGAAGGTCCTATTAGCAAAGAATAGTGATACAGTCAAAGGCGCTGCTTTTCCAGTTGAGTTAACCTTTACACCCTAACATCAGTATCTATATTCTCCATACTCTTCTCTGTACATTTCCTTACATCTGGACAAGGAGAATTTGTTTTAGAATCAAGGCATCTTAGGTTGGCGATCATTTCCTTTATTCTCGTGATATTAATGAATGATTCAGCAGTATTACTGTAAGGAGAATTTGGATGCTGGTCACTCTTAGGGTTTAAAGGGTTAAGGACCTGTCATCATTTATTGCCTGGGGGGAGGGGTGGAGAATTTTCTTTTTTTGGGGATCACAAGTTTTTTAGAGGAAATGGAGGGGGTATCAGTGACATAGCCAACAGAGCATGAAGGGGGAGGGGGAAGTTATGGAACATTGGCTGCCAATGAGGGGGATCATAAGAATACTACAGAGCCTTAAGGGGGGATAGGTAAATTTTATAGTGAAACAACCAAAATCCTCCAGCCCCTCCCTGGGGACAAATTATGACTGTTTCCTTACAAAGCTTTCATCAAGTACATGGCCATGGTATTTTTGATGCTAAAAGAAGAAGGCCCTCTAAGGGTGAATCAGTGACAAAAACTAAAGAGCAGCAGCAGAAATGACATTGAAATTGTATCACTGAATTTGAAAGCCAAAGCAAAGAATTTTGTTGATATTTTCAATCCTGTAAGTGATTGACATGTAACCTTTCCCTGACTCATTATAAAACAAGTGCTTAAAATAGATTATGTATGAGTTAGGGGGTTTAATCTTGATGCAATAAAATCTCTCAACAGGTGGCAGGTGAAGTGTTTTTAGGGGACTACAGTTGGGCTGTATTGTCTTAGGACAATTTCTAGAGGAAAAGTGGGCGTTTTTTTAATGTTAACCTTCAATGGTGTGGAAGACATGGTGGCTTAGCAGTCAGCACAATGAATTTTGGAAAGAGGGATCTGGGTTTAAGCCCTTGACTAGGTCATTGTGTTGTACACCCCCTCTCCCTCCCCCCCCTCCTCATGAGATGACAGACAGACAGATCTCTAATATAACTGAATGTCTTGACAGAGTATTGCTAATTGGGTGCATGTTCCACTTTATTAAAAATTGGTCTTTCTATTGTATCATTTTGCCATGTATTTCAAGCACTTAACATTATGTTATTGCTTAGTCTGAAGCAGTTTGTTTACGTCATCCCTCAGTTAGATCATTTCTTAGAAGTGCACCCTCCTTTCAACAAAAATCCTGGATTGCCCTTGATTTGTATTCTTGAACAAGATAATTAAATCCCAACCCAGGAGTAAAAGAGATAAAAGCCAGCTTCTGGGGAAATTGGAAGAGGTAACCCTGTGATAGCTGTAGACTGGTATCTCAGCCGAGGTGGACTAGTAATAGTCTGATATCCCATTCACACCAAAGCTTAAACATTTCTTAAAGCTGTTTTGTTTAACACAGTTGAAAGTTGTTTTCTTTATAAAAGCTGCCTAAACAAATGTCTGTCAACTTTAAATCTAGCACATTGGAAAGACAATGGAAAACTCAGTTTTTCAGTTCTTCAGTTTGTAATTTTTATTTCAGTGGTTAAACTTGGTTTACAAGATATGTTTTAGTGGTGTGAATGGGGTATACGATGCTTTGTTCCATGAAAAATGCAGTTCAGCAAAAGCAAGGATTTCAAGTTTACGTCTTTTCCACAGTGTGGTAAAATGTAAATCCCATCTTGTTGTATTGTTTTATACTGGCCATGGTGAACAATTTTTCTCTTAAACTTCTTATTATTGTGTACATGTAAAGTTCGTTTTCAAGTGTCTATGTCTGGCTTTACAGCTAATGTGGGACAAACTTAAAGCAAAAAATAAATAAACAATTGATCTATTGTTGAAAATATTACTTCACAAATTAAAATTCCAACCTAAGGAAGATAGAAGATGATCACTAGGATTTTCTACCCAAGACATCAGACCCATAAGGTTCTTACTTCTCTGGGAAAAACGATTCTTTTTTTTTTTTTTTTTTTTTTCACAATCCCCTCAGACTGCCCAGTCTTTAAACCTGTTGGTTAGCTGATGCTAAATAATTATGTAGATCCTAAGATTAGATTCTATAATTTATCAAAGGCAGCTGTCCTCATCATTTCTAACTCCCTCGTGGAAACAAATGAAAAATTGTTTAACCCCACGGTAGCATCTATTGGTCAACAGAGGGATGTTGAAGGTTGCCGGTTCTGAAACCTTTCAATCAATATCTTCACAGTAACGTTTGACTTTTGAATAAAAGATGCAAATAAAAATTCGTTTAATTCTGTGCCATATTTCCTTAAAAGAAGCCTGTGAAGCATTTTCTATCATGGATAATAGATGACCACTTGAAAAAACATTGATTCAAAGGTTAAAAATGTAGAAATAGCATAGAAAACCTGATAGTTGACATATTGAAATTTGATTTGTGTAGTTATATCGAAACGAATTCTCTCCAATTTCAGCCAAATAAATTGAATAGGAAGGAAAAGATAATTAAATTACTAGTATCACCGATCACAAGCCTTCTTTTGGTGCACAATTCTCCTCATAATCGAAGTAACCTCGAGTTCGTTAGCTACGTACATCAATGGAAATTAGCTAAGTTGAGAGGTGAGTACGACGCCTAACATCGAACAGTCACACGATTGAAAATTGTTAAAAACAAGTAAAATGAGCTCACCTCTGGGAACAGTTACTCGAATAAGCCGTATGGTCTCACACAAAGCATAACATTGCCAAGAAACAAATTCCACAGGCAGGAATGCATAGATCTTCGTAGAAAATCCAAAATTTCCCAGGCGTTCCTACCCTAAGTTCCAGTCCTCCTAACGAGATCACTCGTGAGGCACGGGTACGAGTGAAGAGCTTTGACAAATGATTGGCTGTTTAGCAGAGGGGCATTTTGTTGCGCATGCGCCAAGAAAATTTGTTCGGCGCGTTCGGCGCCATTTTGATATTTTCAGCGCGCTTTTGCGGGTTTTCAACTGAGCGATCGACACCTTTCTGTGATATTTTTTGGAGAGGGATGGAAGAGTATGACAAGTTTACTACCATTTCTAACTCTTTGGATACTTGTGGAGTTTGCTGGCTCTTCGGATGAGGATATTTTAATGATCAAAGTGCGAACAAAACGCGAAAAAAAGTCGAAAACTTGAAGTTTGAGATTTGATTTGCTGACGATCAAGATGTGCACATGAGACTACAAACCTTGAAGGTTAGTCTTAAGATGTTGATGTCTTACTTCTATAAATCACGAAGTGATGTGTGGAGGCGATCGTGAGATATTCGTTACGATAATAGAAGGTAGTTTACAATTGGATCTTATTTTACTTCAACTTTGAAATAAAATTACGTTAAGTTCGAGGTGGCCCCAAGCTTCAAATCACTTCAAATAACATCTTATCTTCTTTCTCTTTGTTTTCCCATTGGACACAAGGCTTAAAAAAAAATCTTCCAGCTTCAGGATTGAGTTGCTCTTTCTATAACCTTCGGCGAATTCGTTTTTGGGAGGTTGAGGTGGATTTTCAAAGTCATGGCTCACAACTGTCTTTGGCCATTTTGCTCTCCAAGTCTGTTGTACTTGGTACGTAGGCATGCGTCTTAACAACGTTTATAGTCTTGCCTCGATCATCTGCGGTTTTATCTAATTTTTTGCTGTGTTTTTGTGAGAATTTTTCTGATTGCCCTTTTGGGCTTGAAGGGCTAACTAGAGGATAAACTTCGGTAGAACTTGTTTTATCACATGGCCCCAAATCTCTCACCACTGTCAGTTCATTGTTTATTTATTTAGCCTTCGGTCTAACCAGTTCATTTACCTCCAAAAATCCGTGGGCTTTGTCTCATGAGTTTAAACTGGTGCCGTTTTCTTCATGTTCATGTGTTATTCGAAACGGATGGCGTCAGCTTCATTCTGTCTTGTTTATTTCAATAGAATACTTCTGCCATACGAAATGAATTTTGAGTCGAAGTGTACTCTAAAACTCGCAGATTAAAATTATCTAACTTTCTCTGGTTCTTAAAACATGAGGTGAGCGATACAATAAATGAATAATTACTCAAGGGGCTGGAACTCTCTTTCTTTAGAATGTGAACTACAGTATTTCTGTCATATTTGAAAACGAATTTCGGGTTAAAATGTCTTCAAACCAGTTTGACTTGTATTTCTCTTTGCCAGATAAGTCTTGATCCTTCAATTTTTATTTCTTAATTGAGACTGATGATTGGAATTAACTATTGTGTTCTCTGCTGTTTAGGGAGATGTGAAGTGACCCCACTACATATGGTCAGTACTATTGACAGAAAGGATAGGTGTGACATTTGCTGTGGCAAGCTGGCATTCAAGAGAATGTCATTAGTACCAGAAGCTTACTACTGGTATAAATTATCAATCTTTTGTTCTCTCCACACAACTTGCCTCAACTAGCTTATGCTATATGCAACTTGTGTCTATACCTTTTTTTGCAACTATAAAATTACCAATAAAGTTTTTTGAAAGTTTTGTCCAAATTTCATGGGAAAACAATATGAGGAGTGATCAGGTGAAATATTGTCCTGTTCCTTAACTGTGTTTGAGCTTCCAGGCAGAGCTAAAAATTTCTTAAGCGACTGATTTATGATTTTCTGCCTTAAAATTAGCACAGCCAAACCCCTGGCTTGAAAACTATTAATTTCTGCAAATAGGCATCCAAGCTGATGCCCATTACTGCAGAATATGCAATATCAAAGTCCCCTTTTGACTTAGGTCTCGTTCCTCTAAAATCTGATAGATGTAGAGCATCAATTTTCATAAAGAGATCAACAAACCTCTTCACATTAGTTTAATCTGACCTCACTAAGTCTTATTCCTGAAAAGAAAAGGCTTTTTTTTTTTTACCCTCACTGTTAAATATCAGCCTTACTGGTTCTTTGTTGTTTAGCATGTGTAAGAGTCTTTTCAGACCATCAAATTGTCACACAACTCTTGTAATTTAATAGGTTGGAGAATAAGGTTGCAAAGAGTGTATATGATTTTTTTGTGCAGTTGAAATGATAAATGATAGTGATTTTCACTGGGTAATAATTGATTTAACTATTCATCTTACAACTGGAAGCCCAAAGTAGTACTTCTTTTCTTTCACAATTTCCCCACATCATCGATCATATCTGATGATATTTCCGAGACTAATGATTGAAAAGACTTTATCTTACTCTGATAAAATCCATAATTATTCCTCCATTTCTAACCAGATGGAGCTACCATATCTCTAGCATTAGCATTGTCTTACTTTTCTTTACTCAACATTGACCTTTTTTATTTTGGTAATCGGCCCTGCCGGTTGTGATTCATGTCAAAAAAAAACTTTTGAAACAAAACATAAACCTCTGTAAACTTTACATTTTTGCCAAAATTAGAGGTACACTGCACTAGCAGTATAGTTGAAGCTCTAAAAAACGCTTACAGAAAGGCGAGTACTTCAAATGATCACCTATAACTTGAGATAGCAATGACACGATAAAAGTATACTATCCAATTCTTTTGTACTCTTCGACAGGCCACTTGCATCCTTCAAAAATAACATCATCTTCATCGATCGCCCAGACAATCACGAGACAAGACTCGAACAATCTTTTGCATTCTGAAAATAACTTCCTTCCACACATCACACAATAATTTCAAGGATTTGCCGCTTCCATCTACGTTACAGAAGAAAAAATGAGAAGAAAGGTTGTCTCAAATACTCGAACCATTGTTTTTTCCGACGTATTTTACTGCTTCTTTTCTTTCGTGATTCTCGAAAGGGAAACCGACGCAGGCGCATACCAGCGGTTTCTCGTATCAAACTAAAATTTACCGGACATGCGCAACAAAATGCCCCTCTGCTTGGCTGTTTATATTTCAATATTTTTCTGTCTTCATTTATAACCTTTCGACCATAACGAAATTATTCAAGAGGTTCACATGTAGCCATAATTTTACTGGCTTGTATTGACAGCATAGCGATTGATTTTAATTTGCCTGGCTTTTGAAAGCTGAAGGTCAGCTAGAATTTTTGAGCTAGGAACAAGACCACTTAGAAAAAGTTTGTTAATTTCACCATCCTGTCACAGAAATTGTGGCACATCAACCTTACGGGTGTAAATTATTAAAAGGCAGATTTAAAAATGTCAGTAAATAAAATATTTTGTAACACCAAATGCAATGGAATTTTTTGTTAATGCGAGGGTTTATTCAAACTCGAGAAATTTGCATGAGGCAGGACTCTGTATTCTTTTCATCATGTTTAGCAGCAGTGTGAAGTGAATGTGAAATGGACCCTAGCTTGCAAGGAAATTGTGGATGCCCATACAACTGGAAAGTACAAATTGGAAAGGCATTGTTCTTCTCAGCTGGGTTCCCTGACATAGCCACCACCATTCTGTAAGCAAGTATCCCTAGATGTGAATTAATGAACTCCCAAAACAGCTGAAAGTGAGCCTGTCAGCTAACATGCAAAAGCCATTTATTGTATTTTTAACATCTACAGAAAAGGTCATCAGCATACACAAGCGACCAGTATTTATTCACAGCAGGAAGTATCCCCATTCAGTCTTTGGTACACAGTCAGATAACATTACTTATAAAACTCATGTTCTGTTTCATCTTTCTTCACGTTGTTTTTGTAGCCCTTCTCAAAATCTTTAGCTAGGATAACATAGCGATTTTCTCGTACTGCCTGCATGCCAGCCTATGGAAAAAAAGAAACACATTTTTTCTAGAAAACACTGTTTATCTTTTAACTCCCTTACACCTCCCAGATCTCATTCATAAATATTTCTCCCCTTCTAGCAGTTATTCACTCACTTCCTCATTAATTCAACAATCACTGTAATTTAAAACAAAGTGACAGATAACACCTCTGGCTGGTATGTTCAGCTATGCTTATGAATTGAGGGTCTTGTCTTGTGCAAGTGTCAGCCAATTTCAATCATCAAGTTCAAAACCATGTGCAGCAGCAAACAATTTTAGCTGGGTTCACACATTGCAAATCAAACTTCTGAGTGTCTTGTCCAACCCAAATCGCTCAATGCAGCTTGACTCAATCATTAACTGATACAGGTGTATAATAAAACAAGAAACAGATGCTTACATAAAATCATACACATTTTTTAAAACTGAGACAGGATAATCACCATGGTGTATTTTGTCCCAGGATAAAATTGGAATTGAATGATCATGAGAGCAATTTAATGTTTTAACAACAGAAGTACTTAAACCACACCTGCATGAGGAGTACTAGTACTCTGCATGTTAAAAAAGAAACATACCTCTTGACAAATGGCATTGATATCAGCTCCACTAATTCTGTCTGGTCTTGCAACATCTGTTATAATAAGCAAGTCAAGGTGTGTGTGTTTTCTATTTCAACAGTTTCCTTAAAAAAATATCAATTTTGCTTTTTTCTAAAAGGTTAATTAATTTTATAATACACAGACAATATGGAATCACAAAAGGATACAATCCTCTAAATCTACTTCTTCTGACAGGTTCATCTTAGCTGTTATTGTGGAGAAGATGAGACGTTTTTGTCTTCTGTCTGGCAGGGGGAATTCAATCTTACGATCCAGTCGACCAGGACGTAACAATGCAGGGTCAAGAGTGTCATGACGATTTGTGGCCATGATAACCTATTCCAAAAAAAAACCCAGACATTTCCAGATTACTCATTAATACAATTTGATTAAAAGAGGCAAAATATCAGTATTGTTTAAACAAAGGAAATGTGGTATAAACTTGAACAGAAATTATAGTTAGAAGAAACTTTATAAAATATATGAAAACAAGCATATCAGCATTGTTACACTATTAAAGCACAGAACAAATTTTCTGAAAGTCATCACATACTAGTCAGTTGTAACATTCTACTGTAACAAACAGACTGGATAACACAAGTTGTCACACACTAGTGGGTTAATAGACAATTCAATCAAGGCCTTGAGCAACTGTATTGTTTTTCTCTATTCTGAGCTTTCTTTCCCTGATAATGCCACAGCTTGGTGAAAGCTCTATGTAATAGAAAATGAAATACAGTGACTCAAGGCCTCAATCCAATCATCCACTTACTCAATTGATCAGCATGCTACTAAAGGAAAACTTCAAATGTTTACCAACATTAGTGGGTGTTCATTTAGCATCAGAGATTGTAGAATTGTCTCTGGCTAAATTTCAATGGCCTTGGCTGTTCTTCATTCAAACAAGACAAATGTAATGTTTTTTCTTTACATTAATCTCCTGCTATAACATTTCTTCAAGAAAATGTTATAAAAAAGTCCAAAAAAAACATGGTAGGTTACTTTTAAAGTTAGTCACTGACAACATCTAACCAGTTTGTTACATACATGTACTGATATTATGGTACACAGAGTATGTGGCCTCCTTTCATACCTTAACATTTACATTCTGGTCAAAGCCATCCATCTGATTCAGCAGCTCAAGCAATATTCTTTGTACTTCTCTATCAGCTGGAAAAAGATATGACAAAATTCAATTGAACGTCTGATACACATGTCCCCATTCAATCTGCCAGTTATAAAGTATACACAAGACTTCAGAAAATCTATTTAAAAATGTTGTGATCACAATCAATAATTATACAAAAATTCTCTTCTTTAGATAGATTGTACAAAATTTGACAGGGTACATTGAGAGATGCTAAAAAAGAGAGCTAGCTCACATTTGAGTGGTACTTCACTACAATTGACAAAAGAAATACAAGTTTGATTACAAGACTTTTCATGAATGCATGCATGTACAGCACACGCACCCAAAGTGGTGATTATGGTCATGAGAAAAAAAGGAAAGATTCCTAACTAAGAAAGCTCTTAATTGTTTCACAAACTCTCCTTGTCAGTACTACATGAAATATACAAGAAACAGTATGGAAAATAAGCATATTGATGGTTGATTATGACAGGGTTTAAAGTCTTAGAGATCAAGTGTCCCATAACTGCACTCACTAATTCTTAGTTTCTGCAGCATGAAGTGATTAGGAGAATGACTACTCTTCCTGAATGAAAAGTTCATCCATAACAGGTATCTTCAGAGCATTTTGGCAAGGTTTCCTTCACAGTTTACCAATACCCAATAATACTTTTGGTGTGGAAGGGAACACTGTGAGAGCTTAAGTGCCCTGTTCAGGTACAAAACACAATGATCTAGCCAGGGATTAACCCAGCACCTATTAATCACTTGGCCACTGTTTCTCCCACATCCTTTCACAATACATAGAAAGCAAAAAGAAACACTCTCTTTCTTACCTCCTGTTTGCGCGTCAAATCGCTTGGTGGCAATTGCATCAATCTCATCTATAAAAATTATTGCTGGTGCATTTTCTTTAGCCAGGCGGAACACATCACGAACCATCCTGGGTCCTTCACCAAGATATTTTTGGACAAATTCTGACCCCACAACACGAATGAAGGCTGCTGTTGTATGATGAGCAACTGCCTTTGCTAACATGGTCTTGCCGCATCCTGGAGGACCATACATAAGAACCCCTCGTGGTGGATCAATGCCGATTTGTTTGTAGAGCTCAAAATGTGTAAGAGGGAGCTCAACAGCTTCTCGCATTTCTTGCTTTTGTATATCCATTCCACCAATGTCTGCGTAAGCTACATTTGGCTTCTCATCAGCAGTTAACATTGCTATACTGCTATCAGCCTCAGGAGGAAGGACGTCAACAAGTGCATTGGAGTGCTTATGAAGGGCAACAGATGCACTTGGTTTCAAAAGTTCCCGGTCTATGGTACTGAGTATGCGAATGTAGTAGTTTGACCCTAACAAATTAAAAACAGTTAAAACATGCTGACATGCATTTAAGTTAGCAACTTTTGCCAAATATTTTTGAAGTCTTAATCTTTTACAAACTTGAAGATTTTTACTGTTTTAGCTGGTTTGTCATAAGAAGCCAGTAGGCAGAGGAAACCTGCAGCCCGTTTGATCATTTAGTACTAGCTTCTTTGTAAATTGTGGTCAGAGACAGAAAATAAGTACCGGTAGTTTTGAACTGGTTCTAAAAAAACAGTGTGTGGCCAAAAAAAGTTACTCATACATGATGTATATGTCCCAGTATGTTAGAAATCACATCTCAGAGAATTCAAATTTCAGATTCTTGCAGGGCAGGATGCCCTCAGACCTCCCTAGAAGAGCATACTGCTTTGCAACACACCATGCTTGCTAGGAAAGTATAATTTAATTCAGCTGCCTACTTAGTTCAGATCATACACCATTGTATTATCTAATAACAACTCTGATTTTTCAAAAGAGTACAAAAAATCATCACCAATTGGCTATAGTGACTAGAGGGCTATTGAATAGCTCTCAACTATTAAATCTTAATACCAGTACGCAAGTTACATCACAGTCACATTTCCCTCTTAATATCAGTATCACATTTAATTGGATTTGATAAGGACATGTAATGTTAATTTCCCTTCATTCACCATTGGCATAATTCTCAAATGCTCTCTTTTCTTCTTTGTTAGATGTATATGTGAAATTAAAGATTTATATAGTTTCCAACCTGTTGTTGAGCCAACAATTCCAGTGTTTTGATCTACAGCCTCCAAAAACTGACCAATAACCAGAGGAACAGATTGGATGCGTTTCACTTCCTCTTGTGCATGTAGCAGCTCCTTTTTGAGATTTTTCTGTTCATCTTTAATGTATTCTTCCTGGACTTTTAAAAACTCCAGCTGCTTTTGAAGCTTCTTGTACTTTGCATAAAGATCATCTACATTGGGATCTACAGTGGACAAGGAACTGCTCGCTGCAGTTGTGGGTCGGCTTGTATCCTAATTAAGAAGTTAAAACACAAGCAAGTTGGATAACCTGCACAATGCAACAAATGGAAATGCAGTAACCCTTCAATCCCTGGTTGTAACAAGCTTCTAAATTCACCCAACAGTATTGCCCCTGAATCAAAAAATACATTCATGAGAGGAAAGAAAATGATTATGAGCTCAAGAAGCTCTAAATGATCATAGATTCAAGAAGCTCTTGATTGTAAGACAAATCTTCTGTGTAAGTACCTTAGAAAACGTACAAAGAATAGCAGGGAGAACTTGCATACTACTGTTAGAGTATGATGTGTTAGCTTCAAAAAATTTATTCAAAGTGCCTAGTAAAGTTGGTCTATGATGAATTGCCATGATAATGTCGCAGCTGATTTTCATTTCAATTTTATAATGTGTGATTAGACTAATTTACTGTATACAGCTGTTTTGATAAAAGTGCAAGTAGTTTGACAATACAAGACTTGTATATGTTCTCCACAACATTGAATTATTTTTCCAACTAGCAGTAATTACTTTGCTCAATTGAGGTTTACAACAGGCCTATGATAGACACTGAATGAGCCCAAATTCATGTGATATCCTTTTTTTGAAGTAAAACACTGCAAATGTCAATCAAGTAAATGGCAATCACCCTTAAAGGCCTCATAGCACTTGTTGTTTCCCAACTGGAAAGGTGTCCTTTTTTTCAAAAAAGAGTCAAGTATTTTGTGTTGTAATTACTGATCTTCCAACAATATTGTATGTTCTTTTCAACTTCTACGCTGCTATCACGGCTTTAACACTTTAAACTCTTCCATAAAATTCACATGAATTATCATCTATTTTAAATGAGCGTCGACTGTTTGCGTTCGATTCAAATCAACATTTCAATGTGTTTAAAAATAGCCAGAGGAATTGGGGTAGAAAATAAAGGCTTCTGGCCTCTCCAAACAGTGACAAGTAAGACCAATAAACTGGGCGAAATGAAGAGAAACTTGATAATAAAATACAACGTGGTCATGACAAGCATGGAACCAATTAGGCCATGAATTTTGTTACAATGTTCATCCGTTTTGATGCTGGTAAATCTACAACTTTGATCAAACTGGAAACGAAATTTTCTTTTTAAGCAGGAAGTTGTATCGCTTTTTCCAAATATTTCAAACAGTTTTTAACCTTCTTTTCAACGTGACAAAGCAAAAATTCTCTCTCACTGACAGGAATTGGTAGACGAAAAGACATGGCCCTGTAATGGAAGAAACGATTCAAAAAGGACTTAAAATCTCTCACGTACTAGCAAGAATTATTTTACGTCCCATTTAGAAACCCTTTCGTTGAAAATCTAACGAGTTTATGGCGAAAATCATTGAACAACAGACCTGACTTTGGATAGTAATTCCTATTTCCTCCATCTTGGATTTTTCAACTATGAAGTCCCGGATGTTCACCGCAGACAAGGAAACTGCGGGCTCTAGTTAAAAGAAAATTTAAATGTGGAAGAGGACTCAGAAAGGCGGAGTTCAGCGAGTGTGCTCAATAGTAATTAACATATGTCCACTATTTCAGAAATTTTTAGATTTATCTGCCTTTCCATCCCCGAATTTGATTGTGCTGGTAAGAAAAAAACACAAATATCGCTACGAACGGTATATTAGCAAAAAGCATATAATGTCTCGTTTAATTTTGTCTTAGGTAAAACCTTGGAGAGATCAGAACCGTGAATCGTTCCCGCCCTAAGGTCGTGTAAAATGAAAGGATTCATGGTCCTGTAAAAATCTCATAGGAGGGCAAACGCATGCATTACCCCTCTGAGCCCACGGGCCTGTCAGTGGTGTTCTTTGGCTCGACTGCCTAGCCTAAGCGTGGGTGACCTCATATATCATATATCATGGCATGCAGTAATTCAGTCTCTCCTTTGGTAAAACAAATTTGATTCAGAAAAAGTTCCCGCTTTTCATAAAGCATAACTGCCAAGTACTTGACATGATCCTGAATACCTATATCTGGTTTTGTCATTCTGCCGTTGTTTACAACCGAACTCTGCCTCGATTATGGCCGGTATGTCATTTCGCTCCATGGCAACTTCACCCGGAGTCACGTCCATAGCCAGGTGAGTGACCCCAGCAAAGTTCTGAACGTGCGATCAGAGGCATGAGTAGTTCCGGCCAAATCTTTGTTAATTGGATTACGAAATGATAAATCCTGACTGCGGTTTTTTGTCCTCGTTTTTTCCGTATTTCGCGTCATGTCAAGAGAGAAAAAGTAACGACAAATATATTTGTGGAGATTTATAATACTGATATTTGGACAGGTGATTGTCTTCTGTCGATCAGACAAAAGGAAGTAGAAATAGACAAAAGAAAGCGGCTAACCTGATGTTCAACAAAATATGAACTGAAAAGAAGCTAAGTTTGCTATGTAAGAATGCTTAGTGTAAACAGCGGCCAACTTTGCACTAAAATGTTTCACAATTCCATTGAGCTTTGTTTCAGGTGCGGGCTCCTTTTTGTTGGATTTGTTTAACGACATATGAACAGCGTTAGTAAGGTAAATTTCGATCGACGTTTAGAAGTGCTATTTTAGACACTTTATACAACAATTATCTCCTAAAAGTATCAAAGTCACGTGATCTTGTCTCAGTGGTCGTGACTTCCGTCTTCTCCTGGAATATGATCTTTAAGCGCGTTTTAGCACATCTTCTGATGAAACCAATATCAAAGATCCGTGATTCATAGATAAATAGCTGCTGCTTTCGCTCAACGAACACTAACTGTTTGAATTCAAGATGGCAACTTCATGGGTTGTAAGTTGTTGGATTGTTCTCCTCACGATCGAAGGATCCTTCACTATGGACGATCTGGCTGTCACAGATTACGGATCACTTGAAATCTCCATGGTGCGACATGGAGAAAGGTATGCCACCAACAGACCTTGCTACGAGTACGAAGATGTTCCGCCTTTGTACCAAGGTATGACTCACGTTCGAGGGCCGAACGATAAAGTTGGGATCATAACTTTTAAAGTTAACGTTCCGATTATAATCTACCTCGCCACTGATTCTCGGTATCCATACATCCATGGAGACGAATACGAAAAAACCAGTGACTTAGTCATGCTGGGGGGTTGCCACAATCCCGGGCCGGTTAAGTTCCCAATATACCGGAGTCGTAGGACACACGGACCTGGTTTAGTGACCGTTCACTTCAGCTCCAGCCGAATGACCGGGATCTTCCTTAGGGATAACGCATTCGATGTGCGTCCCTATGCTGAACTGAAAGTGACTTTCCCCGGTACTCCTCGAGAAATAAGCATGGTTCGGGAAGGGGAAAAGTTTAGCACCAACCGAGATTGCTATAGGATGGAGGATATCCCTCCGAGGTATCACGGACTGACGCATCTTCGGGGGCCAAACGATGAGAAAACCATCAGTTTTTACGTGAATATTCCAGTGATCGTTTATGTCGCCATTGACTCCCGTCACAATCGTCACACTATTTTGCCATCGGATTTTAAAGCAACCGGAGAAAGGATCATTCATGGGGGTTGTCACGCACGCACGAGTTTCCCAATATACGAGAGGAAATATCTCAAAGGGGGAACTGTTACTATTCCACTCATCGCGTCACGGATGTTGACAATTATGGTCAAACCTCTGATGATGAACTAATCAGCGCTCAGACACTTAACATCAGTCAATAACGCAATTACGAAAGAGAAGTGCAATGTAACACCATTAATTGAAATAAATATCCAACCACGAGAGACTGAAAGAGTAGTTATTGGACGCGCGATTCGAAATCGTTGCTACGATCCCGCCTCTTCCAGTTCAGAAACAAAGATTTAACCTTTTGACCCCTAGTAGTGACTAAAATCTAATTTCTCCTTACAATAACACCCCTAAATCAAGCATTAAGGTCACGGGAATAGAGGAAATGGTCACCCACTAAATAAGCTCTTGATTGTTTAACAAATTCTCATTGTCAGCACCTAAGTAAGTGTACGGAGAACTGCATAGAAAACATGCAAATTGATGTTAGGGTGTAAAAGCTAAAATTCCCCCATTCCTTTATTTTCAATCAGAGCACCTTTCAAATGAGTGTCGAAAGTGATCGAGATTCCATTTGGTTTGTTTTACCACGCTCTGACAACAAGCATGCGCATGCGCCACGTTGTCAGCAAATTAATCGCTAAACGCAACCAATCAGGTCTTAGTCACGTCATGTTTAAGTGCAAGAAACCGCAGTGCGGATTCTTGAACGTGAACTTGGGCACATTCTCATTAGCTGCTGGTAATATTCTTCTTTATGATTATTTAAAACTGCTTTCATAAATACCCGTGTTTTAGTTTAACAACGCTCGATTGAAAAGTGTTCTAAAGGTCAATATTAAATTTTTATCCAATATTGCGCCTTTTAAATCCCCGATCGCCGAAAGTTCACTATTACAAGCGTGGCCTCGCATTGATGACAAAAGTATATGACGTCAATCCAAGATGGCTGCCGTGCGATAAAGGTGAATACTAGAAGAAATTTTACGCCATAATTTAAAATGTACAAAAATGGCAGGCCGTGCCGTGAGCGTTAGAGACAAATCAGGGACAGTCTTCTTTTTCTCTGTTTGTTTGTCATTTGTTTGCTTTCCGCGAGAGCTTGATCCATACACCACAAGACATGCCTCCACAGCATTTTACACCGCCAACATTTCAATCACGTAAGTAAGAATTGGTTTTAAGATGTGACATAATAGGAGAGAGAAATCAGTAGCTTTCAAGCTGAATACATAAACTGAATAGATCCTTCGTACTCACTGTTCTGTAAACTAATTCCCGCGAGCCGCGGCACAAACGTCGCTGTCTCGTCCCAGTCTCTTACCGTCATATTGTCCTCTCTTACGAGCACTTGACAAGTGTGGAGAGGAAAACTGACAGCAAATAGTCTATTCCATGAATAGTAAGCTTGTATACGGCTACAGCTTTTGGCATTTAGGAAAGAGGGGAGGGGGGGAACAGAAAAATGGTAAGGTGCCCTCTGCACACTACAATTCCGGAAATTCATGATTCTGAGAGAGCTTGCTAACTATTTAAAACCTTGCATGAATTCAAAGAGTTTACTGCACCAAAATATATCCCATAGCTTTGATGTATTTGTCACCATTATCAGGGAAAACTGCTGCTGCGTTTCCACACGTATTGGAGTTATCAGGACCTCCTCCGGTACCAAACCCAATTCTGGAGTCACAAGAGCCACAATCGTTTTCCTGGTTAGCTATATAACCAATTCTTGCTTTAGCATGATGACTTGAAGTACCTACAGCATTGAAGCCCTCCTTGTTACAGTTTAGTTGCAAAGAGCCCTGCGCACCAATCAACGTCTTCCACTCGTTTCGACCCAGTGAAGAAGCGCGGTATGTCCCATCAGCGATCAGTGAATGCAGAGAGTTGGCCGGCTTGTTAATGACAATAAACCTGAGCTGTCCACTAATCTTCATACCGAGACAGATCTTCGAGAAAGGTGTGTTCCAATAGGTCGGTAACTTGGTCTCCTGTGAATCAAACCCAGTCCTCCCGCCAACGATGTTGTATTGGTTTTTATCACTCCAGTAGTGAGAGTCATAGTGAAACGTTGCCTAAAAAGAATTTAGAGGATTTAATTTATCCTTAAATGTAAATAACACGATGCATCACCCAAGGCAGGACTCTCATGAATCAGTAACACAGTTCGCGTAGAAGCTATCAATCTATACCCTACTTGCAGGCGGGTTAATTAGGAATTTGTCACGTTTTGAGGTATCAAGGTATTGTAACACTTATGCCAGAAGAATTTGGGCACGCAGGGGCCGCGAAAAGAATATGGGCGAGTTGCCAAGAGATTCTATAGTAGTTTCGACGCTTCTGAATATTTCTTCCTGGCGCTTCATCAACATATGAGGCTTACCTGGTTGCCGTCAGTCTTCATAACAGGCGTCCATCCTCCATATCCGCATCCAAAATCCCCCATCTGACAGAGAACTGTGATCAGTTTAAAGTCAAGGTATAATGTAACCAGTTGACTGGCGTTTGACCTGTTTGATATGAAAAGAAATCCATTCGTGATCATATTAATAAAGGGGTAAATTTCTAAAAAAAACTGTGACGGCAAAACTGACCAATCAGTGTACACAAACCGGACTAAGTACATTCGACTGACAACAACCTTTCACTCGACTCTGATGATGACTTCCGCTCAGGTTGTCGAAACGTCAGTCACCACTACCGACAACAGTCCTTCTCAGGACTACACTCACCTGGACGATCAAACTACACTATTACAAGCTAATTTATTATTATCAACTGAGTTGATAACGCAAATTGGCCATCGTACAGAGTTTCATAGCTGACATTTCAAGCGTTAGCCCTTCGTCAGAGCAATTGACGAAGGGCTAACGCTCGAGACGTCAGCTTTTAAACTCTTTACGATGGCCAATTTACGTTATCAACTCAGTTGATGATAATGGATTACCCCGTGATCATATTAGTTTGTGGCGAAAAATCTTCCCTCGACATCAAAACTATTCGACAACTTTGTCTCTTTTTCATGCTCGAAAAGATAATCATTTGGTATCACTTACTTGAAAATGTTGTAAGCTTCTTTGCAGGACTCAATGCCTGAATGTAAAGAAAAAAAGAAAAGTCGGGTGTTTAAGATATTTAGGCTCTATCACAGTTCAGTTGCAAAATCTTTGAGCAATAAGAGCTGATAAACATTACTTAGGCACCAGTTATAATTTACTGTCGAGGGAGGGGGTCAGAGGCTCTTCAATATCCTTATGATCCCCACTAATTAGTGTTTTTAAAATTGGCAGTCAATTTCTACAGTCCCCCCCCCTTTAACCTCTGTCGGCGACGACTGATTCCCCTCCTTTCCCCCTGAAAATCATGTGATCCTCTAAAATCCTCCACCCCCCCCCGTGGTTAATGATAGTTGATGTTTGAGAAGAAGTAAAAATAAAATTAGATATTCAGTTTTTCTCACCTCAGACCTTTCGATTTCGCAGTCAGATGCTTAATCAACTTGAGCATCGAGAGATTCAACATCTTTATGCATTGCATTAAGTGTTTTTTAGTTATCTATTTTCGCTAGCTATTTTAGAACATTTTCGAGCTGCGAGGTTTAGTAGTAAAATTTATGGCAGTCACTTGAGAATTATAGTATTTAATGTTGTTGGATGTATATCAGTCACAAAACCATGCCAAACTTTTCACCTTTTTCACAATATTCTCCTATGAAGCCTTTTGCACAGCGGCATCCGAATGAGCCATCTCTGTAGTTTGTGACACAGGTCGCTTCGTGTTGACAAGGTGACGAAGAGCAAGGTGACTGTAGAGAAACAAAGTAGGAAAATGGTTCATTTTGAAAGGCAACTGTAAGTTTTTATGTAAGTGGTGAATAGCGGGTACATGAATCCGCCAATCCGCGCTATTCCGTCAATCCAGTTCGGATTCGTTTTAGTAGAAATTTTTGATGGTATAGAAATACCTCATATGATGGTATCTAGGTTTTTTTTTCATTTTCATCTACAGTTTTAAGATTTTGGCTGAGTTTTCTGCCTTTGCTGGCATTTGAGAAAGTGGTTTTATGAGATTAAAAATATATTGCTAAGGCGTTGGGGTCTATGAGTCTGGAAGGGTTTTCTAACCGTTTCGAACGTTCGCAGCAACTGAAGAAGTCTGTCGATAAAACATATTAAAACACAAATTGACTAAAGGCTGACCAAATGTTGACGATTCAAACAACGATTCCATTCTTTAAATAAACAGAATCTGGTATCTTGACTAAAATTTTCAACCGAGTCACATATATTTTCTTAGTCTGCCGACGTGCCTGGGAAACAGAAGGTGGTAAGTAAGTAAGATAGTGCGCGGCACGAGAAAGTGTTTGCATGCTTTACAACATGCCATAGAAATACGGTTGTCACCACAATGAATACGACAACAGACCGACACCATTTGCAGTGGCTTTAACCTGACTGCCTTCTCTCTACGATCTTGACAAAGCTGTCAAACTTTTAACACGTTTAATTGTCAGAATTAAGAGTGTTTCCTACCTCAATGGCAAAATGATGCGAACTTTTATTCCCTTTATACTCTGTGGAGTTTCTGAACTTATCAGATGACAACAACTCGCACCAAAGTTTTCCATGGGCTCCTTTGAAGGCGGCCAGGTTTACAGAGAGACAAAACGGATTGCTGAGGCATTCTAACGTGCAGTCAAACGCATCAGACACTGCCACTGTTCCAACAAGCCGGACATTCAAGTGATGAAACTCGTGTTTAATGAATGTACGTCTCAGGAAGGTTCTCGTGGAAGAGGCGCTGTTGCCCTCGCGATACACAGGTTTTGATTCTGTAACTGGAAAGAAGAACAGTTTGTAATAAAAGGACATGATGGCACCACTCACAGGAGGGAGTGGCGAGGAAGGGACCTCTTGTGAAATTCGCTGTTTAGGGAGATGAAAAACCATTTTGCTATAGTCAGTAGTTAAACAGATTCACTAAATTGCAAAGTTTGAAGCATACCATAGAAAAAACGTTTTTAAAGAATGGTTTCAAGGCCGATTAGAAAGCATTGTAAAATCCAGGGATATTTAGAAGTATCGAGAGCTAATTTGAAACTGATCCATGCGTTTTTTCTCTCGCTTTGTTTTCGGGACGATGCTCAGTTCTATGCCAGAATTGTTGATGGTTATCAGCTGATTAACCATTTACAAGTTGTCTTGGACATTGTTTCACTGTCCTTTTTCCACAATACAATCATTTATAATCTCTTTGCATATTTTTAAACCCACACAAATGAAAATGTTGGATCACGGCACCGTATTCAGCGATCACCCTGTATTGAGCGGTCGGTTGTCTAAGTCTCGAAATTGTTAATTTTTAGCTCTATTAAGCGGTCACCTCTATTGAGCAGTCACCTTCTAGTGAGTCTAAATGGCCTTGTTATCATCTTCCACCTGTATTGAGCGGTTACTTAAAGCAGAATTACTCGAACAAAACGAGGAATTAACTTTCAAGTAAAATTTGATCCATATTTTCCTTTCGAATCAATATTTTGAGCATTCACGGAAAGATATATGACGTTTGATTAGAAGCCTAAATGTGCTTTTAGATCATACGAAACCAAGGTAAACAGTCGTTAATAAAGAATTTTAACATCTCCATGAATCTTCTGATCTAATTGGAGGCAAAGTTTGTCAGCTCCCTCGTGTTCATTCAGCAGCTATCCATTCCAAATACCTGAAAGGTTAGAGAAATCCTCCGACACTGTTACTAGGGTACCTGTCTTAATTTTAGAACTCATAAATTTTACCAATTGGAAGCAAAACAGATATTATCTTGTCAATAGTTTGTAGCTGTCTTAACATTTTGGCTTCCGCCAAATTTAATTAACAATTTTCCTTCACCATTCTAGGTCGCCAAATTTGTTCGGTGCTCAGCTCATGAGGACCTCGGTCAAGTTGGGTAAAATCAGGCGACATTTCGCAAGATAAAGAGAGAAGGATTACATGTGAAAAATTCATTTCAGTGGCGAAAGAAAATCGTTTCGTTGAATACTTAAAATGATCATTTTGTAGATAGATTTTTCGCAGCTATTTCAGCAAGCCATTTCGATTTCAATTTATTCATTAGTTGTTCAGGAGCCTCTCAAACATAAAGTTGTATTGACTTACCTTCTCAGTTATCAACACCTGCCGTATCATTTACCATAAATATACGCGCATTCTGAGTGACTTAAATATATTATTCACTGAGGTAACATTTCAAAATAAATTATGCAAATAAAGCTCTTCGGTGCTGTGATGTTATCACTCGTTTCTTTTCCTCAGGATTAATTATCCAACTATAACATATTGCTTTCAAACTTTCCTTCGGAAAAAGGAAGAACATCAATCAATGATCTGATAGACATAGGATGCGAATGTTTCCGCGAACCCAATTTTAGAAGTCTTTGATAAACTATTTTGAGTAAAAGCATGGTAGGGTCGAAAACCTGTAATAAACATCCGCAATTTCATCTAGGTTTAAAGGAGTGTGGCTGTTTTTTTGGCTACATTTAGAATTTAATTTGAAGTTGAATAAAGGATTTTTCAATCAATAACCCAACTGAAGTGTTAAATGGATGTTAAAAGGTAACAGATCGACTTCAACTATGCAACTTTCAAGAATTAAATTTCACAACAGCGGATATATATGAAAGGATGTTAATTAAACATTCAGATTGTTAAATTCAATAGCATCCCAGGATATTAGGTGTAAAGAAAATTGGTGAAACAAGTTTCTAAAGAGCATTCAACTCCCTTCACCACTAGTCAAGAGAAAATATAACAAAAGAACGAAAACTGATACAATTCAGGGAACATCGAAGTTAATATAAATGAATGAATATTACCAACATCAACGTTCTCACTCTGAAAACAGTTAGAGATACTATACAAACGCATCTAACAAACCTTTTGAAAAGGCTGGATCTGGAATTAGAGCAGAGAGTTCAAATAGAAGGGGACAAATAAGACCAAAAAACATGTTGAGAGGAGATCTCGTCGCTGATGTGAGATATTTAGCCTTGCCTCTGATGCAACTGACTTGTGGGCAACTGAAATGTTGACTACAACCAATAGAATTTGAGCGATTTCAGCTGCTCCCAATTTGCTGACGTACAAAGCAGCCCTTTCCTTTGGTTTTTGCAACAGAATATATCACAGTGCCATGGTTGACTTTTATATGGGCGGAAGGGAAAACGAGTCAAAAATTGAGTTTCAACTCGTTGTAGTTATAAAATGATCCCATGACCCAGTTTCCGCTTTACTCTTCCTTTAATTCCAAAAAGGGAACATTTTCTAAATAGTATCTGATGAACTGATCGTGCAATGAGCATTTACTTACATGATAATAATGATAATAATAATAATAATAATAATGATAATGATAACAATAATAATGATAATAAAGGAAGTGAACCTGTCGTGATAAGTTTTCCCGTTGACAAGTTTGCGACTGCAGTGTTAATGGAAAAAAAATTCGAGTACATTTATGTCAGTTTCTGACGAAGGGAAGTTGCTATTTAAGGAAAAACTTGCCAACGAAAACTCAATTGACAATACAGATGACTTGGCAAAAGAAATAGAAATCCCACACGTGGGTTATGAACAATTATTAAATGTTGGAAACCTATACATATCATTAAAGATTTATGACAAAAAAAAAACCTTTTAAAGAGAGTCTTTTGTTATAAATTTTTGATAAGTTGTTAAAATGGGTTCCCATTTACGTGTTAACTCAATAATTTACATAGAGAACTTCGAAATAAACGTACCAATGTATAATGAATTCTCAATAAAGTTTGCTTTTTAGCTACATTTTAGAGCACAAATTTCCTTGTAACGAGGAAATGTTTAAACGTTGATGGCATTATTCATTGGACGTTTGTCCATGTAATTTAGAAAAATATGATAGTCTTCTTAGGTGTAAACGAACAATAACCGGAAAAATATTCTGATATTAAAGTGGCTCCATAGGGTTTTTGACCGCGCAAGATCTGGGTGCGAACATGGCGCGTAGTTTTTGAGAAGTGTCTTACACGTCAACTCTCTGATTATTTTAGATCAATGTTGCCACCGTTCCTGTCTGCTCATAGAAGGGGTTACAGCTGTGAGGCGGTACTTCTAAGTTTGATTGAGGACTAGAGGATTGCTCATGACAATAACTGTTTTGTCGGCGCAGTTTCTATGGATTGGAGTAAAGCCTTTGATATGATATCGCACGACCTCCTCTTTGCCAAGCTGGCTGTCTTTGGCATTTATTCACCTAACCTGGCCCTCTTACACAGTTACCTTAGAGACAGGTCCCAGGCGTGAAGATAGAAGATGTTACTTCAGATGTTATTGTTATCTCCAAGGGTGTACCTCAGGGATCGGTTTTAGGGCCCCGCTCTTTTGTCCAACAATGCTGATGATAATCAATGGAGATCTCGCTATCGCGAGTCGTTGGTTTGATGATAATAAGCTAGTGCTCAATCCCGAGAGATGTAAGTGTATTATTCTTCTAAAAGGCTATCCTAGTGATCTTTCCTTTAGTATTTATGATGTGTAGGTTCTAATCGTAGACCATTTAGATCTTTTAAGTGCCACTGTCGATAACTCGCTAAATTTTAGCAAACACATTGCCAAGATTACTAAGAAAGTTGGAAAGCAGTTGGATTTTTTGAGCGGGCTAAAGAGCATGCTATCAATTTCCTTGAAAATGTGCCTCTACAACTCGTACGTAATGTCTTACTTCACTTACTGTTCTGCTATTTGGCTCAATTGTAATGAGTCTGATAATCAGAAGCTGGAAAGGCTTAATGCGAGAGCTCTAAGTTGTGTCTACAACAAACGGGTGCCCCATTATGGTAATGATGACAACCGTTTAGCTTTGTCTAAGCGTCGACTACAGGACATTGCTAGCTGTAAACGGCATGTTACCGGAATATATAGGCAGACTTGTTTGTCGTACAAAATGATGTGAAAAACTAAAGAGGCACCAACAAGCTCGTCGTCGCAAGTAAGAATACTAATAACCCTTGGCTTAAAATCTACATCTTTTATTTGTGCCAAAGTGTAGAATTCCTTACCGAATGAAGCACGCTCAACGACAATTCTTAAGGAATTTAGGAATGCTGTAAGAGAGCTACATTTCCAATGTACGGTCTATTAGGATCTTTTCACTGTTATAGTTTTCAAGAGTTAAGATTGTTTACTAACTTAAAGTAGTTAGAAAGTTAGTCATTAGTCATTTTTAACTCGTGAATTACGCGCATGCGCAAGAGCGAGTTATAGATACGATGTGGGGAATAGCATTCGCTCGCTCGCTCGATTGGTCGATTCCTGTAAACTTTTTTTAGATTTTAGGCTTTTGAGTGCATTTGATAGTTTTTGGCGAGCAATAAACAGACGAAATGGCGACCTTTGTTGCTAAGAATAGTGGTGGGGTGAAAAAGAAGCCAATGATAATCTTAAAAGAGTTTTTTTTTTTTTTTTCGTTTTAGTTTCAACAAGCGGCGCCAGCGACTGGCAGGCATGCAAGGATTCACATTGAAACAACAGAACAACCTTCGTTTTTCATAAAATTGTAATTTACAATCCTTGAACTTGCAATCCGAAGATTCATTGAAAATATCACTTACTGCGAAGCGCTCGGAGTTTACAGATGTTCAAAAGTTTTTTTGCTGTTATGGCGTGAGATTGCGGACAAAATCGGTCATTACGTTTCGTCGCGTGTGTTTTTCCTGTGTGAAGCAACAAAAGATGCTGGCGACTGACGAAATAACAAGTTAACACGAAAATTAAATCACACCTAAATAAACAATTTTAGCTACCGATTTTCAGTGAATTTTTAAAGAACAATTTTCTTTTAGGTTTCAAGACAAATTGAAGATTCAACATACATACAACGTACTAAAATGCGAAAGTCATACATCACAAAATTG